GGCATTCCGCCATTTTTTAATCAGAACACTTGCACACAGGCGGCAGATCTTGAGACAGTGGCGTCGGTTGAGAATGAGCCAAGGATACGTCTGCCATGAGCACTTTGTAGCGCTGCTTCTAGTCGTTCTCTAGCAAACCAGGATTGGGCGGGCGAGGCCTGGAAATTGTACCAATAGTCTGCAAATGTGCGAGCTGACCTTTTCGCCCATGGCTGCCGTTGCAGAAATCCACATCCCGTACCGCGACTCGAAGCTGACGAGGATCCTGCAGGAGTCGCTGGGAGGGCAACGCCCGAACCACCATTATCATCTGCTGCTCGCCAGCCTCCTACAACGAGTCGGAGACCAAGTCGACTCTTCGACTTCGGCCGCAGGTACTTCCGTCGTCATGCCTTGCGCCGCTGATCGCTCTAGCATCATCAAGCGGCGGTGCAGCTGTCACGCAGCGCCAGCCCACTGGCGGTGCTGAGAGGCACGCATCTGAACCGAATTGGTACCGGGGGCCGATCATAGTACGATGTACGGTGTCCGGTGTTCGATGACGCGATGTCGGTGTTCTGTAGCCGTCCCCTCCCCGACCTGGTCATTGACTTGCCCTGTTCAGTGTCTGGGTCCTGTTCACGGACCGGATGGTGCAGTGGTGGTCGGGTCTTGGTTGGCGAACCAGCGGCGTGCCGTCTCGAATTCTCGGCTATTCCGCGCTCAGCCGTCGGCACGTGCCTCGCTCGGGGCACCTCCAGCGCTGAGAGCAGTCAAAGCTGTGGAGAACTGGGCTGAGTGCTGGAACGGGGTCGAGATGAGCGCTTGTCCCTGCCGACGGGCGGGCAGCCGCCGTCGAGGAGAGGCGACGTCACGCCCCGGGTTCCCGGTCCCCCGCCCTCGGTCCTGTCGTTTGAGGCGCGTTTCGGCCGACTGGCGGGCAGCCGGCGCCGAGGAGAGGCGACGTCACGCCCCGGGGTCCCGGTCCCGCCCTCGGTCCTGTCGTTTGAGGCGTGCTCCGGCCGACGGGCGGGTAGCCGGCGCCGAGGAGAGGCGACGTCACGCCCCGGGGTCCCGGTCCCACGCCCCCGGTCCTGTCGTTGAGGCATGCTCCGGCCGACGGGCGGTGATCGGCAGGCCCCGACTCCGGCTAACACCGACTGTGCCCGTGATACCGTCGCCGCTGCCGGTGTCCTGGGCGTCCTCGTCTGTCGGGGAACCCGCTGTGTCGCCAGCCGCCGGCCGTAGCTGCTGTCCACCTCGGGTGCTGATGACACCGCCGTCTCAGGACGTGGCTGCTGCCTGTCCTCGGATGATGTGACACCGCTGTCCACTCGCGTTGGGTGCTGTCCGTCTCGGGCGCTGATGACCCCGCCCGTCTCGGGGACGTTGCTGCTGCCTGCCTCGGATGATGTGACACCGCTGTCCACGCGCGTTGGCTGCTGTCCGTCTCGGGCGTCGGGGACCCCCGCCGTCTCAGGACGTGGCTGCTGCCTGCCTCGGATGATGTGACACCGCTGTCCACGTCGCGTTGGCTGCTGTCCGTCTCGGGCGCTGGTGACCCCGCTGTGATGCTGTCCACCTCGGGTGTTGGTGACTCTGCTGTCCACTCGCTGTGGCTGGCCGTCCACTTCGGGTGCTGGTGACCCAGTTGTCTGCCGACCGGCGCTGCTGTCCGTTGGACGCCGGCCGGCAGCGACCCGCAGGTGACCGGGTCCAGTGGATGTCGTAGTCGCCGGCCGCCATTACCTGAACACGCTGCGGCCCGACAGCTAATTACCTGGCCCGGCCGGCACGTTATTGACGAGCGGTGTGTCGTCCTGCCTCGCGGGCGCCTCTGACTGCTAGCCCCCCCCCCCCCGGGGGCGCCGGGCTGACGTGGAGCCCCCCTCCTTGCCGGCGGTGGAGGACTCGCAACGCTGTCCCGGTGCGGCTCGCTGCCGACCACGTCAGGCGGGAGCTGCCACTGGCACATGCGCTTACACTTGTCTTGGGCTGCGAGGTCGGAGTCACTGCCGGCCGCGGCTGGGTAGCGGTCTCTCTGGATTGGGGACTGATATCCCCAGGCCCAGATCCAGACCCCTGATATTGCCCCGAACCCAGTGCGAGGACCCCAGCGAGAGCCGGCAGGCTCTGGGGCTGTCGGTTCCACAGCCGGCTTACCAGCTGGTCAGGAGCTCGCGGCCGCCTGTGGTGCTCCTGGGTGCCTCTGGGTGCTCTGGCTGGGCGCGCGGCCTATCGCCGTCCGGGTCCTATGCCTCGGTCGGATCTCCTTCGCTGTCGGGGGCGGGTGCGGCATCGCCGGCGTCCGCCTCGTCGCCGGCGGCTGGCCGCTCTCGTAAACCATTACAGATTTAAACTAACGGCCGGCCGAGGCTTACTGCTGGTCCGGGTCGGGCCATCTCCATGGGCAAAGTACGCCCGAGCGCTGTGGGTGGCGTGGAAGACAAAGTTGGCCCGGCGCGTGCGGGGTTCTCAGGCTCGTAGCTGATGTATGCCACACCGAAAGTTTCCCCTGGTCGGAAAGTTTCTCATATCGGAACAAATGGCCAGGCTAGAACTCGCCGCGATTGCAAACATATCTCAGCCAGCGCCCAATCACAGGTCGGGGACGCTCCACCTGAACCTGGAATGGGGAGAGCAGCGTCGGAAATATAGATTGGCTCTGGCGCTTCGCTTTGGGGGGGGGGGCATTGTCAAGGCTGCAGGAAAAGCATTGAAAATTTTTAGACGTGCTGGCCGGTGGATGTGAGGGAAAGTTCCCTCCACTCTCACTTTGTCGATAAATGATACGCACATTTCCGTGTATGGTTGAACTTTGAATTACCTGTATTGATATCGCGTATGGTACATTTTGCATTAAATACATATATGTGTATGCTTATATATGTATATATATATATATATATATATATATATATATATATATATATATATATATATATATATATATATATGCCGTGCGTACTTGCGCGCGAAGCTCTTGTACGATCCTTTTTTTAATGTATTTTAAGTTGGCCACGGCCATGTACGTGTGGTTACCGCCGTCCGTCCCTCCGCACTGGCTTGTTGAGCTGAGCGCCCAGTTCTGCGTGCTGACACCAGCCCTGACCTGGATGTTCTGACCCGGACCATGGCGTCCGTCCACCGACCTGAGCCTGCTCGCGCTGACCGGGGCGGCTGCCGACAGGGCCAAGACGGTGAAGAACGTGGTGACGGTGAACGAGGAGCTGACGGCCGAGGAATGGAAGCGGCGGTACGAGCGGGAGCGCGACAAGAACGGCCGGCTGCGCGGTCAGGTGGAGCGGCTGGAGGAGGAGCTGCGCCGGTGGCGCGCCGGCGACACGGTCGGCAAGGACGAACAGGTCAACCTGGCCGACGTCATGGACGTCTCCGCCACCGCCGGTACGTGACGCGACGGCGGCGGGTAGGGTTTGGTTCGGACCCGGGCCCGGACCGAGCCGGACGTCTGGGCCAGGCGCCGCGGGAGGCGTGTGTTGTTGTGTTCATCGCGGTGACTTTGTGTGACTGAGATGCTCATCGCGGTGCGGTTTGAATCTCGTCCCCGTGTTTCAAACAGAGCCAAGTCCTAGCTGTGTGCCGTCGCTAGGCGGCGTGCGTAGCAGGATAGCGATGGAAGCTGAGATGCGTGTTGCAGGTCATCCTCCCATTTCTGAAAAGGTGGAAGCCATGTGTGTTCTCCAGGAAGGAGATCTGGCTGTGGGCCAGCAAGCCCTTCACGTAGTCCACTCCACATTATTCAGTGGTCGCGCACCATACGCGCTCCGTGACATGCCTTGTGTGTTGGCTGCCGGTCGGCCGGAGGTGGCGAGCCAACCTGCGGCTCCGTCGCCCGCTGAGCGCGCGCCTGTGACCGCCGCCTGTCCTGACAGCGCCGGCCAGCACGCTGCCGGCGGCGCTGCCGGCCGCACGCTGCCGCTTCGTCTCATCCCCGGCCAGCCTGTCGGGCGACGAGCGGCTCAGTGGGAGAACGAGGTGGCCAAACTGTACGGCCAGCTGGACGAGAAGGACGACGAGATTAACCAGCAGAGCCAGCTGGTGGAGAAGCTCAAGGAGCAGATGCTGGAGCAGGAGGAGCTGGTCAGTGCAGTGGGCCGCTCCGGAGTGCCGACTGTCGGTGCCGTGCCGGCGCGCGTGGTTAACATCAGTCCGCTTGCTCCGTGAAGCGCTGTCACATGAGTGAACGCGTCAGCTGTTTGCTGACCGTTGTTACCCTTCCGACTTCGTTTCGTCGCTGGTCGCCTGCAGGGTACTGAACGGGGCCACCTGAACGGGGCCACCTGAACGGGGCCACCTGGACGCGTGTTTGCCGCACAACAGCCGACCGCTGTGGGTGTCTGACGACCCCTCGCGGCTCGCCTCCTCATGCGGGCCCATCGGCGGCGGCCGGCGGCGTGCGACCGACGCCAGCCCGGTCGAGGCCGGCGCGCCCCAGCGCCAGCGTGTCCCGTGACCGGTGTGCTGGACGCGGCGCGGTTTTCAGATCGCCTCGACGCGACGCGGACTACGAGCAGGTGCAGGCGGAGATGAGCCGCATCCAGCAGGAGAACGAGTCGGCCAAGGACGAGGTCAAGGAGGTGCTGCAGGCGCTGGAAGAGCTGGCCGTCAACTACGACCAGAAAGAGCCAGGACGTAGAGGCGCGCAGCAAGGAGAACGACAACCTCACGCAGGAGCTATCGCAGAAGCAGGTGCGGACAGCGGCGCCGGTCCGCTCCGATGGTGTTCTGCCGTCTGGCCGAAGCCCGATCAGCTGCCAGGTCCAGCCATAGCCAGCTCATGTAGTCAAAGTCATATGCGGTGGTTCGCAGGACCGTTTCTTTCGTCGAGCGGTTGGACAGTGTGCTGCGTTCCCGTCGTTTTGCCGTTTGATGTGATACACGCTGTTGGTCGCGGTGGCCTGACGCCGGCCCTGCCTCACCAGTCGCTGCTGAACACCACGGAGTCGACCTGCAGCAGCTGAGGGACACGCCACAACCACCTGAAGAAGCGCGCCAGCGAGATGTTGACCAACCTGCTGAAGGACCTGGGCGAGGTCGGCGTGGCTGTGGGCGGCTCGGCCGCAGACATGAAGGTGGGTGTCGCTCGGGCCGGCAGGCGGCTGGCCGCTGCAGTGGTGTGGGCCGACCGCCGGCGGTTGGCGCTGCAGTGGTGCTGGGCCAACCGCCGGCGGCTGGCGCTTGCAGTGGTGCTGGGCCAACCGCCGGCGGCTGGCGCTGCAGTGGTGCAGGGCTGACCGACGGCGGGCTGGCGCTGCAGTGGTGCTGGGCCAACCGCCGGCGGCTGGCGCTGCAGTGTTGCAGGGCTGACCGCCGTGCGCTGGCGCTGCAGTGGTGCTGGCTCGACCGCTGGCGGCTGGCGCTGCAGTGAGTGGCTGGACCAACCGCCGGCGGCTGGCGCTGCAGTGGTGCTGGCTCGACCGCTGGCGGCTGGCGCTGCAGTGGTGCTGGACCAACCGCCGGCGGCTGGCGCTGCAGTGGTTGCAGGGCTGACCGCCGGCGGCTGGCGCTGCAGTGGTGCTGGCTCGACCGCTGGCGGCTGGCGCTGCAGTGGTACTGGGGCCAATCACCGGCGGCCGGCGCTGCAGTGGCGCCGGCTCGACCGCTGGCGCCAGTGGTCCGGAGCACTCGCTCACCTGCCTGTGCTGCTCGGGTCGAGCGTGCCACGGAGCGGGGTTTAGATGGGGAATCCCCTGTGATTACGATCCTGAGTTTTCGACGATGAGCTCTGGTGCCTCCCCCTCCCCTGACTTACCACTGACTTTAATTGTCCCGCTATAATTAACGCGAGGTTGGAAGGCACTACCCCGCGTCGCTCTCCATGACGCACGGCCTGACCTCGTTTGTCATCGATAAAACGAATTATTCATTCACCCAGATGTGTGGAGGCAAAGGACAATGTTCAAAAACTGCCGTGCGTCTTTGTCAAAGCAGGACCCTGACGCACGGGATAGTCTCACCAGAGACTTGTTTGTGACCATTAGATTGACATCAGACGCACAGGACATGCTGGACATCTTGAGAAATCCGAGTTCCGGTCGCTGCGAACTGGCTGGACCGGTGATAGTACGGCCATAGCATCAGCCAAATATCCGCTCGGCATTAATCAACCTGTTATCCCAATAGAAAGTGACTTTCTGTGTTTCACCGACCGGTGGCTCAATCACGTCGTCGCTTTTCCTCCATGTCCACGGCACGGTTGATTGGCAGCGTGTTGACGGCGGGGCACGCGCGTGCGGGCGCGCACGACGAGCTGGCTGGTTTGCGTCCGGCGTGTCCGATGTGTCCGTGCGTCCGGCGGACTGACCGTGCTGTCGACGGCCGGCAGCTGGCGGCTGACGGCAGTGGCAAGATGGAGGAGGAGTTCACCGTGGCGCGGGACTCTACCATCTCCAAGATGAAGTCCGAGATCAAGAACTTGGTCACGCGCTGCTCCTCGTTCGAGACATTCCGAACGACTCCAACAAAAAGGTGGGGCTGCGCTGGTTTCGCAAAGGCGTGGATGCTTGGGACGCGGATGCGTGGTGCTGTTTATCGTATTTGCTCATCACGATATGTAGCTCGCAGCCCTGGCTTATGTAATTATCGCGTCATGCTATCGCCTCCGAACGCTTATACCGTGCGGGTGACGTGTCGGTCTGTGTGCGGCCGTGGACGCAAGTTGAGCTACCCCCGTCCTGCCGACAGATGGGACGATGCTGAGCGTGAGCTGAGCGAAGGCCGCCTGCTGATCCAGCAGCAGAGGCCAAGATCAAGTCGCTACAGGAGTCAGTGCGCGACTCGGAGGCCAAAGCGCCAGCTGGAGGAGTCGCTGGACGCCATTAACGAGGAGTGGCGCGGCTGCGCACGGCTGGTACGCCCCCCCCCCCCCCCCCCAGCCCATGGAGCCTGACTCAACCACGGCCGGAGACCTGACCGGACCGCTGCTTTTTGGTGCACGCTGCCGTCTGCTGTGCCGACCGCCAGAATCACCGACTGTGTGTTAATGTCAAACAGAATGTTCAGCGTGGAGCTGGCAGGTCTGGTTTCGTCATCGCCGGATGTGGTCTGGCACGAGTCCACATTCACTTTGAGCGTACCTGGGCATACCAAGGCAAGGTGGCATGACACAGGACGACCGGCCACTGCGCCGTCACACCCATCTATAGAGCGACTGGACAGCCAACGCCGGAGCGCGGCTCTCAGCCGCGTGTCCCGGGTGTCCTGGTGTCGCGATGGGTCTGCGTCGGCGCGCTGTCGTCCCCGGTGTCCTGATCTGGCGGTAGGTCTGCGTCGGCGCGCTGTCGTCCCGTGTGTTCTGGCCTGGCGGTAGGTCTGCGTCGGCGCGCTGTCGGCGCCGCAGCGCCGGCGACGGCCCGGCTGACTCGTCCGTCTCCCGCAGAGCAAATGGCGTCGCTGTCGTCGGCGGCGCAGAAGGACGCCGAGGACGCGCCAGATGCGCACGCAGCTGGAGGCGCAGATCGAGCAGCATCGCGAGGCTCACCAGAAGCAGGTGTCCGATCTGCGGGACGAGATCGCCGCCAAGCAGACGTTCATCGATCAGCTGAAGGAGTGAGTGCCGCGGCGTTGGCGAGTTCTGGCCGGTGCTGGAGGCTGACTGGCCCCTGCAGAGTCAGCGGCGCCCATTGGACTGCTGAGAGGCGATAGGGTGCTGCTGGGGACCCGAGCCAGCTCACGCGAGGCAATGCGTGGTTCCCGCGCGGGCATTCGTGCTACACCCTAGGTTGTTGTCATCGACATAGTTTCGCCCAAGCGCAGTCACGTAGCAGTCTGCCTATACTGATCACTTTGTGCGCCACCCGTGCTGCCGGGATGTCCGGCGGTGTGTTTTGAGGGTGTCATTGCGGTGTTACGGTGTTGCGGAGTAGGGTACCTGCTGACGCGACCTTCTCGCCCGCCCGCGTAGCCTGAACCAGAAGCTGGCGCTGCAGCAGGACCAGCTGCGCGCCGACCACGACAAGCTGCGCACCGAGAACGATGACAAATCTCAACGGCTGCACCAGCTGCTGCAGCAGGCCGACCGGCGCGAGCAGGCGCGCGAGGACCTCAAGGGCCTGGAGGAGACTGTGGCCAAGGAGCTGCAGACACTGCACAACCTGCGCAAACTGTTCGTGCAGGACCTTCAGAACAGGTTCAAAAAGGTGATGTATGAGCCAGCCTGTGCTATCGTAACAGTCACCGCAGCAATTCATAGCACGAACGTGATGTGACTCACTCTATGTCAAACGAGACAGCGCGAGAGATATCACCCAGAGTGTGCGAAGCCAGGTTTAACTAAATGCGTTTCGATGTTCATGGTCGCATGCGAATGCTGTGTGGTCTCCACTGTTGCACTGCAGAAGTCATAACGCTGGTTGTTGGCGTCGAAAGAGATGCCCCGGAAGTGCTAGCCTGTCCAGCCGCCCGTACCGTCCTCTCCAGCCATAGCAATAGTTTGTTCGCCTGTGCGCTCGGTATCTCCTCACTATCATAACAGCGTGCAGGCCACATGTCTGACTGATTTCCAGCAGATGCTGCACTTGTCAGCTTGCGTCGGATGCAGTATTTGGGATATTCTTCCCGTCATGTTCTTCTCTGTCTGGTCTCCGCGGTATCACACCCTCAGCGTTTACCTCCAGGAGTCGTGTCGTGTTGATTAAGTGTCCCTTGGAATCGCACACTGCCCTGTTCCTGGTCACGTGACGGTGGACGACCGGAGCGGGGTGGCAGAGGTCGCAACGTCGCCTTCGGTGCGCGCCGACTGACGGCTGCCTGTGTGCCGCTGCGCAGTCGGCCATCGGCGAGGAGTCAGACGACGTGGGCGGCTCGCTGGCCCAGAAGCAGAAGATCTCCTTCCTGGAGAACAACCTGGACCAGCTGACCAAGGTGCACAAGCAGCTGGTGCGCGACAACGCCGACCTGCGCTGCGAGCTGCCCAAGCTTGAGAAGCGGCTGCGTGCCACCATGGAGCGGGTCAAGGTCGGTGGGGCCCACCGCGGGCTGCGGCGGCGGCAGGCAGGCTGGGCGAAGGGGCAGTGGGATGCCGCGCAACGGATACGAGTGGTATTGTGTCGGTCAGTACCGGCATCCTTTCCGGTGGTTGTTTCGCCTTTATTTTGTTGGCTTCACGAGATCGACACACTGATTTGTTAATTCTGAAAACTCGAGCGGCGTCATCTGGGCTGGTGACGCGGGCTGTATGTCGTCGCGCCGGAGCCGAAGCTGCCGTGTCAGCGCGGTGTGGTGCAGTGGCGCACGTCGCCGCCCGCGTGAACTGCTTTCCGAGCCGTACTGCGTGTCCGCAGGCCCTGGAGACGGCGCTGAAGGAGGCGAAGGAGGGCGCCATGCGCGACAGGAAGCGCTACCAGTACGAGGTGGACCGCATCAAGGAGGCGGTGCGGCAGAAGAACCTGGCCCGGCGCGGTCACGCCGCTCAGATCGGTGAGCTCGGGGCCGAGCAGGGGTCGGCGGGCGGTCCCGCTCAGCCCGCCTCTTACTGTGACGCCCATCTCTGGACCACGTGTTGTGGTGGCGCGGTGGTTGCTGATCCACGCATTCGCCGGTTGGCGTTGTATATGGATGTCAATGTCAGGCAAAGACTGCAAACGCCCGTGTGAGTATATTACGCTGTGAAAGCCTGTCCTCCACTGGCGTCTGCTGAGCTGCGTTGCGTGGCGTGTGTGGCGGCGGCGGCGACGGTCGCGCTACGGCGGCGCGTGACGGTCGTGTGACGGCCCGCAGCCAAGCCGATCCGGGCGGGCCAGCCGCATCCACCACCCGGCATCCGTCCCGGTCAGCAGCCGTACCCGTCCGGCTTCAGCGGCCGGCCCGTGGCGGCCGGCGACGCCGACATCGCTGCCATGAAGGCGCGCCAGAAGAAGGCCGCCGCCGGCAACAACCGCGGTGAGTGAGCCGGGCGCTGGGCGTACGCACAGCCGCTGGGGGCGCGGGCGGCATCGCGGGCACCGCAGGGGCTGTGGGGGGGTGAGCGACGTGGTGGTGTTTGAATTTTCTCTACTGCAGTCGTTGCGAGAGTTCGCCACGTTAGTAGCTGTAAGCACTGCGTGCTCTGCATACAGATTTGAAGTATACTATGAGTGTTCTAATCGCTGTGAAGCGTTTTCTTCGAGGCTGAGTGGTTCGTCAGCTCTGTTTGACGCTCGCAGCTGTTCGCCAGATGACTCTCCGCGGGTGCCGTGGTCACCTCCGTTGACCGTCCGTTGACCGTTGCCGTCTGGTTGCAGACGACTAAGCTGCTCTGTCTGTCTCTCTGCTGGAGTTGCCGCCCCTCGCCTCCACGCCGGGCTTCAGTGTGCACGTGCCGCGCCGCCGCCGCCTGTGGCCGGCGCCTGGCCACTCCTCGCTTTCGCTTGGCGCGCCGCCCGGGGGGACCGCGAGAGGCGCACGCCGCAGCCATCGCTCGGCCGCCGGTCGGTGCCGCCGGGCCGGACGGCAGCTGCGCTCCCCGGCGGCGGGTGCCGGGGACGGGGCGGGCCGTGTGGAGGCGTCGTGCCACGCGGCCGCGGCCGCCACTCGTCGGGTCGGGGCCGGGCTGCGACGCCGGGTGGTTGCCGCGTGGCGACGGCGGTCTGTGCTGCTCCTTGTTTGTGTGCCGCCGTCTGCGGTCGGGCCGGTCGGCGGCGGCACCGCCCCGCCCCGGTCGCGCCGGCGCACGCGCCGGCGTCAGACAGCAGTATACTCCTGTTGCATCGTATGTATGAGCATTTTAAGTAAGTAGTCAATTAATTGGTGCATGTTTAATTTATGGTTGTGCCTGTGTTGGGTTGACGCTGGGCGTGGGTTTTACGGGCCACGGTGAGTCACCAACGAAATAGTCCTGGCCGTGCAGGGGCCCGGACGGCGGTGATGAAGCTCGCGCGTACGATGTCTGGCGGCAGTTGACCCTCTTGCGTTCGCCGGGTCACTGGATCGGCGCGCAGAGGTCGCCTGGGTGGCAGCAGACCGGACGGTGGTGCTCCTATTTATTTCCCGTTTCCCCGTCCGTCTCCGGCGGCGCTGCCGGACGTTTGCCTGAGTTTTGCGGCCGGACCGCCCGTGCCGGCGCGTGCGTTCTGGGTTGGGCGGGCAGTGTCCAGGGAGGGGCGTGTGTGCGTGTTTGTTCCGGGCCGCTGCCGGCCGGGGCCGGACCTGTTTCCGGGGACCTAGCAACACTGTAGTCGGAGTCAAGCACATCGGCGCTGTAAAAGTTTCTGCTTTAAAGCACGCGAGTGTGATACCTGCTGAAGGCTGGCGGCCTGGATCGACTGTTTTGCAGCCCTGCTTACCCCGGCCACAGATCAGCTGGCAGTGACGTCATAGGCTGTTTCTGCAGGCCGCCTCAGTGCACCGACGGCTTTATTTAGACGATGTTACTTCCAATTATGGTAATAAATATATCATCGAGATGCTGTGTTGATGTGTTGATTGGATGCACATTTTGGTGCAACTGCAAGTACAATCATGTACAGTTAGTACGTTTCGCCCACATGCTGGTCAAGTTGCTTCCCGCTTTCTAATCTTCATGAAGTTTGCAGCTATGTCAGTTGATACAGATTGAGTTAATTTACCTGTGCACCTTACTTATGGGGGCTGCAAAGTTATGCGACACCGTGAAATACAAAGCACTGAGACAGTCGGCGTCAGGTGTTGCCGGTACGCTACGGGATTCCACCCAGAACGACGTGTATTTGGCTAAAAGAAAACGACCGATCTCGTGCTACCTTTGTTGCACATATACACAGCCATTCATGAATTACGTTGCCAACTCCCTGTACCATGGCTAAGCACCGGTTATGCTGGGTAAAAACCATCTCTCCCTCATCTCTGATTATGATGTGTCGAGTGAAACATTCAAAAATGTGTCTTCCATATGTCATGGATTAAGATGCATCACCATACATCCATAACATATGCGATCACACAAAAAGCACGGTTTTCTTTTTGCCGCAGGTAAGTAGCCAGACGACCCTTCGGGCATTTATATTAGGTTGTAACTAAATGACAACAATGAACTAATGACAACATCAGTGTGACTGGGTGCTGCGCAGTGGCATTAGACATTTTGAAGACGGGGGGGAGAGTAATCTACTTCATTACTTCAGCGCAGCAATGCAGTGCCGATGGTGCAGTTGTTTTATAGCATAAATTCCCAGAAAAATGCAACGTTCCGTTACAAGAACAAGACGGTAACCTGAGTCACCAGCGTTTGTAGTCCTATACATCCATTCTCTACAGAGTGAAGACGGGGATGGTAAAGATAGCAGTGAATTAGGGTTCTCAATTGTCCTTGAATTCGATGATGGTACAATTTCAGCGTGGCTGTGACCAAAATGAAAATAAACAGCATAGGAAAATACTGCGATCATGTATTATGACTGCTTACCATTGCGTTCAATTCAAGGCGGATCCAGGGATTGAAGAAACTGGTGGGGTGTCGTAGCATATTATTTATTTATTTTTACAATGGCTGGTAATGCATTGAAACGTCTTATGGCGGAGTATAAGCGTAAGTAATCGACCATAGAGTCGCAATAGTGTTACCCCCGGAATCATATGTTTGTCTATCCTGGCTGTCATTTGCGCGACGTATTCCATGTTATTGCGATGCGCATATGTTAACCAGTTTCTGGGTTGCTGCCTTTATGCAGGTGAAGTTAAAGTCAAGTCACTTCTTCCCTATATTTAGACTTCTTCAATAATTTGTGCTTTAGTCAGTTCTCATTGAATCAGCTTGGTTTTCATCCCTGGAAGATTTTGCATGAGGTGGTGAAAGTCATGTGTGTGTTTAATCTGCGGTGAGTTCGTGGCAGCAGAATTGTGAGGAACAGCTCATGTATCTACTTGCAGCTCTTATGCCTGCTGATCTATTATGAGATGCACATAGAGTGAGCAGGATCTCTGTGATGGAGCATAGTCAGTTAAAAAAAAATATATTTCAGGCCCCAAGGTAGATACTCTTTGTTCCTGTCCATCAAACTAGGCACATTAATATCAGTTTTTTACTTCCAGTACGATAAGGTAACATAAACAATGCATGATTTCAAGGCTGCACTCAACAGATCCTATTTAGGGACTACAGAGTTGTTTCTTACCCAGCATAGCCAGTGCATAATCATGGTGAGGGAATTTGGCAACATAATTTATGGGCAGCTGTGTCTATGTGCAGCATAGACAGCATGATATTGGTTTTTCCCCACATGCATATCATTCTCAAGCTGTCATCTAGTGCATCATCATTTCTGTTGAAAATTGGTAGCAGCAAAATTTGTTAGATGTTAGTAAATTCTAGGTTTGGATTCATGGTATTTCTTCTCAGGGAGGAGAACTGACAACAAGACAACTCATAATTCTGTCATACATGGTCAGAATTGATGTCATGCATTATGAGCTTCACTCAAAATGATTGCACAATTGCAAGATTGGGCACAAGACTGTCAGTCTGTATTTGCCCATCACGTGTAGATTTTGTTGCCATCCTTCTCATAGTTGTTCACTTCATTTGTAAAGGGTCAAGCACAAGTCTGCTGATCAGTTTCTTTCATCCAGTTGCCACATGATATGAATATTTGAGGCCAGAAGACAACAAACTAAGATATTGTGTGATTGTGTGCATGTGTGTGCATGTCTGACCTGTGCTTGACCATAAAATGTTTATAGTCACTTGGCCACTTCAGGATGTGCTGTTGTGAGCATCCACTGGCATCTGTTCCCTAAAATTGCCTGTTACCAACCTGTTACAATTATGGCTGTGAAACCAGTACTAGGATAGATGCAGGCATATAGTCAGTCTGAATTACTTATTTCAGAGCTGACACTGAATCCTCCAGAAGGAATATTGGCTGGACCTATTAACGAGGAAAATTTTTTTGAATGGGAAGCGCTCATCACGTAAGTTGAACCTTTTTGTTTTCTTCTGTAAACTGCTCATTATATGGCATGGTCTTGATATTAACTTGATTTTATGGTGCATGCAGATTTCATGGTTTGACTTCTGGTCGTAGGAATGTCGCTTTCAAGCAGCTCAAGGTCGAAGCTTTTGACGCAACACTCATTAGGTGGCATCTTTCAGTGGTCCCGAAGGTACGTGCTTTGATGGAGGTGTGTTCACGGCCAAGCTCACGTTTCCGCCGGACTACCCTCTGAATCCACCCAAGATGCAGTTTTCCTGCGAGATGTTCCACCCAAATAGTGAGTTCAGACTCAACCTGACGGTCGCCGTACCCCTGCTGGCGATGAGGTGCCTGGCGATGACTCAGTTTGATGTGACCATTGTCTGTTGATATTGACGTTTTGCCTTAAGGAGTGGGATGCCCACTACACATTCGATTATGCCGTCCGCATATGCACGGAGGGACGTTTGTGCGTTCGTGCCTGCATGCGTGAGAAACAATTTGATGTGAAGGTCCTATCATTGGTGCTTGTCCATATGTTCCCAGCCGGTCGGGGGGGGGGGGGGGGGGGGGGGCGCTGCCTGCTGAGCTGTTCCTGCGATGTCAGTGTCCTAGTCGTCTGCTGTGCTGTGCCTGCCCCGTCCCCCTGGCGTGTATTCCTGTGAGCTGCTGTAGGCCTCTCGTCACGCGGACCGTGTCCGGAGTGTGTTGCCTGCTGACCATGTTTTCTGGGGTGTGTTGCCTGCTGCCCATGTTCTCTTGGATCTGTGCTGCCTGCTTACTCGTTTTGTTGGATCTGTGTTACCTGCAGATCGTATTTTCTTGGGTCTGTGTTGCCTGCTGGCCATGCTGCATGGAATCTGTATTGCTGGCTGGCACGCGTCACTTCCGTCTGCCCAGTCAGAAGTCAGTCAGTGTTGGCTATTGATAATCACCGCCGCCCGCCGATCTGTGCCGCTCGTGTCTAGAGACCCGTGGTGTGCTGATCGGACACCGTCCCGTCCCGGGGCCAATGCTGGCCGCTGGTCCGCTCCGCGCGTGTCTGCTGATCCGTCGCTCATCTGCCGCTCCCTCCGCAGTTTACGCGGACGGCCGCGTCTGCATCTCGATCCTGCACGCACCCGGCGACGATCCCATGGGCTACGAGACGTCGGCCGAGCGCTGGAGCCCCGTGCAGAGCGTTGAAAAGATCCTGCTGTCCGTCGTCAGCATGCTGGCTGGTGAGCGGGACGAGGTTGATCGCGTGACACCAGCGTGTCAGTCGTGCCCGGAACCGCACCTCAGTCGGCCTGCCTCACGAGACACCGTGTGCCTGGATGACTCCCTCCCCAGCATAAGCCGGGCAGAGCTGGCGCGTCAGGTGACCAAGTGCGGGCGTGTGTCGGCGCGAAGAGACTGGTCTGAGTTTTGGTGTAAGTCGGCACGGGCCCCGATCGCCACGCGTCAGCCCCGCCCAATTGGTTTCGACAGTCGGCGTGCTAGGCAACGCTCACTTCATTGCCCCGCGCCGTCCCGACGTTTTCGCGAACGCGCGCTCTTACGCTCTGCCTTCCGCGTGCCGCTGCCCGGCGCTGCGGGCGCCCGGACCCGCGCGCCGGCGCGGCGGGCGTCGTGACGGGGACGCGTTGGCGGCGGGTCCCAACACGCCCGTTTTTGTCGCGGCTGTGTGGTCGTGTTCTGTGGCGCGCCGTGACGCGTCTGTCGACTGGCCCGCAGAGCCAAACGACGAGAGTGGCGCCAACGTGGACGCGGCCAAGATGTGGCGCCAGGACCGGGCCCAGTTCCAGAGCATTGCCCAGCGGCTGGTTCGCAAGACGCTAGGTCTGCCGCCCACTGCGTGACTGCGTCACGCCTGGTGACGTCACACCGTACTCAACAGTGACGCCATGCCCGCAGCAGTCACGTGCTGACACCGCGCGTGGTGGCGCGACGTTGTGTGGTTGGTGCCACCTAATGGGCGGTGAGAGGGGTGGCCCGTGGGGCCGTACGCGCGCCTCGCCCCGCCCCGCCGGACGCTGGGTTCGGGCTGTCTCTCGATGTGGACTCGACAGGATCTCTGACGGACTGTAGGCTAGCTACTGCCCGCGCGCGAGTGCTGAGGCTGGTGGGACAAGAATATATAAATACCCAACACGGACAAGACAATATAAGATAACAAGACAAGATAGAGCCAAGGCGTCTAATCGACGCGTCTATTAAGGCGTCTACCAAACACGTCTATCAGGCCGCACGCGAGCAGAGTTGGATAGAGCAGAATGTGTTCATCATGGGCTTTGTGACGGGACAATACTCATATGATGGTAACCACGATCAGACACGTTACACTTCTTCACCAGGTCGGCCCAGCCGGCGCCGAATGACCGGGACAATAGCGATCAAAATCACTAGGAGCAAAATGCACGAAATGCAAACAATACGCCTCCTATCACAACAGTGCTACAGTTGATTCAAGCGTGAAAACACCGCAATTCCACAGCTAAGCGTGGCCCGCTTCCCTGCGCCACCCGCACTGCACAACACTGCCACTACGGTGCGTTAAAGGCGAGACGTCAGTCCGCTGCCAGCCCTGATCTCCGCGCCGCTGCGCGTGCCGCGGCACAATGCTGGGGCGAGCGGTGTGTGGCGCGCGGCGCAGGCCGCCCGCTCGCTAATATTCGAACTGTACCAGCAGAACGTACCGCATGCGCACCTGCGCCACGTTGTACACGATGTACTCGTTGTACTGCAGGCAGTTGTTGCCGGGCACCGGCCGCGCCGGTCCAATCGGCACCACCACCCCGTCCTCCCTGCGGTAACACGGGGTCGGTCCTCATGGAGAAAGCCAAGGCTCGGAACGATCAGAGCACTGAGCTGCGTCTGTGCCCCCCCCCCCCCCCCCCCCCCCCAGCAAAAAGCCAAGGCTCAACGACGACAGCATAGTTACGTCGGTATCCCCCCCCCCCCCTTAAGCAAAAAGGACCAAAACTGCATATGCCACAGGGATGGCGATACAGGAAATAGTAACCCCAGTTCGCTGATTTTAGGGGACAAGGGAATAAAACTGACGAGCACAAGAGGATCACCTAAAAACAATCACAACAAATGTCATTTTCGCCGACGTGTACTGCTGTTGGACGAGAAGGCAGCGCCGCCCAGCAAGGGGTCCCCCACGGAGTAAGACGTGGTTCAGCCGCAACAAGGAAGGAAGGTCGAGGGTGGGCATGCCCCACTCACATTGTGACGAATGTTTTGGGCGCAGGCGCTTCCGTCCCCAGTCCCTTGACAGAGTGCTTGCCGGCCGGCAGCTTGTCGCCTCTGTAGTCCGCCTGCACTTTCTCGTTACACTGGCGACGACAGCACGACGTCACGAGCTGAGCGCCCCACACTCGCCGCGCTACACTCTTCACTACACTACACACGGACCACACTCGCCGCACTGCGCTCTTCACTACACGGGGAGTGCGACGCTGCATGACGTCGCCGCAGTAGTTCGACACCAGGGGCCGACACTGAGCCCTCTGCGCCACACCGCTGGTCCCGAGGGCTCGCCGTACGGCCGGGCTCGCATTTGACGGCCAGGAGTTCCTGCCCTCTGCCCTCTGGCCCTCTGGGGCAGAAATTGCGTCGCCCTTTTCACGCGGATCGTGCAATGTCCCGCACGGCACCGGACAAGCGAGAGACTAACCAGTTGTAACCCGCGAGACCAGCGTGCGTAGCACTCGCCACATAAGTGTTCACGCCGCTGCAAAAACCAGAGACACCAGATCTCTTACCTTGCCCAAGGAGACCTCACTGAGGAGAAGAATGCCACGATTGTTTTGACGCGTCGTTCGGCAGTAGTTTGCCGACTTGCTAGCCATGTCCGCGAAGTAAATACCCTTTCCGAACTGAGGACGAATGGTACGCGAAGTGAATTCGCCGCGAAGACCATTCAACACCGCCGGCTGGCCGACAGATACAGGGTCATTGCCAGTGACATCACTATTGTCACACACCGCTGAACGAGAACACCTTGAGCGCTGGTAATGTGGGCCACCGTGAGCGCCGGCAATGTGGGCGACCGTGAGCGTCAGTAATATGGGTCACGGTGAGCGTCGGTAATATGGGCGACCGTGAGCGACCGTAATATGGGCGACCGTGAGTGCCGGCGTCGGCGGTGCCACACCTTAAGCGCCGGTAATGTGGGCGACCGTGAGCGCCGGTAATGTGGGCGGCCGTGAGCGCCGGTAATGTGGGCGAAGCGCCGGTAATGTGGGCGACCGTGAGCGCCGGCAATATGGGCGACTGTGAGCGCCGGTAATGTGGGCGTCCGTGAGCGTGGGCAATACGGGCGACCGTGAGCGCCGGTAATGTGGGCGACCGTGGGCGCCGGCGCGGGCAGTGCCACACCTCGAGCGCCGGTAATGTGGGCGACCGTGAGCGCCGGTAACGTGGGCGGCGCCACACCGTCATGACGCAGGCCCCATCGCTCGGCTGCTGTCCCGAACACGCTACACTACACCCGGCAGCGGCGGTCAGGCTCAGTCCGCGCGCGCCGCCGCTGTGCTCGCCGGCAGGCGGGCCGGCGGCACCGCGCTCGCTGACGCCGACCGCCGCGCTCACCATGTAGCCGGTGGAGGGCGCCTCGGGCGGCGCGATCTTGAGGCCGGCGCCCAGGATGCCGGCCCAGTTGGACATGCGGCTGCCGTGCCAGAGCAGCATGCGATGGCCCACGTCGCGGAAGCGCGGCCCCTCCGACGGCTTGTTCACCGCGTACACGTCCAGTAACTTCAGCTTGTAGTGGCAGTGCGTCGCGCCGTGCGTGGTGGCCAAGTACTTGCTGATCAGCTGCGGGACGGGTCACGAGGGTCAGGCCGGCTGCGCGCCCCGCGCGTCGGCTCCTCCCCCTATCAGACGGGTCACGCGTACTATACGGGACACGCCTTGTGATGTGGGTGGTGTACCATATGGGACACTTCGTGGTGCGGGTGGTGTATCACGCGGGACATGCCTGGTTGTGCGTATGGTATACCATAAGGAACAGACCTTGTGGTGCGGATGGTGTACTATGCGGGAAACACCTTGCGGTGCGGTTGGTGTATCATACGGGACACGCCCTGCTGTGTGTGTGCTGCACCACAATGGACACACCTTGCGGTGCGGGTGGCTGGGCGCCAGGTGGGTGATCTCGCAGTCGAGCGCGCGGTAGTGGTTGTCGGCCGGATGGCTGCGCGTGCCGCTCTCTTCCTCTTCGCTCATCAGCTTCAGCGCCAGCTGGATGTCTCCCAGCGCCTCAAGCAGGTCCAGCTTCAGTCGCACCTCTTCCGCCGTGCGGATCAGCGTCGGCGGACGCATCCTGACGGCGGCCGCACCCGACCGGCTCAGGCGACAGCGGTACCGACCCGCGGCGGCCCACACCGCCCACACACAGCCGCACACGGGCCCGCCACAGCTCACGCCGACCAGCTCACGCGACAGCGGTACCGACCCGCGGCGGCCCACGCCGTCCACACACAGCCGCACACGGGCCCGCCACAGCTTACACTGTCAAGATCGTACACCGTAACGCGTCTAGAGCTGCATACGCAGCAGGGTTGACACGTGAAGAAATCGTGAGGAAATAAGCTGACAGTGCTCGGCATCCAAAGTTCACAGCAGCATGGTTGCCAGGATCCCACGTGGCGTGCTGCAGGCAGTCGGCTTCCTCCCGAGCGTCGAGATTGCGTCCCGCGAGCAGCATGTACTGCCGAGATACCTCATGCAGTGTCCAGAGCGAACCACGCTGCCCATTGCCGACATCACATGCTCCGAGCAGTGGCCGCCGGGGCGCAGATCCCACGTCACGTGTCCCGGGCTGCTCATGAGCGGACGCCCAACGATACCTGTTTAACGTATCCTATGTGTCCGAGCCCCCATAGCAATGTACACAAGAGGCTGCTCTCGCGTGAGGGGAGGGGGGGGGGGGGGGCTCCAGTCACCAGGCGCCCGACAATACTTCGTTATTGAGTTTTAGGTGCGCGTCAACTGTACTGGTTATTTGCGCTCATTGCCAAACACCATTAAGGCATACATAGTTCTAGAACCCGTCCACGTGCTCAGTGCCGAAACGTGTATCTTTTGGCGAGTTCGGCCGGCAGATAATCTCGCAAAATTCTCCGGAATGTTGGAAAATTCTCCGGGATGGCGTCCGGCACTGCCGTCACGGAAAATTGTCCGATCATTTTTCGTAGCGAGGAAAAATCGCGGAGAATTTCCAAAGCATGGTCAAGGCGGAGAACCTGTTTTCGCTATGCATCGTTATGACCGTTGGCTGTGGATGGCGCAAGAGAGACTAATCTGGGGGATAATTTCCGGACCGGCCGAGTGTAAATGGAGAATCTTCACGGATTATTATCGGGGAGATAATTATTCGTTGAAGAATTTTCTCTTGGCCGACCGTGCCCTATTTTGGCCGTTAGCAATTCATAAGTAGCGGTGACAGTCCATGCAGGGCCCAGGACCGTTAGCAGAACGCCCACTAGTATATCGAGCGGGTGCGGTCGCTGCCCGGCAACGCGATCACAACGGAGAGCGCGCCGGGTGTCGAGCCCGCCCCGGACCCCGCGCCGGACCGGGGGCGGAGGCTCGCGACACGGACCGGTACCAAAGACTCCGGCGCGGGACAACGGCCCAGGTGCTCGCGTACGGTTCCGACGGCAGCTCGCAGCACTGTACCATGCCGGCACAACAGCGCCGTCATGGAGTATTGCCCACTGACGTCGACGTAAAACAAACACGAGCCTGCCACCCAGACCGTTGGAAATCTTCACAAAACTCTCAATGACCGTAGATGGCAGAGAGACAGGTCCCACACATGCTGGGCGCGTGACTGACCCGAAGTTGTGCGGGATGCGGGTATAGAAGGCACTGCACGCCTTCTCCAGCTCGGCGCCTGTCTTCTTGGCGCTGATGAGCTCGTCAATCCGCTTCAGCGCCTCGTAGCCGGCCTTGATCTGATCCTCGGTCAGCTTGCCTGGCAGCCGCGCAGACGACGGGCATCAGGCGCGAATGAGCGTGGCAGCACGAACGGACAACACCGCCCGAGGCCGTAGCGTGGTAGCAAGCGTCGTGCAATAGTCAAGCGATCAGCGAAACAGTCCCGCAGCCCGGTCTCCCGCTGAAAAACGACCAGGAAACGATCAACTTGCACGAATTCTGCATACATTCACGGACCAGCGCAAAATGTTGTCGACCAGCAACTCAGCCATCGGACGGTGAGATCAGGGCTCAAGCAACACACCCGGTTTAGCTTCGACAGCGCTCTCACAAATACAAAAAAAAAACAGAAAAAGATAGGGAAACAAACGCTTTAAAAAATGAGAGCTATTGAACCTTGCAACGGCAATCATCACATTTGTAATCATCACCGACGTTTTCACCATCAATCCTTTCTTACAACCACGGACCCTACCAAACGAATGTTGTGCATCTTGGCTTGTGAATGAACGGCCCGCAGACCTGAGTCATTTACTTTGCGAACTAACCACGTCCCCGGCACTACGGATATACCTGTTCCGGCCACATATCTCCCGTCTCGTCCTTACTTTAGCCACAACTGTTGCCTTACGTACGCCCGCGTTTGCATCCATCATCACAACGGCTGCAGCGGAGTCCCCCCCCCCTCCCCCCCCCCCCACGCACGTCAGCCCATCAGGTACTGTCACACACGGGAACGCCGGCCGCGTCACTGGCTTCTGGTCAGGCTAGCGGCGACCACTGCGCCACGGACACCACACCAGCCCCACACCGGTCAATGCGCTACATTTAATGTGCGCCACGGGCCCCGTACCGGCACCACACCAGCCCATGTCAGGCTCAATGTGTGACGCGGCCACCGCACCGGCACCACACCAGCCCATGTCAGGTTCAATGTGTGACGCGGCCACCGCACCGGCACCACACCAGCCCCCCCCCCCCCCCCCCCCACCGGTCAATGTCTTACGTTTAATGTGCGCCGCGGGCCCCGCACCGGCACCACACCAGCCCATGTCAGGTTCAATGTGTGACGCGGCCACCGCACCGGCACCACACCAGCCCCACACCGGTCAATGTCTTACGTTTAATGTGCGCCACGGGCCCCGCACCGGCACCACACCAGCCCATGTCAGGTTCAATGTGTGACGCAGGCACCGCACCGGCACCACACCAGCCCATGTCAGGTTCAATGTGTGACGCGGCCACCGCACCGGCACCACACCAGCCCCCCACCGGTCAATGTCTTACGTTTAATGTGCGCCGCGGGCCCCGCACCGGTACCCCACCGGCCAATGTGTCAGGTTCAATGTGTGACGCGGGCACTGCATCAGTCAATGTGTCGCGTGAACATGGACATTTGAACTGAAATGGAACTGATCCACGCGACGCGGGCTTTTTCGGTGAACAAATACCGGTGTGATGCCACTCCGTTAGGGCCCTGGCCGAAAAATTCTCCACCTCATGTGGTCACGTGATAGATTCCTTCGAATCACTGACAACAGGTTGGCATTCAAAGACGTCGATGTTTACATACCCAAGGGTGCTTTCTTGGCATCATACTGCATCTCCACGACAGCGTCCTCCATTACTTTAACATTGCATATCAACTCGATCAGGTCTTGTACACGCTTTTCAAGCTTGCAGGGTTCAATCTGGAATGCAAGGTCATCACCACGTGAGGTAGCGACAACAGCTCTGCAACTCTGAACACCACAGAAACTCATAACTGTGAATGCGCCATCGCTACCAAACATTCTCAAGCTTGTTTGTAGCCGCGATTTTTCGTGTGACCGCTACAATGTCCTGTCAATATGAACCAACAAATGGCCGCTGCCAGACAAGATGCGGGTGATATCACCGACCGGATGGAAATAGTGCTGTCCCCTTTGTAAGGATCGGGCCCACCAAACGTGTTTTAGCTTCAAGTTTTTTTTCTAAAAAGGCAAACGATTCCGTCTTCAAAGAGACCGTCTCGAACCATAGTAAATTCAAAAATATATCAAAACTTACACGTTTCGCCCTTGGCCGCGACGCTGCGGACCAAAAACACAACCAACCCTGACCGAATCATTGTATAGTATTCGTCGCAAAAGGGCTCCCTTTAAGGGCAACACTTCGCAGCATTGCTGCAGCGTTAGGACAAGCCATCCGAGATGCAATTTCACCAAATATTCGTTTGTTTCTCACTTGAAAGTGATACCACGGTCAGAAATATCCGCAAGGCACATATCATACCAATGCAACCAAAATCGTAAGTCGTGAATCTTCCAAAAAAAGCAACAAAAACATTTTTGATGATAGAAATAAAGCGCACATCAATTCGTCAAACTACCACGGATATATATTCGCAAACTAAGTGTGAGTGGGTAGGGTGGGGGTGGGGGCTGAGCAGAGATAAATATCTGGACCTAGCCTCAAAATACGCCCCAAAATAGGTTTTTTATAGCATTTGACCTACTTCCTTTACAAAGTTGTTGAAGGGTTGGAGCTCTTCAAAACTGAACAAGTAACTACACCTCTACGTGCGAATATCCATTTTCTCTAGTAAAACTTGATGTAAGTCTCAAAATTATCGACGTGTAATGGATAGCAGATCATCGGCTGCTATCTTGTTGTCAAACCTTTTCGAACCTTTAAACGATATCGAGGAAAAAACTGCAACTTACTTCATGATCAACCTAACTAAATGTTCTTCCGTCAAAACGCTGCCACAAATACATGGCGATTTGTCCACTCACTACGTCCATTTGCAATAATCACAAGAATAAAGGGAGTCCCACTTAAGATTAAGCACTTGACTCAGGTCCACAAAGCACCATGCACTTTGATGTTATCCATGTGAACTGATGTAATTCTTGTCCCAAAATAGCACAGCACACAGACCAAATTCAAAATGTGACGCAGCATCTCTTAGAATTACCTCCTTCTTCGCTTTCGCGGCCTCTGTTCTAATCTTCTTGGCGTCGGGCTCATCCTCGCCATAGTCCATCTTCAGCAAGTCATATTTCCCGGGTACCTTTTTGAAAGCATGTCTGTTGCACCATGCGTTTCTTGTCTTCTCCTGAAACCTACACCGACACATCAACGTAAATCTTTACATGTGCAATGACAAGGTGGCAAACATTCATACACGTCAGAATGAAGCTCATGATGGCCGTACGAAGTTAAGTATTTGTGACGTTTTTGTTGTTAAAATGGCTGGGTTATTTTGCGACACATTCCACCGGGGTCCATGGGGTAGCGATTCCTTACACCGTCTGCAGCGGCAGGCGCGAAACCCTAGAAGGTGAAGAAACCTCAGGTCTTTTAACGGTGGTATGCGCCCCATACTTCCGCCAGCACGTCCTTGTAAGCTTCAGTGGCTCCGCCACCAGCCAAAAGCTGGGTGGAAATCGAGGTCTTTTGATTTGCTTCTTTCCGTGCAACGGCAAAGGGCAAAATTCCGGCCAGCACTTACTACATTAGTCGTACTCACTTCCAAGTGAAGACGCTTTTCGCAGAATCCAAGTTGCCATGGGCTTCGGTCAGGCTGTTTTGTCCCCCGTAGCCCACTCGCCCCCAGCGCATCCACACGGAGAAGCTATGGCCGTCGTCGCTTTCCAGCAGCTGGATGAGGTAGTACTTGTTGTTGTTGCTCTGGATGTTGGTCTGGTTGAGCATGCAGTCCCAGATATCATCACCCTCGCAGTAGACATGGAAGCGCGCCGCTACCGGGCACTGGCTGTCCACCGGGGCGCGCCCCTTGAGGAGGACCGTCTTCATTTCGGAGCCGGAGTCACCGGCCGAAGAGGCGGCCGCATCTGCGGGGGACAGCGGTCAGCACGGGCCACCCCCAGACCCCGCACTGTGGTGCCTGCGGGGGACAGCGGTCAGCACAGGCCACCCCCAGACCCCGCACTGTGGTGCCTGCGGGGGACAGCGGTCAGCACAGGCAACCCCCAGGCCCCGCACTGTGGTGCCTGCGGGGGACAGCGGTCAGCACAGGCCACCCTCAGACCCCGCATGGCAACAGCTGCGGGGGACAGCGGTCTGGTCGCCCCAAAAATAATGAAATAGAGTGACCAAATCATACATTTTACGTAGATTGAAGATGTTCTATGCGCCGAGTCGGCGTGTGCAGCCAATTACGGCGCACAGGTTACAGGAAACCAGGAAAAAGCAATTAAGTAGGTGAAACAAGCTAAGAGGCATAACGCCCTTGGCTGGTTTTGGCCAGGGTTAAAGACACGTATCAAGGGCTGCCGAGTTTATTGCCAAAATCGAATGCCTTCCAGATCAAAGTTATGACCCCAGTTTTGGGGAAACTGGACACTTGATGTTTGAACAGCTACAGGCAAAACCTTGCCAAACACGATAAGAGCAAGAGGATACATTGGATGACAATTCGAGTATTATAATGCGTTATAAACCCAAAGGTACCCCGGAAGCACTTCCGCTGCTTGATCAACCTAGATCGGCCTAGACGATAGCAAATCTGAATGACATGAAACCTTATAAATGAAGTGGTATTTAAGTGCGTTAATGGGCTTTGGGGGGGGGGGGGGGGGGGCAGTACGGCACACTATCAATTACACTTGAAACTCAGAAGCACCCCAAATTACCTCACATGTGATACAACATCGGAGAGTCAATCGAGATCAACGGATGTATACATTAACTTCATTTGATTTTGAACAGGTCACATCGTCGTAGAAAAAAACATCATTTCCGACCTACACCTATAAAAAATCAATATCTTTACCTTCACAACCTGTCGTTGATCCCAGGGGTTTTCACGGTCGCCTCTGCATGCACGCACATAAGATGGAAAAAAGAAACTTGCTGCACCCAATAATTATTTGTTACAACTGGGCAACTCGACCCTTGCGCGGTGAAATTAACGTGCATACATCAGTCCTCAATGTGTGCAAAACAGTTGCATTTTGATGGAATTCCGCAGTATTAAGCACATATATAATGGCCGCCAGTAACATACCAATACGTCACAGCACGCCATCATAATTCATGTAACATCACATGTGGCATGCTGCATGTCACGCTCGGACCAGCAAGGTGTCCCATGTTCACTTTAAGTCTTCCACAGACTTTGCACGACTTTTCCGTGCCCAGAAACGTTATTTAACTGTCCACTGCAGTCGGGACACGTTCATTTTGTTCACTTCACTAGACAAGCCCTCTTTTCAACACGATCCCCAGAATTTAAGTATCGCACAACTTACACAAGCACCTTGATCAGCGACTATAATCACCATCATAGTCGATCAACACGATCCACGCACACACGAGGCCCCGCTATAAAAGTGCACCACTTTCTGAACTTTTCGTGCCACTGACCTGGCGATACCCGCCCACTGACCTGGCGACACCCATCCACTACCTGGCGATACCCACTCACTGACCTGACGACATCCACCCACTGACCTGGCGACGCCCACCCACTGACCTGGCGACACCCACCCACTACCTGGCGATACCCACCCACTGACCTGACGACATCCACCCACTACCTGGCGGCACCCACCCACTGACCTGGCGCGGTCCACCGATGCATAGAGCCTCTGTTCCCCTCGTCACCCGCGCGCCCCCTGTCCTGTTAGTCATGACCCTCCCGTCCCGCGATTAGACACTCGCCACATCCGGATGACGTCACGCCGGGTCCACGTGACGCCCGCAGCAGGACACCAGCATGCAAACATATATAGAGTGGGCGCATGTAAGTGCCCTATAAGTGCCCAAGCTTTTTCGGTGCAGCTGACCAATAATTTAGGCATACTGGGTTGTCTTGAGCGCAAAAACATATGCGCGGAATTAGATGAGAATTGTTGTAGTTCTCCACCTCTCCTTCACTTTTAACTGACTTTTTTTGTCGCAAGGGCTAAGTTACTCTACCAATCTGCATTGTATAAAACGCACTCAAACTTCAGACGCAATCGTTCCTGCGGTGACCGCCATGAGTCGACGAATCCCGCAATCAAGTGACATGCTTGTTCGCATAATGCGATCGCTGTCCCTGAACACACAGCTACACCAACGTAGGTAACATGCGTCGCAGCTTCGAGGTCCTTCTGAAGTCCGTCATCGGTTGACTTCGGAAACAGTTTTCACTGGCAAGATCATGTTGAAGGCATATACCAGCGGCGTTATCGAACGCGTCGTTTATCTTTGCATAGGAAACTTGAGTTAAATAAAATCGACTTGACTTTGTACAAGCGGCGATTTCGAGCGCGATCAGGCCAGCTTTGCGGCTGCACGGCGGTCACCAGGGGCTGTCTTCCGGCCCCGCACGGCGCCGCACGGGCACCTCTGCGCCCGAGGACACAGCTGACGGTGGCCCGACTGCCGTGGCGTACCACGAACACGAGCACACGTCACAATGGCCGCCCGTGCGCCGCGGGGCCGATGCCTAACCTGCGGAAGAGCGATCTAAACCAAGACAATTAGAGCCGCAATGTAGGGTGCTTACCGCTGTCCGCGTCCACCTTCCTTTTCCCCTTCGCGGCCGGCGCAGAGTCCTTCTTCGCCGAGCCATCGTCTTTGCCGGCGGGTGTGGTGTTGCCGCCATTAGCTGAGGCGGCAGGCTTGAGTCCAGAGACGGGTTTGTGCTTGGCGTCGTACGGCTTTCCCTCGCAGCTCACCCGTTGTAAGTCGATGTCGTCACAACCTTTCTTCTTCATCTTCATGTTCTTTAGATCAAATGTCACGGGCGTGCGAGAGACCTTCGCCCTTTTCTTGGCAAAAGCTTCCTCTAGTGCCTGCACGTGTGACATAGGCAAGTACTTTTCGGTCCTCTTTTCTTTTCCACTCCAACTGTAGCTGTCTGGAAACATAAACCGTCGTAGAAGAGTCCCATGCACCGAAACGCCCAGAGTGAGCAGCGTCTTCAACAAGCCCGTGGATCGATCACAATATTTTTTGCGGTCTGAAAATGTCAAGTAATGCCAAAATCATTATCAGGTGACCGTATGTGAAACCAGACGAGTCCCACGATCTTTATCCCACCCCAGTACCTCATAAGCACAGTCATGAAAACGTTCTGATTACACCCCGCTGCGCCTCCAGGACGCGTGTACAAACCTGAACCGGCATTCTTCACACAGCGGATCCTGGCCGCTCGCTTGGCAGCTGAGCTGGCCTGCGTCATGTTCACAAGGTCGATGGTCAGGTCCGCAGAGTCCGACTTTAGCTCTACCTTGTCCTCACCGTCTGCAAAATCATCTGTTGTCAACATCAGTGCGTTTTAAGCTTACCTTACGTTTAGAGACGGATGCACGTAAGCATGCCTGAAAAATCAAACCTTTACATCGTTCAAACCCTGGATCTGAGGCAACTGAAATATGTGAGCACTTGGGTTGCACTTATTCTTAAAGCTGCACATTTTCATCTGGACGCCCCCCACAGCTTAAGTTGGCCATACTAGACCCGAATGTAACTTCCTTTGGAAAGCATCATATTTGAGCGGTCACGGCGCGAACGGCGGGATTCGGTACCGATGAACATTTCGTCAATCCAGTCTTTTCACGATCGGCTGCAACATGATAAGCTGCATTGTTTAAATTCCTCGTTACATATACAGCAAGCAAATGGGAATTCATTGTATTATTTCTGTCAGGAGCCAGCCAAATAGTAGACATAGATGTTAACTTCGAACCTAAGGCTTCAGTTACGGACAGAATTCGTCTTCCGAACTTGCATGACCCAGCCTCAGCTCTCGTCTTCTGAGCTTGCATGCCCCAGCCTCAGCTCTCGTCTTCTGAGCTTGCATGCCCCAGCCTCAGCTCTCATCTTCCGAGCTCGCGTGACCCAGCCTCAACTCACATCTTCCGAGCTTGCATACCCCAGCATCTCGTCTTCCGACCTCGCATGCCCCAGCCTCAGCTCTCGTCTTCCGAGCTCGCATGACCCAGCCTCAGCTCTCGTCTTCCGAGCTCGCATGACCCGGCCTCAGCTCTCGTCTTCCGAGCTCGCATGCCCCAGCCTCAGCTCTCGCCTTCCGAGCTCGCATGACCCAGCCTCAGCTCTCGTCTTCCGAGCTCGCGTGACCCAGCCTCATCTCTTGTTTTCCGAGCTCGCATGCCCCAGCCTCAGCTCTCGTCTTCCGAGCTTGCACGCCCCAGCCTCACCTCTCGTCTTCCGAGCTTGCATGCTCCAGGCTCAGCTCTCGTCTTCCAAACTTCCATGCCCCAGCCTCAGCTCTCTTCTTCCACACTTGCATGCCCCACCGTCAGCCCCCATCTTCCGAGCTCGCATGCCCCAGTCTCATCTCTCGTCTTCCAAACTTGCGTGCCCCAGCCTCAGCTCTCGTCTTCCGAACTTGCACGCCCCAGCCTGAACTCTCGTCTTCTGGGCTTGCATGCCCAGCCCTAGCTCTCGCCTGCCAATGCCGCGACATCTAAGGCCGACATCCAGCTCCGACCCGCCGCCGCGCGTGTCCCAGTCAACTCGTGTCACGGCGCCTTTCTCCGGGCGCTGCCAGGTGGCCGGTCAGTACTCGCGCTGAGACGGTTAATGCGCCATCACGGCCTCGTGCGCCGCGTTCGATTCACGGACACGTGTCTCCCCCCCCCCCCCCCCCATCGTTCACCATCTGCAAGTTGGGCTTAAATCCTATCTTTGGCATCTTTAACGGTGATAACAAACCTTTCGCATTTCCACCGTCGGCATTTTCCTCTGGGAGGGGAGAACCCGCACCGTTCACGGTGAATTATTTCGGGACAGTGGCAACGTAAACTAAGCTGCGACCTCTAACACGCAGCCGTCCTCCGTGAAAGCGATGACAGCTTCAATAAGATTCCGGACCATCATGTCACTGCTTGGAACTGTCGAAGCGGACCATCGCCGGCTGCGGACAAATCCCAGGGCACTCGAACTCCATCCTGCGCAACAAGAGCAATGAGGCGGTGACGGAGATATTCCGGCGGGGGGGGGGGGATGACGCCTCCTAGGCTGCGGCAAACATTACGACGCAGAACGGACAGATGATACCACAAAGGTGCTGAGGCTCTTCAACAAGTGGACGTGCCTAAAGAGGAGCAGCGAGAGACCTTCGGATGAGCAGGCTGTAGTCGAAGAGACGTTCTGAGGAACGTTGGGGGCCCTGTTCGACGTCGCTCTTGTCTACGCCCTCAGGATGACTAACATTGAGGATGACCGTGCATTCCTCTCCGTTCAGCGTGCAAAAGGACGCAAAGGCCCCCTGCTCGTTGCGCGGTTGGAACGAAAACGGCGCGGCGAAAACACGATGATGAGCGGCGCCAGCAACATGAGCACGAGTGGCTCATGCTGGCTGGCGAGACACCACTGAACTCGCGTCCAGCTGGAGTTCGAGCAGCCGTTGCCGCACCGACGATGAGTCGGAGCCAACGTGCTTGTTCACCCCGACCATTCCCAAGCGTCGCGCTACGGATGATGGCCACCAGGCTGTGCCGGAGATTTCGGCGGGCGCTTCCCCGCCGAAAAACAAAAGGCTCTTTGACGCAGAGCTGTGCGCGGTGATAAAGCGGACGAAACCTTCCAACAGAGGGGCAGTTCACGTCGCGCCACGACGCATAGCTTTGCCCGTGCGACCGGCCGAACTCACCCCCAACCGGCGGGCGTTTCGAAAGGCACCGATGAATTTTCGCGTGACGTCGGCAAGAGGCACCAAGATGACCTTCTCCTTCGACTTCCCGGTGACGGTTCATTGAGACGGCAAGATTGTCGAGAACGTGGAAGGCTCACGTGTCGACCGCCCTCCGGTGCTGGTGCCGTGGACCGCGTCGCCAAGCTTCTCGCGGTGCTGAATCTACCCATCGGCACACGACTCGCCGCAGCGACAGCGGTGAAGGAAGCTCTCGAGGACTTGACATCACCGACCACCGCAGGGCGCTCCGCTTCGACACTGCCTCCGATACTGCCTTTGATACAGTGCCGAATAGTAGTTGGGGCGAGACTTCTGTTCGCGCAGCAATTGGACCAGGACGTGCTGCACCTGGCCACCATGTGCTGGAGCTGGTGGTCGCGAAGGCATTTTGGGTTTCCATGGGTTTGTCATCGGGACCACACGTCCAACTGTGCAGGCGTCTCGCAAAACGCTGAGACTTAGTCAACCGGAAGAAGCCGGAGCCCTTCGGCAACGTCACATCCCAGCACCCGGCTGAACTCCGCAACGGCAAGATCGTCTGGTCAAACGCCCTCCTCGACCAGCAGCAGCCCAAGGCGGCTTCCGCGACCTGCTCGAGCTCGGGGCGATCGTGCCTGGGGAAGTGCCGAAGCGGGAGATACTGCTCTTCCGGCCCATCACCCTCTATCGTACGTGCTGGACAGCGAGCGAGCGAGACGGGATCCAGCGCTCCGACATCTTTGGAGTCCCCATGCGCGTCACCGACCGGAATGCGGCGCCCCCCCCCCCCCCTTCCCCCCGTTCCCTCAGGCCCGGAGCCACGAGTCTATTTTAAATTGTTTGTTGTTTAATACAGCCTTGGGAGCAAAACTTTCAGACCTCCCGGCGATCTTTTAACATTGAAATTCCTTGACACAAAACGCAGTCAGGAATACTCTCACACGATGATCAAATGTTCTCATAATTCTAAGGGGCATACCAATACCAGTTTGGAATTTAACTTTTACCTCCGATGTGGTGCGCCAGAAGATACCCATTAAAATGGCATTTGAACACTTTGTCATGGCCTACCAGCAACAATATACAGGTGGCATGTGCCCATATAAGGGCTCAGCATGCCACAAAGTTCCTTTGCAGAAAACCTAGGTCATTGCCATCTCCATCACGTTGAAATCACATCATGTTGCATGCATTATGAAACGAAAGCTAACAGCTTTCGCACCAATTGGGTACCTTCAATGGCCTTCATGAAGCACTGCTGCACAGGGTCATCATATCTATACCACTGCCTTCCGTGTTCCACTTCGAATAGCATGGCCATGATGAAGGGCTGCTCCAGGTACCTGCAAGCACATGATGAAACAGGCGTGTATTCCAATCCAAGATGTGACTACATCTCATGGCAAGATGCTCCAATGGAGAATGGCGATCAAATTTGCTTTTGCTGAAAATATGAAGTAATGATGGAAGCAGACATCAATCAAGTCCAACAAGACCATAACATGCAGCAGTTGAGGCACCTTGTAACCAAAACATAAGGCTAGTTTAATCACACATCTGCAGATGAACACATGCGGCTCTAGTGTTCTCTGCACTTGACAGTGCTTTCTCAATGTATGTTTTGTCCATGGGATTGTGCAGTTGTTCAGAAGTCCGCATTGTGCACGTGTGTGCCAACTAATGAGGTCACTGACAAGCCAGCCCACCTTAAACTAAACGCTGTTTAAAATCGTCAAATCACTAGAATATTACCTTAGTGGTGGGGATTTTAAATCATAGGAACTTGTATAAAGTGCCACCCCATAGTAATACCATGTTTAACTGGAATTCAGGTAAGGAGGGTTAAAGCTTTAAGGAATGTCTTAAACCTCGTCCCGATTCGCCGTTTTTCATAACGCGGACTGATAGGATGTGTCGCATACCCTCAACCATTTCCAAAACTAATAAAGAAGGAGCTTCGCGGATAAAGTCAGTTGATTGGTCCCAACGAGATTTCGCGATTGGTAATCATTTGAATGTTTCCGGTTGAATAATCGACGCCCTCATACCCGGTCGATGTCACAATTTCCGCGAAAATTGTACTTTTTCATCTTTATAAACTAATGCATATCAGACGAGACGTTGTAACGACACAAACCTAAACAAACGGGTATCTTGTGTTAAATTGCGAATACGGTGGTGCATGTTTCAAAAATTTTCAAACATACGTTTATGGTATATGACTGTGCTCAAGTAGCAATGTGGGCCCGTTGCGTGCGTACCGCGGCCTCGTCGGTCACCGCCTTTCGCCCGCACCCGTCACAGATTTCCGCGCAGTGCTCCTCAACACCGCTGCTGCTCGCACACCACACAAGGTGGGCACATGCTTTCGGTGTCAAAACACCTATTGTATTTCCAGGGGGCCCAGCTACCTTCATTTGCATCATCATGCCGACGAATGCATTCATTGAGGGGGCCCAGTGGATTGGACACTAAGGAGACCCATCACCTTTCGTGGTCAGGGACTCACGTAAGTAGAACACTAGGGGGCCTACTGCCTTTCCCGGTCAGGAGTTGAAGACGATTTTCGTTTCATCCAGCCTCTTGGGGTACTTACCGACTACCGTTCTGGAGACAGGGTGGCCGGGGACCCCTGGCCGATCAGGAAGGCCGCAAGGGATGCGTCATGTATCGGTCCCCTCTGTGACGCGGAAAGCCCTCAGACCGGAGCAGTTGATCCCGGATCGACGCAGGGGGCCGCATTGACGTTAAAGGATTGCTTACAGACACAGGGGTCGAACAATTGACAGATGACTCGGTTCGGTTTATCGGGTCTCTGCTCGAAATGGGGTAGAGGTCCGGGGCCACGTTCGTACCTGGGCCCGTGTCTGACACAGGGCCCTTTCACTGCCTCATGACAGACCCTCTGATTATCATTTATCCTATCTCTTTTCATTATCAGTGGGCCTGGTCAACTTAACAGGCTCCCTGACATTCGGGGTCACGTTCCTGTTCCTATTCAGGAAACGAAAACATGGCCAACTTGGGGCCCTTGCCGATAGAGCCCGTTAGATGCACTGTGGCCCCCTGATCAATACATCGGCCCCTCATTGCCCCTGGGACCTTGACCAATCCAATGGGTCCCCTGACTGGCAATCGCAACCCCAGGATGGTCCCGGTTTTGAACGTGGGCCATAGGCCACCACAGGGCAGATTGTTCGGAAGTCGTGGTCGCGGATAGACTGGCAGGTCCTCAGTGCCTCCAGTGGCCCCAATTGGTGCAAGGGGCCCTCCGATGGACATTTGCGGGCCAAGGTCCCTTGACACAGCCTCCAGCCAGCCCTTTGGGTCCCCTAGTCGGGCCTTTGACCATCAGTCCTGAGGAGCCCTTAGGGCCCATCTGGACCAAAAGGAAGATATGTGCACCCCTGGTACCCTTCCCACCTCACCTGCCTCGCCATCAACTTATGATGGGCCTGTCTCGGGTCTGAAAAATCCTATTTCCAGATAAGAAATGCCCAAGTAATTGTAGGCCTCAAAATGACTGATCTCCAATCAGGAAAGGCCAATCATAGACCCAGAAAGGGAAAGATTAGTTTTGAGTTATTTCATTTGATGTAATTTTAAGCTTACAATTTTTTCAGTTTGTTGACTATAAAATTCAGGCAGAAATGATCTTAAAATAGCTTTTGAGTTCTATTCCAGTTAAACAAGGCAAAAATGAAAAATATCAAAGCATGCACTTGTTAACGAATAGGCCATATTCAGTGAATTTGGGGGAGGGCTTTATTTCTATCATGGAGCCTTTTGTCAACTGTGTCCCCCCTTGGTAAGGCCTTGGCTGCATGCTTGTTCTGAAATGTAGAGGTCCATTGGTTTCCAGGGCCCTTCATGAAGCCTTTTCCCCACCTCAAATTTGGATATGCCACACCTGGTTCCTACACCCATGACTACATGTGCTGAAACTGATTTCTCAATGACACTGAAACTGCTACTCTGGACATGTTCAGTATGGTGCATTTCTTGAAATATTGTCTCATGTCATGCCCTCATATCTAGCACCTCACCTCACACCACACCTTGTCACACCTCACAAAGGTTAGGCCCATTAAGTCATGTTTTGTTGCAATTACAACTTTTAGAACTCATTCCAAGTATGCTGGAGTGGTACCAGTGATGTCAAGAACTGCCTGCACATAGGTACAAAATGAAACATCTCATAAAACAGCTGCACCATTTTCCATCTACATGTCCAAGCAACTGCATACAAGTCCAATGTGTACCACCAGAATGCTACAAGCGTCATTATGATATATACCAACATATTGCTGCGCAGAGGACAAAGCATGCATGTACCGACAGGATTTTAAGAAAGATTCATCTTCAAATGGTATCATTCACATATCCTTGGGGAAAAATCGCGCGGTCTTTTTAACACTGACTGTGCTTGCAATCCGGGATCGAGTACCGGGAAAGACGACGTCCAGGTCCAAATACCTACCCGATGCAACGCAGCACAGCGACACGCTACGCTCAAAGTGCAAACAAGACTGCACCACTTCGCTGTCGGAGGTCCGCTCCAAGTGGCCGGTATGCGCAGTACGGCTCAACAAGAACGGTCCTGCCGGCTGCGCCGCCCCGACCACCGCCGATTTCGAGTCGTGTCGGGGCACGCGAAGCCGACGGCGCCGCAGCTGACCTTGGTCAACGTGAACAAATAACGCGGGTATGAAAGACAGTGCTACTTCGCCGCCATCCATAGTCAAGTTCAAACCACGGAACCAATGGTCAGATTTTCTTCAAACCCACACCAATAGAAATTTAGTATGCGGTTTTACTGATCGTGTAGAGACTGGTGACCTTCTGGTCACCATCTGTACCTTCAAAAAACCGCATAAACCACTTAAGGGTACTACAGCAAAGTCCAAACTCGGAGACCGCTCAACCGATCTGTTTGGAACCTTTACCAGAAGATGGAGCGCATGCGATTTTAATGGCTGGACTGAAACTGGTGACCTCATGTCACCATCTTTACCTTCAAAAAGCGCATTAACCACTTAAGGGTATTACAGCCAGGTTCAAACTTGCAAGCCGCTCAGCCGATCTGCTTGAAACCGTTACCAGAAGATAGAGCGTATGCGATTTTATGAGAAATTATGCACCTGTTCACCTCGGGTCACCATCTTCATCTTCAAAAACTGCATAAGCCATCACCATGAGGTAGATATGTGTGTAACGCAGTAACATTCGCAGTTGAGTATGTTCGCAATCAAACAAATGCAAATTGTAATGGCAGTGCCGAATTGTGAACAGAGGGAAGTTCCCGGCGGCACGCGTGCGCGCGGCCGAATATCCGCTTGCAAAACCTAGGCGCACTAATACATCCTTCCGTTTTGGCGTAACAAAAAAGTTGCTCATCGAAATGGCCAGCATGTTTTACATTTTGATAGCCAACGGATGGAAATCTCACAAAGTAACCCACGCATATTCCTAGCTGCTGACAGGCCCTTGAAGTCACTTTTTGTGACACGCCAAGCATTGTTCGTGATTGAAACCTTTTGGGAGGGAAATGGGGATGGAAGTAAAGTGCGTATTTATAACAAGACTAGTCGTGTACCTTGACATATGTGGTTGGGTACTGACGTGACCCATAGGCGTAGACACGTTTCAAAAAGTGTGGGGGGGGGGCAAGCTAGGGGCGTGCTTCAGGAACCTCTTGCTGGAAAACAAGCCCGATGACCGGCAGGGGGGGGGGGGGAGATGGAGGTTACCGCTCTTTGTTCAAATGTAATGACTGCTGTTCTATATATGCATCTAGAGCTGATTCTCACTGGTGCACACTCTTGCCTATACAACTCATCTATGTCATTCGGGAAATAAGGCTATCAAGCTTCCCAGGATTAGTCGTCCATTTCAACGTTGTCTTTCCTGCGGAGGCGAAGTTCCACGAGCAGGTAGGCATTTTGGGTCATTGAGGGGGCATCTGTCTTCACAGGGTAGATGCCAAAATATGGTCTAAGCATAGGCTGATGAGAATTTTGAAAGTGAATCGATGGCTCATAGCACAATAGATTTTGCTTGCGCCTTCATCTCGCTGGCTGCTTTTCAAGGGATAATACTTGTGGCATTTTAGGCAGAAACAAATTTGGAAGCTTGAAACTGCCAAAAATCATGCGACGAAAGTCATACAAGTGGAGATTCTCCCTTGAAAACCAAGCCACATAATGAAGGCCCTTCTGTCATATATTCCTTGTCTGAGCTCTGCTCCCGTCCGCCGTCGGTGGCCACTGTCCTGGCCCGGCTGTCTCCGAATGGCATACCGCGAACTGATGGTGTGGTTGCTTTGTTGCACATTTTTGGATCAGCATTGCTACTAATTGGGATGCAAAATATGTATTGGACGCTTGCAACAGCCCTTTTTCCGAATCATCTTCCTTTACACTACACCACCCCAGAACAATGCCGCCGGGAAGCTGCCTGCTTCAGGTATGAATTGGCGCCCAACGGACATTCAATTGCCCGTCATTCAACGTAGATGACTTGATCTGCTTCTGGGTCCACGCAGGGAGTAGCCAAAGTCATGCCAACAGGAACACAGGGTTGACAAAAGCCCCCTTTATGGTGATACCCCCAACAAAATAGTTTACTCTATGGTTACTGGTTAACAAGGGACACTGTTTTCTTTGTTTCATTCTTTACGCGCTTCACGACCTTTGACACGCGCCCCGGTGGCCGGCTAGATACCCTTCGCTCTGGTGAGGGGCCAATTTGACCTCCCCCCGAGATCTCAGGAACTAAGAGAGCTAGACACACCAAATTCATAGGATGTATTGGCCTGAACGTTAACTAGCGTAGGTCAAATTTTGGGGGCTGTCCTGATCACCATGATCTTCCAAAGGTCAAACAAGATCACTGAACTTAAATGAACACGTGACCTTTTGCTTACAAACAGCTATATAGGTTCTGGGTGCACTTTAGAGACCAACCTGGAGTTTGACCTTGTTTGACCTTATTTGACCCGAAAGTCATGACCTAGGGACCTCAAACTTTGACCGAAGTGAGTTCACGTACAAGTCAACACACCCTGTGAATTTGGTGTCTCTAGCTCTCTTAGGTCCCGAGATCTCAGGGGGGTCAAATTGACCCCCACCCGAGCGAAGGGTATCTAGCCGGCCACCCGGGCGCGTGTTAAAAATGTAAACAGAATTGATTTCACGGTGGCTTCTGGTTTCTGTTCTGGATACAACGTAAAAATGACAATGAAACGAAGAAAACCGTATCCCTTGTTAACAAGCAAACTATATTCGGGGATATCTTTTTGTGGGGGGACCACCATAAAGGGGGCTTTTGTCAACCCTGTGTTTCTCTTAGCAAGGCTCCGGCTACCGCCTGCCTACACACAAAAACAGAACGAGCCATCTCTGTTAAATAATGGGCAATTAAATGTCCGCTGGGCCAATTCATACCTAAAGTAGACAGCTTCCCGGCGCCATTTTTCTGGGGTGGTGTGGTGTTAGGAAAGATAATTCGGAAAAAGGCACTGTTGCAGGTATTCAACACATGTTTTACATCCCAATTTGTAGCAATGCTGATCCAGAAATGTGCAGCAAAGCAGCCAACCATCGGTTCGCGGTCAGTCATTCGGAGACAGCCGGGCCAGGACAGTGGCCACTGATGGCGGACGGAAGCAGAGCTCAGACAAGGAATGTATGACGGAATGGTCTTCATTCTGTGGCTTGGTTTTCAAAGGAGAATTTCCGGTTCTATGACTTTTGTCACATGGCTTTTGACAGTTTTAAGCTTCCGAATTGTTTCCGCCTAAAATGCCGCGACAAGTCTTATCTCTTGAAAAGCAGCTAGCGAAATGAAGGCGCATGCAAAACCCGCTGTATTACGAGCCATCGATTTACTTTCAAAATTCTCACCAGCCTATGCTTAGGCCATATTTTGGCATCTACCCTGTGCAGACAGACGCCTCCAAAATGCCTACCCGCTCGTGGAATTTCGGCTCCCCAGGACAGACAACGTTGAAATGGACGAATTACCTTGAGAAGCTGGAAAGCCTTATTTCTCGAATGACATAGATGAGTTGGATGGGCAAAAGTGTGCACCAGTGAGAAACAGCTCTAGATGCATATTTAGAATAGCAGTCATTACCATAAAGAGCGGTAACCTCCATCTTCCCAAACCCCCCCCCCCTTGTCTTGTTTTCCAGAAAAACTTCCTGAGGTACACCCTGAGCCCGCCCCTGCCCGTCGTCAGCACGGATCACGGCCCAGTATTCGCCCTACGTCACGTCATGTGACCACAAAATCACGTGGCTTGTGACGTCACGCACCGACAGACGAGGATGCCAGGATTCTTTTGTCAGCCCGTCAGCGTGGAGGGAAAGCGCTTGCAGATTACAAAAGTACGTTAGGTGGAGAGGGGGCATTTGGCTCTAAAATTTGGGAGAAATACGGCGTAAGGTAGATAAAGAGAGAATTGAAATGCCAGGAGCAGCCAAGAAAAGGTGTGTGACAGTGGCTGGTGTGATGTGCATTTGCATTCACCAGTACATTGTTAGCGTGGTAAGAAAACATTTAAAATGAGAGGGAAGAAATTGAGATGAATTGGAAATGGGAATAAGCAGTCAACATACTAGTGGGATAGAGGGGAAAGTAAAGTTAAAAGTTTCGTCAGTCCATACATCGAAAGCTCCGTCAGCACGCATGACGTCACGCGTTCCAGCTGACAATCGGGATGACGGGCCGCATTCGATCTGTCTTCAGCACGATTGCCTGCTGGAATGCGTGACGTCACGTGTGCTGACGGAGCGTTCGATTTGTGGGCTGGCGATAGTTTTTTTGTGCTTTATTTCTATTTCTTTCTTTACCTTGTAATTCAGACCATTCACTGACTCCGGCTTATCGGCGACCATGACATACTACGTTACCTAGAAAGTGGTGTTTGGAGGTACGGCTTCTGTTCCGGTAGTACCACCATCTATCCCATCCGTATTTTAGTTCTTCCTATTTCCAGTGCATTTTAACTTCTCCGCTCTTATTTCAAGTGTTAATTAACGCGATTGATTTACTGGGCAACGCAACCAAACACCACACCAATCACTGTCATTCAACTTTTAATTTTTGCTCCCGGCACTTAGATTCCATCCCTGTCTATCTCACGTCGCATTTCCCCCAAAATTAGAGGCAGGTACCCCCATCCCACCAAACGTCACGCCAACGGAAGAGCTACGAAATCAAATTCCGCTTCAGTTAGTGATTTTTCATCTGGTAGCGCTTTCCCTCCATGTTGACCAGCCGACAAAAAAAACACGTCCGTCAAGTTGGCACCACATTCACATTCAGATTCAGGTCCATATTCGGGATTCAGCGGACTCCTCAAATTGCCCTGAAACTTTGCACACAGGTGCAGTTTAACCTCCTGAACACAATGGGCACAAAATCTCGGATCGGTACGCCCTATTACCGGAGATATCAGTATGAGGAGTTTGGAAATAATTGAAGGAGTCCATCTTTTTTATTGGGATTTTTCATCTTGGTCTATCTCCGGTAATAGGGCGTACCGGTCAAAGATTTTATGCTCATTATGCTTAGAAAAATACGTTTCGTGTATTTGGAAAGTTTCAGTCCAATCTACAGAGTCCGGTGAATATGGAATATGAAAATGAGTCAAGGATGAAGAAAATGTGATCCATGCCTCATATACGCCGTACCTAAGCAGCTCCGGCATTTGAAAAGCTATAACTTTTTTGATACAGCGTACCAATCCAAAATTTTGTGTTTGTCGTAATCAGAGGGCTTATATGTACCAACACACGGATTTCGGAAAGGATTGAAGGAGTCCGCATTTTTTATTGTGATCTTTCATATTGTGATATCTCCGGTAATAGGGCGTACCGGTCCGACATTTTGTGCTCACTGTGCTCAGGAGATCCAACTACATCTGCGTGCAAAGTTTCAGGCCAATTTGAGGAGTCCGCTGAATTTCGAATATGAAACTGAGTTAAACATGATAAAATGCAATACGTCCTGCATTCGCGATCCTGACATTATGACAGCTATAACTTTTTTGATACAGCGTACCGGCCCAAGATTTTGTATTTATCGTAATCAGAAGGTCAATATCTACTAGCACGCGGAGTTTAGAACGAATTGATGGAGTCCGCCTTTTTATTGTAATCTTTGATATCGATACATCTCCGGCAATAGGGCGTACCGGTCCGAGATTTTGTGCTCATCGTGTTCAGGTTAAACTGCACCTGTGTGTAAAGTTTCAGGGCAATTTGAGGAGTCCGCTGAATCCCGCATATGGACCTGAATCTGAATGTGAACGGGGTGCCAACTTGACGGACGTAAAAAAACGGGCATCCTCATCAGCCGGCGCATGATGTCACAGGCCACGTGACTTTGGAGTCACGTGACATGACGTAGGGCAGATAATGGGCCGTGATTGGTGCCGATGCACGTGCTGACGACATGTCGAACCCAGACTCCGTCAGCACGCATGCTGTCAGGCAATCCAGCTGACAATCGTGCTGACGCCGGATCGAGCAGGGCATTAGCCTACTGTGGAATTTTCACACGTGCCGAAATAAATACGCGTTCATAGACGCCGCTGAGTGAATCGTGCCTCCAACTCGGAAGCGTGTTTCTGATTTCTCTTTGATGGTGGCATCCACGATTTAATGCACGTGTTTAACTAGCTAAATAACTAAGTCACGCTTCGTGTGGCGTAGCGAGCTCTGCTGTAGAGTGTTATTTATTTGCCGAGTTTACTGTTTGGTCTATTGTGGTGAGTTCATCATGCATAGTGTAGATAAATTTTCTTTGACCAAATTCTGTCCCAAATGGAGGTTCGTTTTGTGATATACTGAGCTTTGATACGGCTAATTCATGACACCCCAGCACGCGGCTGGTGTATCCCTTTTTCTTGGTGCATCCTTTCTTGCCTGGAGCGCGTACACGTCGAAAAAGCAATACGAAAAGCAAAGAGCTCTGTCTGCTCAAATCGCCGAAGTGAGGGAAAGAGAAGAGGTAAATGTGAAAGCTCGTTCCTTCAGAAGCCCAAAGTCCAGCCCTAAAACCGCCACCTTTCTTCGCCTGCGCCCATGATATCCCACCCCCATATTGTTTTGGCTCTTCCGGACCAAAGAGAGAACACGAGACGATGACTGAGCGCGCCCACCGTCACTTTCAGCGATCCCGTCCGCGGGTGCGGTTCGCGCAGTCGGACACCGTGCTGAACCTGCGACGGCGCTCCGTGTCGGCGGAGATCGAGTACCGACAGCGGCTGAGCGTCGTCAGCCCGTCGCTGGTGACGCTACCGGACCGGCACGCCTCGCCGCCGCGGACGGCCGCCGAGATGCCGCTGTCGACCGTCAGCGTGACGTCCGAGTCGTCCAAGGAGCAGGCCGGCCAGGCGACGCCGGCGCGCTGCCTGTCGGCGCCCACGCGGCGTCCGCTCTCGCCCAAGCCGGGCGAGCTCATCGACCACGACCCGTCCGCCATCGTGCACCCCGTCCTGGACCACTCCAAGGTGAAGACCAAGCGGCACCGCCGCTGGCCTGGGCCGCAGACTGGGCCGAGTTTTGTTACGGTTATGGTCGGTTGTGCCGGCTGCTCCTAAACCGTTGCAGACTTGGACAGACGGCAGTAAGGCTAACCCAGTCAGCATCTAGTGCCGTGCCACCGCACTGTGAATCATTAGTCATGAGCAGTTTGCCGTGGTGTCCTTAGCAACCAGTCGTGGGCATGCCCCTCCAAGTCAGTTTTGTTTGTTCGGGTACCCGCTACACGATCGGCAGGTCGTCCCACGCCGTGCTATTGCTGTCGACCGACGGCTAGCACTGTGCGTCAATGACCTGAGACTGACGGCCGGTGCAGGGCGTGGATGAATCGGACGAGACACAGTTCTTCGCCTACACACTGGGCCAAGGCCTGTTCAGAAATGGCCCGAGGGATCCGGACGACGACCCCGACTTGTGCGTATACCGCGCATTCGCGCGTGCCAGTGCTGTCTGCCAGTGCTGTCTGGCTTTGTATACAGTTCATCTGAACTGTGGCTATGTCACGAATGTCGCCATCTCACAGTTGTTGGTACTGTACAGCTCGTGATCACAGGTTGCTGCCATGTATTGCAGCGCATCGTAACGAATAAAGGAACACATAGATTGATGACTGGCGCAAATCGTGAGGGACTCTCATCACGGGGGGGGGGGGGGAATGAACGTGCCGCCGCGCGGCCGCGATGGCGCCTCCGGCCAAGACCAGGGTCGCGTGGCCACCGGGCGTCGGTTGCCGGGCGCTGGCGGGCACGGCGGGGGGCGCAGTCGAGATGGAAGCGCCAGACGGTAGGGGCGTGGACGTGGTCGGAGCTGAAGCGTTTCCCACAGAAAGGAATCTGAAAACAGGTGTCGATATGTTGCTGAGGGTATTTAAGACGTTTTTAGATGGAGATACGCCCTTGGCCCGCGTGCGCTTCGCGGAGCGTGAATGTGGTTCACTGCACGTAGTCTGACCCGAGGAAGGCAGCCAGTGGTCATTAAGTTGAACAAGTAATACGAGTGACGAGTCTGTCGTTTTGAGCCAGCGGGAACTGCCAGTGGCGATGACCGCTGGGTTACGGTCTCGTTGGTGACCGAGGTCTGTGGCCACCCAGAGGATCGTTGGCTGCCGTGACGTGTGACCCAGAGATGCACTGATGACTGTGGTCTGTGGCACAGGGCTCGCTTGTGACCGCGGCCTTTGACCAGAGGCTCGCCGATGATACTGCCCCGTCACGGGTCCGCCAGTGACCGTGACCCGTGACAGTGTCTAGAAGCCTTGATGTCTACCATGACCTATGACCCAGTGTCTCGAGGGGTCTCTCTGGTGATCGAGACCTTTGACCCAGTCTAGAGGTCCCGCTGATGAACGTGAATTGTGGCCCAGTGTCTCAAGGGGTCTCGCTGGTCACCGCGATCCTTTCCACAGCCTCTAGGTATCCTGTTGGTGACCGTGACTTGTAATCCACTGTCTAGGGGTCGCGGTGTTGGTCGTGACCCAGTGTCTCTACGGTTTCCATTGGGAGTGTGACATTGAACCCAATTTCTAGGTTGTGACAGGAACATGCAACCCACTGCCGAGGGGTTCTGCTGGTGACCGCCCCCTGTGCTTCAGGGGCTCGCTGGTGACCTCGCCCTCGATGAGCACTACCACCCAGGGCGTGGGCAGGGGCTTGACCTCCCGCTGGCGCCCGCCGCAGAGGCGCAAAGCCATCACCTTCAAGCGGCAGCAGAAGTTCGGCGTCGACGTGCGACCCATCGACACTTGCAAGTCCGGTAAGAAACTTTTGGTGCGGATCTCTCGCGACCATTAAATGCAGAATGATGGCTTACGAACGTACACACAAATTTTGATACGGCAAATAGCTGAGGCCGGTGCTTATTTTGGGGGAGAGGAGGGTCAAAATTACGAAAACAATGTGTTTTTACGAGCTCTTCTCGAAGAACATCCCCCGCGCAGTCTGATCCGATTCTCGTTAACGTGCTGCGCCTACCTGACCTGACTCGGTTGAACTCGTACCGGGTCCGATATGTTCCGGGAAAAAGTCGCCTCATAACCTCTTCTAGCTTGAAATGACCTGACCTGATCGCACCTGACTTGATCTGACTCGACCGAGCTCGCACGTGGTCCGATGTGTCCCAGCAGATCGTCGCCTATAACCTCTCCTAACCCGATCTGAATCCGCCTGACCTGACCTGACCTGATCTCTCCGACGTGACCTGCCCCGGCAGACTTCTCGTTCGTGCTGCTGTGCACGGATGACGCCCAGATCCCGCTAGCGTGCACGACCGCGCTTAGTCTGAGGAAGGAGGGCACCAGCGCTTCGATCGTCTGCCTGTTGGCCATCCAGGGCGACCTCCCACCACAGCGCAGGTCGAGTTTCAGCCCTCAACACACGTCGCGTTCAGATTTCCCTACCAGAGCTCTCAGACGCTTTTCTTTTTTTTGGGCCAATTCGATGTCTACCGTCGAGTATGTCGATGAACGGCACGGCAGTGTAATCACTTGTCTGCTTTATTTGAAACGTTCTCAGTTCTGTGACGTTGACCACGACGACCGACTCCCCATTTGACGAGCACATATACTCCATTATCGTCGTTCTTGTCGTTGCTAAGGTGAGTCTCTGTGACGCTCTTAACCACACGAAGTGCACCCTCCGGCACTGTTGAAAGTTGCGGAGGGTCGGCGTGCACGTGTGTACCGGCCGCGTGCGGCCACCTGCCGCGCCGCTCACCACGGCCGGCCGGCGCAGGCTGCTGCTGCAGCTGCACATGGACGAGATCATCCAGAGTCGAACGCTGGCGGAGCAGACGCCTCTCCACCAGCTGCTGTCCAGCCGGCCCCAGCTGGCGTTGTTGCTGCTCTGGAAGCTGCCGCGTTGGCGCTGCGTCTACGTCAACAACCACTGTTTGGTGCGTCGCCGGCCGAGGTCTGGCTGCCCACGCGGAGGGAGGGAGGGGGGGGGGGGGGGCGTGCGGAGTGACCGGCTTCAGAACCGGCCGTTGTTTTAACCAGACCGGCGAGGTTGAGGTGGTAGTGAGCATCGTTCCTCTGTGAAAAAACTTCTGCAGACCACGAGATGCGTGTTGGCCTGTGTAATTACTCAAGATAGAAGTGTAGACGCGGCCTCCAACGCCTGACGAGGGGAAGGGGGTGATATCCTTACCTTTGGCTACGGTTTTGTCCCTGATCGCTCCAGAGGGAAAAAGACCGACTGAATTTGGTTGAGTTTGTCCTGTGCCGCGCCCTCCGGTCCCCGTCTTCATGGCTCGATGACAACCAGCGACACGGCCGGCCGCTATCCCAGGCTATCCGCTGCGCCGACACGCTATTCCACACGGGCACCGAGTTCGCCGCCGTGCAGGCGCTGGGCGAGCCGGCGCTCGACGTCTCCGTGTTCAGCGCCAAGCCCTCCAGCCAGACCTTTCTCCGACTGGTGAACATGGCGGTCGCATCCCCCGACGGTCAGTTTGAGGCCTTCACCATCATTGATCTCTGTAGCTTTTACACCAGGCAACGACAAACTGCGGTGCTTTGCTCAAGGCGTCTCTCGCCGGTCATTGAACCCGTGTTCCCTGCCTGCGGTGTCAGCTATACCGGGTAGTCGCGTCTGGAATCGCTTTCTCTGCGGCTTCGCCCGCCGATCAGCGACCCAAGAAGCCTGTGCTCCTCACCAGGGCTCGTCACGCAGCGTGTTTGCCGGCTCAGTCCCAGGGACATGCATTCGCCCCATCTTGAGACGCTGCCGTCGTCGCGCTCCGTGAAAGCCGTCTGCCATCTGGCGTTGCCGGGTCGTTGCAGCGGATGTGGCGACCCTCCTCAACACGTACCTGAGCAGCGCTAGCCACCTGAGCCGCGCTGTGGTGGAGGGCGACGTGCCGGAGCGCTTCTGTCGGCTCTCCGTGCTCTATAACTTTACCCGGCAGCGGCTGGCCCGCGACAGCATACTGCCCAGGTGAGCCGGCAACTGGGGCTGTCGCTTGTCAGGCCCGCGACAGCATACTGCCCAGGTGAGCCGGTAACTGGGACTGTCGCTTGTCAGGCCGCACGGGGTGCCTCAAGAAGAGGAGCGGACGGGTAGAATGGTCCCGGCCGCCGTCTGGCAGCCACACCGCGTAATGCCCACTAGCGTACTTTTAGTCATACACGCAACAAATCTGTCAGGTGCGCACCGATGCCGTCATGCCGTCATGCTGCTCTGACGTCAGCCGTTTCAGCATGCCGCGTTTCCAGGCTGTTTCCGTACTTCCTGTGCCTCGTCATGTCCTCTAACGTCCATACGTCCCAAGAGTCCTGCTGTATACTTCAGCCTGCCGTCTCTCCCAGCTTTGTTCCCCTTTTCCGCCTTTTGGCCCCGCATCTTGCCGTCCCGTTATGTGTTGCATTCATCATTCCCTTCAGTGTTCAACATCCATGCCTCGCATTGACATATCTGCCCTTGCCCCGCCCCACCGCCGCTCCCGTTGCGCCCCATCCTTCCGAACCTGCCATTCGCCTCAGCGTCAAGATCTTCAACTTCTCCTCGTCGCTGCTGGCCTGGCTGGAGTCGGGCGCGCCGGAGGACCTGCCGCCGGTCGTGGCCAAGCTGTTCGCCAAGTGGTCGGTGTTGCACGCTATCATCGACCCGGAGCTGCCCCCAGGCGCCGGTGACGTCACGCGCTCGGCTGGCGCGCACGGAGACGTGACGCGACCTTACGAGAGCGCGCCGTGGGCGCCGACACCGCGCGCCGTCGAGGAGGTCGTGTCGGCCGACCACCGCGCGGAGAAGATCAAGCCCACCACCGAGACGTACGGCTGCTAGCCGGTCTGCCGGACGGTGGGCTGCGGCCGGTACGGGTGGGGGAGTCGAGAGGTGACGATCGCCGGGAGCGAGGGGAGGGTAGCGCGGAGTGGGGAGTGTGGAGTGAGGGTGGAGAGGTCACGTTGTCGACAGTCACGTGAAGAGAGGGAGGGCTGTGCGATTGTCCAGTTTGGCACCGTTATGTCTGTATCCTTGTCGAGTTCATTGGACGGTGGACGTTCCTTTTACTAGAGGGCCCACCGGCAGCTTATAACGTGTGCGGTTGGTGCCGAGCTGCGGACATTCGTAGAACGCATGCGTGGAATGCCTTCGTCTTCGCAAGCTTTCAAAATAAGTGTCGTACTCGCGAGAATGGCAGCTCCTCATCACCGCAAATAATGCAAAGATCAATGAACTGACGCGATTGTAGTTTGGGGGCGATGAGCGCCCTCTGACCGAGGCGGCGGGCAGCCAGTCGCCCCCGGGCTTTTCGTGGAGCGCGCTGTTGGCTGGCGGTGGTGCGGTCCGGTGACGAACGGCCAGCGTTGCCGCGGCAGCTTGGCGGAGCGTGGCGTGCTGCTAGACGGCGGGTGGGGCCGGCTTACCATCGTCACACGGACTGACAGCTGACGAGCTGTAGCCTGCACTGCACCAACGAGGAGTGCTGACGGTACCCGGGGCTTTACACTGCTGTGATGGGGTAGTGCCCATCGTGAACGCCTCCGCATGTGGGTGAGAAATATTTCCTGGTCCCTACTCCAAACACGCTGTGACAAGCACGCTATGGCTGTATGAGATTGCCACACGTCGAGCTTATACAGCCATAGCAGTCTGCTGTTCGGCTTTAGCTTGATAACCGCAGGTGTCGCGTTACGCTCCAGCCCACAACAGTGAGATTACGCAAACATCAGGGGCTATCGCTCACACTACACAGCAGTCTTTCGAATATTGGCGTGCCTTATTGGTGGATGTTTAGCCCACCACAGTGAGATTGCGCAAACATCAGGGGCTATCGCTCACACTACACAGCAGTCTTCAGAATATTGGCGTGCCTTATTGGTGGATGATTTTCTTCTCATTTCTGGCCCGCGACTCTGAATCTGCGTGCTCACAGATATGCCGTGCATCGGCTCAAGGCTATGGGAAGGTCAAAGTAAGGGAGACGTATATCCCGTTTGAGGTGTTATCTCTACGGTTGCAGTTAGCACCACTACTGTGGGTAACCAATAACCACATCGCAGTGCAAAGATGACACGAGGAAGATGTCGCTGGAGCTGGTGCTGCAGCATGCGCGTGGCTGCGGGCAGGCTTCGTCTATAGCTGTCTCTCCGTGCAATGTGTGCCCACTTCAGCTGGGGTTCACGGACGCCAGATAGCGTCCTGGGCAGATCATGTCACAGACCTGCCCCGCTGTGGTGTCGTCCCGCCGTTAACCGCCGTGTGCGAACCCCGGCCGACACGGTGACGGCCTGTGGGTTCGGATGGCGCGGGACTTCATCGCATCCGGAAGTGGACGGGTGAGTCAAAACATGACTCGATTAATGGGAAAGAGAGCGGATCCAACTGGGAAGGAGGTGCCCTAGACTGAAGGGAGCAGGGTCGCTCGACGTTATGTGTACCTTCAGAAAATGGAGCACCTGATGTGTGCGTCATTTTGACTTTTGAATAAGTCCAACCTTCGCCGGCCTCGCCCCCCCCCCCCCTATTCCATTAACATGGAAAGGAAAACATCCCCCGAGTCGCAACAATGCGAGGCTAGCCATAATAATAATAGATATAGACGTGAAACCAATGTACCGCGTAGCGGATGTACCCGACACAGCTCACAAATACACAAAACTGTTCTACCTAAAGGCGTGCTATGTAGCCGAAAAGAAAGCGGTCAGTGTCACGTTCGAAAACCATATCAAATGCAATGTATGTCGTTTGTACGTACTTCCAACTCATTGATGGAACCCGTCATTGTCGGTTGCCAAAGGCGACTGGTTCCATGAGCGGTGACACCCCATGCATGGGTGTAACTACTGACAGTTGTCGCATCAGTTATCCCGCTCGCCCCGCACCGCACGAAGGGCCTTCATGGTCATCAGAGTTAACCATGTGTGCCACTGCATTATGCATTTTACATTTCTGTCATGCTCTGGGAACGAACGTCTGGGCCCTGAGCATTTATGGAGCATATACTGCATTAAAGGAAATGTCCAACATCCAAAGATATTGAGGCAAGCATTGAGGCAGATATGATGAAAAAGCTCACTTATAATCATTGCCATATTTCTAAGTAGAACAGACTACTCTAGACAACCAGGCTTCTCTGTTTCGTGATCATACTTCCAAATACGCCATTATTTGATTACACCATCATACATTACACAACATTGATGGGAAACGAATCGACGGCCGTCATGTTCGTAAATCGTGCTTACGAACGCCAGACATGCACGACTCGAAAATTACATTTGCCTTAGACTTGAACGCTGCATGGGTAATGGAATGGCAGGACTGGAATGACGTTATTATAACGCCATGGATACCTGAGTGGCCTTCAGATAGTCTCCCCGAAATAGACTGCACACCTGCGCGGGCGTGTAGCGCAGAAACTGGAGGGGTTTAGTTAGGTCTTGAGGAGGGCAAGATCGTAAACTGCACCGAATGACCTTCAAGATGACTGTTTCAGTTCAAAATCCTATTCAAGTGTGGAACACTCCCTGTCTTTACACTAACGTCTTCTTTTCTGATTTATTCCTGCGAAGTGCACGTGTGACGTCATCTGCAAACTTTTTGCGGGTATGACTGTGGGTGGCTGGGAGTCACTAATGCCCGGTAAGGCACGGCAGGTCCTACCATGCTACTTACCACGATTTCCACACGCACAAACCTTAAAGTCACTGGCAGCAACTGGAGGGCTTCATAACAGCACACGGCCCGGCACACGGCACTCGTCAGGCATCGAGTCACGACGTCGACGCCTCGGACTGAGCAGAGGGCCAGGCATGAATCGCAGTCTCTTCGATATCCACACGAACATCGTAATGTAGTTTGTAACGTGTGACGTCCGCTTGTTTAGCAGGGGCTCCTGATTCATAGATGTTCAATCGACGGAACTTTCAGTCGTCGCTCCTCAGGGTTATTGGAGGCGCTCAGTCAATCGTGCAGTCGATCTTTATTCCTCTCTGCACCGCACTCTCGCTATTTTTCATTCGCTTTACATGCTGGACTGTGTCTGTCACCGGACCCATCCTTTATAATCACCGGCTCTACGTTCCATTCGCTCCATGAAGCCCACATTTACTCTTTCGCCACTGACCTACCCACTAACGACAATTAACTGACCTACTGCACTGACTTTTCACCACCATCCAGCCCCTCACATGGACACGGGATCCCCCCACCCCCACCCCCACACTCATCAGCGAGATCGACTCATATCGTACGCCAATGATGGCACAGAACTTGAGACGCCTCCTCGTCCCCGGCGGATGACGCCTGAGGAGGACGCCCCCCCCCCCCCCTCTCCCGTCGCGTCACCACTCAATAGGGGCGTCGCTACTCTTGAGCACCACATACGAGGTGAAGCGCTGAAGGAAGCGAGGGTACTCCCGCTTGTAGACGAGCCGGAGCGCGACTGTCGGCGCCCAGCCGCCCGGGTTCACCATCGAGCTGTAGGCCACGTGCGTGCGCAGCTGGGCGCGGCTGTCGGCCGCCGCCGCCTCGTCCTGGCCGGCCAGGCACGCCGTCATCGTGGCGCGCACGCAGCCGGCGGCGGCGCGTGGCGCGCCCGGCAACGCCTCTGCCGAGTGGTTAACCACCACAGACCAGGGCCGGCCGGCCACCGAGCGGCGGCACAGGTGCGACCAGAAGACGGTGTCGCGCTGCTGCGCCGGCCACACGCGGCAGTGCACCTGGTGGCAGAGAACGGTGCTGGGGTCGGGCCGCGCCAGCACCTGGATGCGGTCCACAGTCGTCTCCCAGTCGAGCCGCGTCTCGGGCCGCCAGTACTCGCGGCACAACTCGCGCGCAGTGACGCCACGCACCTCGTGTACTGCCTTCAACGGGTCCACTGACCGGTTGTCGGCGGCCACCTCTAGCCGGTACATGCGCATCTCGCCCTGCTCCGCGAACAGCGACCAGCCGTCGGCAACGTCGGCGCTGGCCAGCGCCAGCTGCTCGCTCACGACGCGGTCGATCTCGGCGGCCAGTGGGTGGCCGAGCGCGCGACACTGGCCGAGGCACTGGCCCGCCGCCGGACCAGGCGCGCGACACAGAGGCGCGGCGGAGTCGTCGGCCTGGGCGGCGGCCGGCGGCGCGGCGCTGGGGTCGCCGGTCGCTGCCGGCGTCGGCTGGCACACCGGGCCCGTCGCGTCGGCGGTGGTGGAAGTAGCCGCCGCCGCCGTGGCGGCGTTTGTCTCAGCCGTTTGCGGTTGTTCGTCAGTTTCCTCTGTTTGGGCACGGCCTGACAGATTCTTGTTCTCGTGCTCCTGGACACCGTGCGACGTGTCGCCGCTTGTCTGCTCTCGAATGGTTCTTCCCTGGTCTGCATTCTCCTGCTCCTCTTCACCGCGGGGCTGAGTGACTACCTCCTGTCTCTCATCACTCGGTGACCAGCTGCCTGTCTCCTCCTCAGTGCTCTGACGCCGTTCGCCTTTCTCCTGTTCCCGCCGCTCCCTCTCGCAGCGCTCCACTCTCTTAAGATCCTCGGTCTCCAGGTGTAGCAGGCTGGCGGCTAGCGCGTCGCAGAACTCGTCGTCACTGAGCGCGCAGCCCGGACCCTCCTCCAGTGACACCGTGCTCAGCCGCGCCGAGCGCGCCTGAAGCGAAAGTAGTCGCTGCGGCCGCGGAGGACCGGCCGACAGCACGGACGCCACCCGCGCCTCCAGCGCCTCCACGACCGCGCGCACGGCGGCCAGCTCGGACCGCATCGCCGTCACCACGGCGACCAGCTCCCGCAGATCAGCGCCCTCGGCCGACGCGCAGTCCCCTGTGGAGTCCTGCTTCGACGGAGCAGGCGCCAGCGCACTCGTGCCTCTCACCTCCCTCTGGACGTGACCGTTGACGGCGTCGGCGCGGGGCGCTGGCGTTGGAGGCGCCCCGGCGGCGGTGGCGGGCGGCGCGCCACCGCCGGCGCGGCGACCTTTACCGCGCAGCGAGCGACGCAGCCGACGCATGAGACCCATGGCGCGGCTCTGCGGCCGCCGGCGGAGCGTGGCCGGGACGCCGGAGCACCTGATAGCTTATCGGCCGGCCAGCGGCTCGGCGGTCGGTCACGGGGCGTCCGGCGCGAGTATGGCACGGCCCGCCGTTGGCACGGGAAGAGGTGGTGCTTATCGGGCCTGGCCCGCGCGGGCTGAGCTGTCGAGAGATTGCAGACGGTATCGTGCTGCTGGTCTATGATAAGTTGCGACAGGTCGTCGACGGTTTTTTTTAATCTTTGCACTCTAAATGAAAGCTCAAAGCTCGTGCACCGTGGTGCCAGGAATCTTGAGACGTACATATTGAGCGTACACTCGTGGACCGCTTGTGTGAAATTATAAAAACTAGGCAAGCCACGATGGAGAGGGATACAAGCGAGTAACCACACGGCATAAAAACGTCGATACGCCAAGATGGTGGCTAGTCAAACGTCAACGCAAAAGCAGATTCCATTTTGATGAGATGTCAACGGCTGAATGGATATTTATTTTTTTCGGTACGCCGAGCACCCATGGCTCGTGAGTGCGGGACATAGCGTTAGGATGGCCCAACACGACGTGTGCAGGTTCACGGGCAGGTTCTCTGAGTCCAGCACACGTGTGGCATCCCAGATATCCTCCCTTGACAGCGACTTTACTGAAAAAATACCTCATACGGCACTTTTCAACTTTCAACTTTTCCTTGTCATTCTACCGATGCTAAATAAACATCAAGCCCTCGTGAGTCACGGTGCGGCAGACTTTCGAGGAAGTAAGCCACCTGTGCCCTGCAGTGGTGCTTACAAAAACCGGGTGCGGCGTCCGTGGTGTATTTTTCTGAAGCATCTCGATGGAGACGTGTACATCGATGAGTGACAGAGGCAAGAGCTAAACCTGTCTTTCGACACGACAGTAAACAAAGTCTGGGCGCTGATCACCCATGTCACGATATGCGATACCATGCATTGTGAGGGACGGCGCTGGCGCAGCCATTGCCTCCAACGGCTTGCCTTAGCGCCTAGGGAAACAGACTGCGGACATGACCACGCAGCCCGCCGCGCCCCACCGTCTCCGGCGAGACAGCCAGACAAACAGACAGACAGAGGGACAGACAGTGCAAAGAGCCGGTCCGGCGCCACAGGCCAGCCATCTGGGCGCCTCCGATGGCGCGACCTCGGACCCGGGAGTCAGGCAAACCGCGGCCCGTCGCGGCCAGCGCCGTGGGGGAGGGGGTCGGCGCAGCGCCAGCCGGCCTCACAGAAACTCCATCTCGCGTTCGATGCCTACAAACTTGAGCTGCTCCGTGGGTCCGTATCTGCAAACCAGAGAGCGGCCGTGATAATGACGACATTGGGCGCTTTGATAAGGCGACTAAACACTGGTGATAATACCCAGTAGTGCTCGGCGAGACAAGTATTGTAAGTAAATACAGCGTAGTACTCGGGTGGCATTGCAGTGGTTTATGATCCTCTCAGAAACAGCAAGATGGTCACCTCAAACTTAAAGCGCCTGTCCAACAATCTGCAGCCCTACATACATTCCGACCTTTTAGTTCCTACTGTCAACTGCGGTTATGAGAAGGAGCATCCGGGCCGAACATACTGGTAACATCAGCGGCACGCGTCCACAAACATGTGCCGACAGATTGCAGTCGGTGAAAACACGAAGCGCCGCTAAGACCACAGACCGTGGCCTGACTGGAAGCCCGCTCTGGCCCATATCAGGCCAAGAACAGCAACCGACTCCGGCGCCCGGGTCGGTCGAGTCGCCATCGCCCACCTGTAGTCAAAAAATAGCTCGTCACCAGGCTGGATCGGTCGCTTGGCGAAGATGCCGATCCTGTGGTCGCCGTTGACCATCATCACCTTGGCGTAGCAGTTGGGGTTGATGGAATGGTTGGCGAAACGGATTTTGTTGCCCTTCCTGGTAGCGTCCACCACAAAATCTGAAACGGTCGTGCGCTGTGTCATGAACAGAAGCGGAACGGGTTGCCACCCACAATGCACGCGATTTCCGCTTGCTTGTCCCTGCATTTCAGGCCCAGACTAATCACGCGGGATCAGTGTTGAAATGGGCCTGATCAGCTCCACGATCCCGCAGTTGGCAAAACACAGCGACGATACCCGCACACTTCGGCACATCACTCGCCCACACCCATCGCAGCGAGTACGACGAGGACTGCGGATGTCTGAGGCATGCTGTGACACCATCACAGATGTCTGGGAGGGGGAGGAGGTGACACAACACCATTACACATTCTGGGGCATGACACAACGCGCACAGTTGTCTGGGACATGACACAACACCATCCCAGATTCTGGGGTGACACAACGCGCCACACATGTCTGGAGCATGGCACAACACCATCACAGATGTCTGGAGCATGGCACAACACCATCACAGATGTCTGGGGCATGGCACCACACCATCACGTCACGCTCTTCGCGACATGCAGTGAAGAGTTTGCAGCCCGTCGGGGCGCTTTCCCGTCGAACCCAAGCCTCACCGTTATTGAGATTGAACAGGAACGAGCACATGTACTTGTCGTAGACCTTGCCGCGCCGGTCGGCCTCGTCCTGCGTGATGACCTCGCCGCAGTACTCCGAGATGAACTCGTTCTTCTGCGCCGAGTCCTCCAGGAAGATGCCCCAGCCGGCCACGTCCGACGGCGCCATCAGCAGGTGCTTGTGCAGGCCGCGCTGCACGCTCACGTTCTTACACTGGATCTTGTCCACCTGCCGAGCGGCACGGAGGTGAGGCAGGCCCAAAGGCGAACGGCACAGGCTGGGCTGCGCGCGCCGAGGCGGGGAGAATCCGGGCCGGACTGCCCGAGTCGATGGCACACGGCACGCCGAGGACATCTGTTGTCAATGATTGGCCATCGATACATAATAGGCTCTGCGGCCGCCAGCGTCGTTAACCGTCACGTAAACAGGGAGCGGTGACAGACCTTGTGATGGACATCGAACTCACATTTTCCATCAGTTGCACCACAAGAACATGTACTTATCACAAGCGAGCACCAGGACCCGATGAAGCTGAAGTGTTGAACAGCTTTTTCAGCGGGCTATTCGGAAGCGCGCGACAAGCATACTTTATCGTCAAATGTCCATTTGTACTGGCCGACAGACGGTCGCATTAGACTTGGCGACAACCGGCGACAAATTTCAAACACAACAGGTGATCTATGGCGCCGGCGCCGACACCATGACATGACCCACCGCACGCCCCAAACGACGACGAGCCAGAGCTGACCCAGGTCTCTCCCATCTACCTCGCACGGATCTGAACCGAGCCTTGGGGCAGGAGGACGACCTGACCTTAACCTGATCCTTATGACCGCTTCGTGCCGAGTCGCCATCCCGTCCCCGGGCTCTCCTGACCTCAACTGGTCCTGATCTCACCCAGTCTCCCTGGCGGTCCCCATCCCAGTCTGAACTGACCCAGGTTCCCCGCCCCATTCATCAGCCAGGACTCCTTGACCACTCCCACTCTGACGCAACCCCTGCCTCTCCCGTCGACTTCCGTCCTGATCGGGCCCTGGTTTCTCTGACCCAACCCAGTTCTATACGACCGCCCTCGCGTTGACCTGACCACGACATCGCGGTCACGTCCGTCCTACCTGAAATGACACCTCTCCCCCCCCCCCCCGCTCCTGTGCTGACCCATCCCCACGCCCGGGGTCCCGTGCCGGGGCCTCCCCTCCCCGCGCCGTCGCGCTGACCTGCAGGTGGTGGGCACCGCAGCTGCGGCACAGGTCCGGGTCGCACTCGCGCACAGCCAGGAAACACGGGCACTGCTTCGTGTTGCACTGCGCCTTGCACCGGCAGCCCGGGAACCGGTTTTGACCTGCGACACGAACTCCGGGTCAGGGCGACGCCGGGCCGCGACATAACGCACCAAGTGTGGGGCGCCACTCGGTAGCTTCTCAGAGCTTCCGTCTTGGGAGAAAACCTTATGCTGCGTTGTGAAGCGATGGAAAACGCATGTGGTTCCGTCCGTGACGGAGCGCCGCTCGGCGAAAAGCGCAGGCGGGATGCTGCCCGGCGGAGCGGGACGGCAGCCCTCGCGCAGCGTTCCGCCGCGCCGGTGAGCACGGCATGCCGTGTCGGACACCGTGTCGATTGGCCAGCCCGTAGAGCCGTCTACATCAGAGAGGCGCGTCGGGAGCACACCGTGTCGGCGGAGCGCTCGAGCACGTGTCGGGCATGCCGGCCCGGCACTCACAGTCGAGCGAGCACTGGCAGAACTTCTCGCAGAAGTTCTGCGCGCCGACGCACGAGCAGGTCTCGTCACACGGCTGGCCCGGGTGGTTGCAGGGCGTGTAGTTGTACACGTGGTTGCTGGACGTGTCCTTCTTGAGCTGAATCTTGCGGCAATGCACCGACCAGAGGCGCAGCTTCTTCTTCTTCTTGCGTGGCGGCGTGCTGTCTTTGACGTGCTCCTCGGCGGGCAGGTTCGACGCCTCTTCCTGGGCGAACCGGTACACCTGACGGACAGAAGGAATAGGCCATTAAGCATTCCGTATCTGCGAAACACGGCCCGATTTTGCATTGGAGAGAAGGTATATTCTCGACCACGAAATGCGAGCTGAATACGAGACCGAAACGCACAAAAGTGGCATTGGGTAGAGTGCATTTTTTTAGCCCTTGCACAAGCGTTGCCAGCAAATTATGGTGTGAACGTAAAGCTAAGGAAGGATTTCTCGTTCTCAATTGGACAGGCCCATGATTACCAACTGAAATATTAAGGCAAGATTTTTGAAATCTGCTTTCGGTTTCATCTATATTTGGCCAAAATTAACGACTTTTCTTCAAGAAAATCATTAGAAGCCCATCTCTAACCGATAAATCACTCACAGCGGTTCTACCATTAAAGACTGCTCCCCTGTGCGGCCAATTAACACATTTACGAGAATCATTAGGAGCCTAAACAAGCAATATCAAACCAGATTATCAACTGGCAGCAGCTATGTTGTTAAAGACTGCTCCTCTATGCGCGTCATTTCTATAGCATTATGAGTTCCGACGTTTATTTCGAGCCATTTCGGGCAGTGGCGGTGGGATTGGTTGACAACATGAATGCTACTTATAAATTTAGCGCAGCGTCATACACTGAGGATAGTATTGAAGCAGACTCAACGTCGGTGAGTTGATGTAGCAGATGCTTACTATTTCTGACTGGTTTGCTTTCCCCGATCACTTGGCAGCAGTATTCTGACGTCCCAGACGGGTCTAGTTTTGTGTGTAAGTTTGGGAAGGAGCAGATAAAATCGTTGGAACCAGATAAATGGCTAAAGCACTGCTTTCTCCCTTGGGTGTTACCCAGTTTCTTCTCAAAGCTGGTGTGTGTGGGGGGGGGGAGGGGGGAGGCCATTTGCATCTAACTGAATAGGAAACGACATTCCTGGTCCATATTAAATATACCTAGGTTATAGGAAGCCTAGGTGGGTATCGCGTCGTCCCAGCATCCGCCCCTGACCGTGAGAAAGACACTACCTCGGCTGGTACTTCGCTGCACTAACTACCATGTGCCAAATGTTCCAAGCATACTGTGGTGGCTTGCATGAGATTTCACTAATGGCTATTGTAGGTGGCTTGCATAACATTCCACTAGTGGCTTCTGTGGTGGCTTGCATGAAAGTCCACTAGTGGCTTCCGTAGTGGCTCGCATACTATTTCTTTTGTCCAAAATGGCTGCGGCTGTTGACGCGCCCCCAAGCCCAAAAAACAGCAGCATGACATTTCAATCATGAAGTTGTCAGGACGTGCCCTGGGGAACTAGGCAACAGGTGTATAACATCTGAGGCGTTGGCTTCATCAACCCTAATCGAGACTCAGCTTTCATAATAAAACTGGCAATGCCACCAGCTTTCTATGTGCCCCACAGGTTAAACGCACAGTACGCGTAGGCATACACTTAGGAAGGAAGCAATTACTCGGGAAACTAGAAACTCTCAGAACTACAAACTGCCAATCTTCAACCGTCTTTGGCAATCACCGAGACCAGCTAGTGAATGGCATTCACTGTAAACTACTGCTAAAGAATGTACCAGTTGTGTACTCAGTGCAAATTCATCTCGGCTATTTGTTTTCACCACAAGCCACGATTTTAAAAGCTTTGTTCTCGCACACCGAGAGCCAAAACTAAATTTAATGTACTGCCCGGAACGCACGCGAGCGCCAAAAACAACCCGTACACCAAAGCGATACCCCAACAGGCAAGCACGGCCACCACAACAGGCGAGCTGGACTTCCCCCGAACCTGCCGTCCCCACCGCACCTGCTGGCACGTCTTGGAGATCATGGCCTGCGCGACAGCGCAGTAGTTATTGAGGAAGATCGGGTGCAGCGTGCGGAAGAGCGACTGGTCGGCGCCGGTCCACGCCTCGTCGTCGGCGGCCGGGTCGGCTGCGTCGGCGCCGGCCGCCGAGCCCTCGCCGGAGCCGGTGCGCCGCCGGTGCCGGTCCATGCTGGTCACCACGCCCTGCAGCGCGCCTGTGGCACGCCGGCACGCGCGCACTGTGTGAGGAGACGTCACACGAGTCCCGCGCGGTGTTGCGGCGCGCGGGCGCGGGTGCAGCACCGCACGGCCACCACGTGGCTTCCGTAGACACGGGCTGTACTCCGTGCGGTACACAGGCAGTGCGACTCACGGCCCAAGCCGGGGTCGTGCGGCACAGCGGTGCCGACTCGTACAGCGGTCTGAACGGGGCGTCGAACCCCACGCACGCATGCACGCACGCACCCACGCACTCACTTAGTCACTCAGTCAGTCATTCACGCAGTCAGTCACGCAGTCAGTCACGCAGTCAGTCACTCACTCAGTCATTCACTCACTCAGTCATTCACTCACTCAGTCATTCACTCACTCAGTCACTCACTCAGCCACCCACTCTGACTCCAGTCACTCCCTCCCTCCCTCCCTCCCGGGGCTGGGGCGGGGCTGGGGCGGGGGCGGGGCTGGGGCTGGGGCGGGGCTGGGGCGGGGCTGGGGCGGGGCTGACCAGTGAGACCCGACTTGGTCTCCGGATGGACGCTGTCGTTTTACGTGCCGCCACTGACCAGTGAGAGCCGACTTGGTGGTCTCCGGATGGACGCTGTCGTTGCTGTCCTCGGAGCTGGCTTCGTTGCCGGAGTCGACAGACCAGGGCTTGAGCGTCTTGCGCGGCCGCGAGTCGCTCGAGTCCTCGTCGGGCGGCTGGAGACGCGCCACGATTTTGTCCCGTTCACCGTCCTGTCGGGGCGAGGGCGCGGGTGTCAGATCGGCGCGGCGAGGGCGCGGGGTGCCAGATCGGCGCGACGAGGGCGCGGGGTGTCAGATCGGCGCGGCGAGGGTGCGGGGCGTCAGATCGGCGCGGCGAGGGCGCGGGGGTGTTAGATCGGCGCGGCGAGGGCGCGGAGGTGTCAGATTGGCGCGGCGAGGGTGCGGGGCGTCAGATCGGCGCGGCGAGGGTGCGGGGCGTCAGATCGGCGCGGCGAGGGCGCGGGGGTGTTAGATCGGCGCGGCGAGGGCGCTGGGCGTCAGATCGGTGCGGCGAGGGCGCGGCGCTGTCGGCGACGGCCGGAGTACCGGGTACCCAGGCTCGGATGGTGATGACGGCTATGTGAGGTGGCTTCAGAGGTCAACAGTTTCGTCGTAGCTGGTGCTGTGACGTCGAGATGTTCGGTGCTCATTAGGATCACTTGGATGGATATGATGACGTCAGATGCAAGCAGTGTCGTGGAACGTGACCCCAGCGTATATTCTTCGGTGCCGCTTCGGGGGTGGAACATTTGTATCGGGAAATTGGGGTATGTGGGTACATTTACATAGGATTCCAAGCTTAAATATTCTTTGAATCAACGTATTTGGCTGAATATTCGAAAATCCCGCATACGGATGCGTAACCCCAAATAGCCCCGCCCATTTCGTGACAGGAAGTGCACCCAGTGTTACAATCATAGCCGCAGTACTTAACTTAGTTCAACTGCATGACAACGGGACCACACCAAATGGAGTAACAGCGCAACATAGTGACAACCCGAGAGGACGGCTCCAATGACTGTTTGTCGTCACATGATCGGCACAGGATCGTTACCAGCCGGCAGGACCTGTCGCTCACCAAGTGTAGGTAGCAGTTCTCGCCGCACGGCTCCGTCGAGATGGGCAGGTCTGGCGTCTTGCGTTTGTGGGAGCTCGGGCCCGGGTGGTACGACTTGAGGCCTGCCGACGACAGCGCAGGTCACACCGACGCTGCCCGCTGGGGGTCAGGCGGAGAGCCGGTGCGCGCAGCCGGGCGCGGCGGCCGGACCGATGCTCGGGGTCACGGTCCGCGCCAGTCGAGCACACGTGGCGTGCGCGTCGGACGCACGTCTACAGAAACGGCGCGAGGAATTTTGACACGATGAAGCTGCATGTCAACAGCGGTCCAAAAGCATGAGGATGACCCGGGAGGAAGCGCGAACAGAGCCCCGAACCAAGCGCACGTTGTCAAGAGGCAACGACGCAGACACACAGCCCAAAAGGGGCTGCAAAGTCTTAAACGTCCACCTTCAGGTGCCCAAGAACCCCGCTGGCAACACAGTACGCCCCAATCGACGCGGCGTGCGCCCGGCTCCCCCCACCCACCGGCGAGCGTCAGCCGGCCCGCTGGAGACGCCACCACTCACGGTGCAGGAAGCAGTCGTACTTGTAGCAGCGGCGACAGAAGAGCGTGCGGAACGAGTGCATGGTCTGCTCACGGGGCACCGACTGCGCGGTGGGCCCGTCAATGTTGGGCGTGCACTCGGGCGGCAGCGCCTGCGGGTCCATCAGCTCGTGGTACCTGCCGCACACAGCCAGTCATGGTAGCCGCCGTCCACGACGAGCGAGATCACACGGCTCGCACAGCGACAGTACAGAACGGCAGTGCTGCAATGTCTGCATTCAGCAGCGCGCCATGGCAGCGCCGTAGTTACCTGAGAGCATGGGAAACGTAGTAACAATAATTATTCATTCGTGGCACATGAGAGCACTACTCCAGTCAGCTCTATATATAGTCTCTGGTACATGAGAGCACTATTCCAGTCAGCTCTATATATATAGTCTCTGGTGCATGAGACTATATTCCAGTCAGCTCTATATATAGTCTCTGGTACATGAGAGCACTATTCTAGTCAGCTCTATATATAGCCTCTGGTACATGAGCACACTAATCCAGTCAGCTCTATATATGGTCTCTGGTACATGAGAGCGCTATTCCAGTCACCTCTAGATATGGTCTCTGGTACATGAGAGCACTATTCCAGTCAGCTCTATATATAGTCTCTGGTACATGAGAGCAATATTCCAGTCAGCTCTATATATATATAGTCTCTGGCACATGAGGCCATATTCCAGTCAGCTCTATATATATATAGTCTCTGGCACATGAGGCCATATTCCAGTCAGCTATATATATATATATATATATATATATATATATATATATATATATATATATATACATATTCCCTGGCACATGAGACTATATTCCAGTCAGCTCTACATATAGTCTCTGGTCCATGGGACTACATTCGAGTCAGCGGACTGCGACCGCCAGTGCCCGACAGCCAGGCCTGGGCCCTAGGGAGCCCTTTTTCCGAGCAGGAGCAAGGCCGAGACTGCAAACGTCAGTCACAAAGCCATTTCATTGTTAGGGGCCCCTGGAACAGAAAAGGACCCTGAAGTGCCTAACGGGGAACACTGTGTCGGCAATGACCCCAGGTCGCCATGGGGCATATTTGCCGAGCGGGGATAGGGATTGTTTTGTTTGTTAACGCCCCGAATGTCAAAGACCTCTCGCGTTGGTAGAAGCCCCCTTGACAATGAAAGAAGATATTAGAAATGACGGTGCAAACATTTACAACGATGCGGTGAAAAGGCCCTGTGCCAGTCAGAGGCCCCAGCACCAAACTAGGGGCCCTCCGCACCGTTTCGACCAGGGCCGATGAGCCGACTTAGTGTCTCGGTGCCAGTTTTTCGACTCTTTGCACCAGTATGAGATCATTTTGCATCATTGAAGGCACCTGCGTCGATTCGGTGCCACATGTCCCGGTCAGAGCACCTGCCACATCAGGGAGGGACCAGTGCACGACGTATCCCTCTGAGGGTCTCTGTACCGACCACGGGAGACAGTCTCCGTATCGCCAGAATGGCAACCACTGGGAGGGGGGTCCTGGGATCGGACGGAATGCTCTTCAGCTCCTACTCCTAACCAGAACATTTTACCTGTGCAATTTCGAAGTTGATCCTCTGAATGGAATTGGCAGTTACAGCAACAAGAGCAGTAGAGATGATGTCATCGCGTCACGAGTTCTTCGCGCTGCATATGGTAATCAGTGCCCATCGGATCAATCTGAACATCGCACGGGTGGAATCGCATATACCAATCGATTCCATAAAGTGCTGGAAAGTATCAGCTTCCGATACAAGATCGGTTTCGCATGGCTGTTGCCGCCGCTGGGTACTACTGCGAGGCTGGTGCCGAACAACGCATGGAGACTGCGACGCCGCACTAAGGTGTTATTTTTCCTGGACGGTGAACGCACGTGCTTTAACTATTCCACAAGTTTGTTTTTGTTTTTGTTGATCAATTCTAAAGAGAAAAAATAAGGTTTCCAACCAAACAAGGGATGGGTATATCAATACAAATGTTTGACCATGACGAAATCTACGCTGGGGTTTAATCCACCGCCCCAAACATCTCTGGAAAACCCCCAGCAAATATGTTACTACCCAGACAGTTCTTATTTAACATGCGCCCGGCCGGCCAGCTGGTTACCCTTCGCTCGGATAGGGGAGGGGGGGGGGGACTGTGTCAATTTGACCCCTGAATCTCAAAAATTAAGATAGCTAGACACTCCTAAGTCATAACTTTCGTGACAAATACGGCCGAAAAGGTTGAAACTGCGGATTGGTCCAAAAAGATCTCCTCATGCAACCGCCTTGAAGGTGGATACCTGTTCCAAGTCAATGGTTTTCATCTAAGGTTACTGACCTTTTTGGTCTTTTGAAGGCAACAGTGATAAAAATCCAACAAGTATTTCAGTATTTGCATTTGAATAAGCATAAGGGATAACGTTAGGCGGCATGTTCTTAAAAAATGCTGACCCAGGTCCTTTCAGGTCGATGGCCTAACTCTACTTTAAAGATGTCCATGGAACGTGTCTGTTCCCGTCTCTGCTAGAAATAATTCCGAAATGAGCGCCAGAAACTATTCCAGACAGCAAGCTCTCGAATAAAAAAGCGGGTTGATTTGGATCTCGGTCCGACCTTCATACCCGACCCTGGCCGATGGAATACGTCAGCGACCTTACAAGGCACATCTAATCTTCTACAGCAAAAGATCCGCCACTCAACCACCCACAGGTATCCAAAGTTTGGCGCAGCATCGCCGCGCCATTCCGAAATCATTCCGGAAGAACCCTTGGGCGGGAGATAATTCAACCCCCCCCCCTCCGAGCACGTGCTAACAGAAAGGCACCATTTGTCATCGTAAGGTGAAAAGTGCCCGCTGCTTCATTGATGCAATCCTTTAATTCCTGCTTAACTGAATTCTATTTGCTCTAAATGTGTGCTAAATTACATCTTCCGGTAATCTCTGGCTCCTCTTTCAGTCGAATCAGTTGAACACACAAACAAAAATGGCCTCTAGAAATAAGGTGGGTCACATTTGGAGGACCCTTTCCCGCGCAAGATAACTAACTGATGGTCTGGAAATGAAGTGACCAAAGTCCGGGGTCTTTCTGTGAGAAGGGTTGGGGTTGGGGGTTGGGGGGGGAGGGGGCAAGTTCAGGGGAGCGCCATAATAAACCGCGGCCCGTCTCTTGACAAAACTCATATCACGAACCAACTCCAACTGCGGCACTGGCAGGACGAACAAACGTCACACCACATTAAGCATGCAGAGACACGAACAACTAACAAAGGTCGAGCAAAAAGGTGACGGCATGAGCTACTGACTTCTCCTTGAGCTCGCGTGGCGTGCCCCTGTCGGGGAACATCTCTGAGACGGCCTCGAACACGGGCGTGGCGGGGCGGGCGTCATCACTGACGGCGGCGTCCGAGTCCTGGCTCTCCTTGTTCTGCCGACAGGTGGCAGGTCGGAGGTCAGTCGGCGAGTGCATTCCACTCGCGGTCTCGAAGCATTGAGCTGACATGGCGGCAGGATTCCAGTGTGAAACACTTCAATGAATGTTCAGAAAGTAGCAATGTTACATCAGGGCAATCGCAATCACCCTTACAGCTAACACGGGCATGGTAATGCCACCACCACTGGTAACACAAAATAGTGTACGCCATTTAAATCAGTCGAACGCTACTGGCAGGACCGACGACCCCCGTAACGAAGCCGTGATTTAACACAGATCCGTCAAAACCTCGTCCTCATACTCCTCCGATGCCTCCCGCCATCCTGTGCGGAAGTCTTCCTCGCCTAGTCGAATCCCACCTCCGACACTGGGTCCACCCCAAGACCACTACCGGATCTTATCGTCCGACCACACACCTGGTACGGGATGAGCGCCTTCACGAGGTCCACGAAGATCTCGTCGTCAATGAAGCCCGGCTCCTGGTCACCATGAACCTTGCCATCGTAGTTCTTGATGAGCTCCTCGATGAAAGAGCCGTCCTTGTCCAGCACCTCGTCCCCCATGTACGGGATGTTGTGCAGCACCGTCTCGTCCTCCACCTGCCATGGCCATCATGGTGCCTTACATGCCGCCGACCGTGCCGTCAAAAGCTGCTGCACCCTCAGCTGAAACACTCCTCTTGTGATTGCTACCGCTCGGCGTCTGTGAGGCATTGCTGTCGCCGTGGTAACAGAGCCGTCGCCAGAGAGTAATGCGACGCACCCGTGGATACACGGCATTGGAAGATTAAGGCATTAACCACAGCGCATCTGCATCATTAGACAATAAGCGCGTGTGGTGTTTGACATTAACCCCAATGGCGTGAGACATCGTGAACGCAGGCGCCGCTGTATGTCGGATACGTACTTTGTCAGCAGGCAGCAGACATGCACGTTTTGTCCTGCAGTAGGAGGGGCGTAGCCTGCTGGGAGTACAGCCCCAAAATCCACCAAAAATACATCACTCTAGCTGCCACAGACCTATCTCGTGTGCGCGCGCACAGCGTGGCCTACGCGCCGCCCGGCACCGCTGCTCACCATGAAGTTGGTCTGTATGGGTGACCACTTGTACATGGTGGGCAGCGGGTTGGCCTGGTAGAGCATGCGCAGCGGCACGCTGGCCCTGTCCCGCCGCTCGCCGCTCTGCACGTCCGCTGACGCCAGCTTGCTGATCTTGCCGGCCAGCTGCTTCTCGACGGGCGCGAGCCAAACGGCACCCGAGGTCAGCTGGCGCCGGTCCTCGTCCAACAGCTGGTCTGGGGGGTAGCACGCGCTGCCGATCAGCAGACTGAGACAATATGTCACGCGCCAGTGTCAGCAAGGGCTGGCGGTAGTGGTACCATCAGCTGATGCCTCATGCCACGCTGATGCCAGCTGATGCCTGGTTATCTGGATCCAGATAATACTGTTCATTGCCCATTAGTGGGAAAGAAGAACTACAATGGTCGGAACGACATCTCAGATCGTGACTTATTGCTTCTGTTTGCTGAGAATTACATTTTCTTGGATCAATACACTTCAGTGCCGATATACATACGATCATCTGATAACGGCTTTGAAACAAGACCCATCCACGCAAACTGATCGGGGAAAATTTGACAAAAAGAACACTATGGGACTGATTTAGTGAGGTAGAGAAACTATCTGAAAAAATGGCCAGAAAAATCCTCGGCACATAACACATCAGCTCACTCTGACAGGAACTTGATGGCCAGGAACCCACGAGACGCCTCCCGGCCGTGCCCGGGGCAGCTCACCGCGGCCCCTGCCCGCGTCCGCGTGGCCGTGCCCGGGGCAGCTCACCGCGGCCCTTGCCCGCGTCCGCGTGGCCGTGCCCGGGGCAGCTCACCGCGGCCCTTGCCCGCGTCCGCGTGGCCATGCCCGGGGCAGCTCACCGCGGCCCTTGCCCGCGTCCGCGTGGCCGTGCCCGGGGCAGCTCACCGCGGCCCCTGCCCGCGTCCGCGTGGCCGTGCCCGGGGCAGCTCACCGCGGCCCTTGCCCGCGTCCGCGTGGCCATGCCCGGGGCAGCTCACCGCGGCCCTTGCCCGCGTCCGCGTGGCCATGCCCGGGGCAGCTCGCTGCGCCCTCCGGCGCGTGGCCGCTCTGCCTCTTGCCGCCGGACGGTGGCGGACGTGGGCCGCGTAGCCGGCCAGCCTACCTGACAGCAGCTGCCGGTTCTCGTTCCAGGCCGACTTGATCTCATCGGCGCGCTTGTAACGGCGTAGCGTGCGCAGGCGCATATATTCAAACTTGACCCACTTCTTCCAGTCGGCCGGCAGCTTCGGCTTGGACGGCGCCATGACGGGCTAGGCAGGTGGCTACAACTGCTGGCGAAGATGGTGCTTGTAAGAAGGATGTGGTGGATATGAAGCACTAAATGCAAAAAGACAGCAGCCAAGTGCACCAATGGTGACTAACCAAAGGAAGAGATAGAGAAGTCAGCTGACCTTGATTTCATGATGAGAAAACCTGACAAACTAATGGGGGAATACACTGCTTTGGGGTGGACATGGTGATGACTGACTGGTCAAGCCACTAACCCAAATACGGTTATTGTTGGTACAAGCAGGAGTGGGACACATGATCCCAAGTGCCCACAGTCTCCTATCTCCTGAGATTGCACCTGAGTCTTCAGCAGTTTCTAGGGCCAACTAAATCCCAATGGTAGGATATTTTCATGTCTATGCATCTATCAGTGATAGTCATTACACACAAAATCAGCCTGGAGGTCAGAGACAAAGAAAACTGGCCTTTGAGGACCTAGATAATTATGCACTTGCATGCCCTGTCCATCTCCTGCCCCAAACTCACATTAAATAATGATGCCTCTGTGCCCAAAACATGACCAAGAACACCTTCAAGCAAGTGTTTTGGTCACCAAAACTTTTAGGGTGGGGAAAAAACAGCTGGTAAATGAGCCCCTAAATCTTATACAGATTATGCACAACTAAATTGCATGCTTGGAAAGTAAATTGGGCAATTATGATGGATTCTGAGTTGTAGGAAAATTGGGAGTTTTTTTTAATGTCATACCCTGCAAGATCCTGGTGCCTATCATCAATGACCTGCTGATGACCTACTTAAACCCATCTGGGCAGCTATCCAAACATCAGCATCATCTCCACACCAAGAAGGCATGCAGCAGTCATCTGTTGGAGGCCGTCAAGGATTGGAGTGGACTGACTGACGAGGTAAAACCAAGTGACACACTACATCTGTATTTGCATAAGGCTTTTAATTCTGTTCCCCACAAACACCTGCCTAGCAAACTGCAGGCCTGTGGCATGTCCCACAAATGGCTTCAGTGGATAGAAGCCTTTCTGACTAGGTGGTAGCAAAAGCTTGATGTCAGGGGCACTCACTCTAATTGATCCCCTGTCATCAGTGGCATTCCTTAGGGGTTGGTCCTGGGGCAACTCCCATTTGTTATTTACATAAATGATATGCCTGATGTGGCAAACTCCTCAATCAAAGTATTCAAAGGTGCCACCAAAGTCTATCCCAGTGAAATTTCATCTGGTTAGATGCAAGAGCTTCAGTGAGACCTTGACATCCAGTAGTCTGACAGACAGCAACTCCCATTTAACAAATCAAAGTGTAAAGCTCTGCATATTAGGTCAAGGAATCTGAAGCACATATATAATATGCAGGGATTAGTTCTTGGCTTCTTGAAGCAACACAAGTTATGAGAGACTTGGGCATCCACTCAGACCCTCACCTAAAATTTTGGAAACAAGCAGCCTTTGCATTCTCAAAGTCCACCCAGATCCTACCACTGATAAGTGATCCTTCCAAAACATCAACACAAAAACACTACCTTTGTTGTACACACACTTATTCATCCTTGTTATTTCAGTACAAATGCTATTTCATTTCATACATAAAGCTATCCTGTATGACTGAACAATGTTGTGAATGAGTCTATTTTCCATGATATTTGAACATCATTAATTTATCACATTAAGATTGGCTCATTACAACAATTTGCCATGCCTGTTTGCTATGATTGTTATGACTAATATACCTTTACCTATAGGTGTATATATATATATATATATATATATATATGTCATATCTGTTTCATGGCTATTCGTGGTGTCTTCTGTGAAGGTCATTAATGCGTCCTACATTCCTCAACACAAGGATACAAAGAAAATTAAAAAAATATTCAAATCACACGACCTCCTTGAAAACTGGACGATATGCTACTTCAATAACATTGTTTTGGAAAATCATGCTGTTCCCAAGGTAAGTTCGCTCATATACTGAATATAAAGGAAATATCATGGACAACCCCCCACCACCCGTACTCACCGCCAACACTGTTGATAATTGAAGCGCGTCTTTTCAAGGAAGCGTGGCTCGCGCATGCGCGCATGAATAAGCCAGCTGGTGATGACGTCATTTCGGACGAACTGAGTTTCTATATCCTGTATTGCACGGCGTCTAGGACGTCACTAAGATACAACACAAACGGAAAAGACACTACAATGCCAGCCAGGGGGTGCTGAGCGCTGGTCAGGATCCCCGTGTCGATAAGTGCCTACATGTCGGTCGGACACCACCAATAACACACCTTCGGTTCAGTAACGGCCTGGGTCTGAAGGCCCATTTCTCAATCAGGGACAAAGCCGGAATCAGCGATTTACATTAGTCACGGCCCCACAGCGCCTGGTGGGGGCCCTGTGCTGGCAAGGGACCCCAAGTCGGCCAGATGCAGTGTTCGAGTGGGCCCGAAGAGTCTGAAAGGCCCACCGGATCTGTGGCGCGCGGCGCATCGATAGATATGTCTGCCGCGGGCCACATGCCGTCACTGGCGTGTGGCCCATGTGGCTTTTGTCGCATGTGGCATGTAGCCTTTTCATTGTGCGAGTGCGGTTTTTGTTTGTTGCGTTTGGCCCGAGCACTCGCTACGGACATGCGCGCCAGGACGGTCAATAGGGGGCCGCCCCTAAAAACACCGGCTTCGTCGGAGAAGGGCACGTTCAACCAGTACACGTTCAAGGAGTACATGGGCACGTTTGTAAAGTAGCACTGAGAGGGACACGGTGGTGGGAGACCATATCGGCCTGGCGCGCCGACGGCCGGGCGCTCGGCGCCTTCACCTCGCCAAAATTGAAGTCCGGCGGAAGAATCGCCAACCCTTCGGCGATCCTGGGATCCCTGACCCTTTTTCTCACTTTAGGTAATTAAGAATACGCGTTCTGGACGTCTTTTTGAAATTACGTGTTCACACGTAAATTCTGATCTGTTGTATGTCGTCCTCTCTTTTCGTGCTTACATCGTGCCGCAGTAATTATCATGCCTAATCTATAGATGTGTCGCTAATGTGTGTTGTTTGACTAACAGACCCCTGCTTGCTGCTTTTCCATGCACTTCAGTGGACAGTCTACTGGAAAATGGCAGCATAATGAACAATATGCGACCGGAATTTTGCAGCATGAGAGGGGATGCATCGTGGTCAGGTCCATATTTCATTGTCAAATTAATGATCTTGCATAGCTCACATAATGCGTACGGCTTGGGCCGGCTGCGAATTTCCCACGAGTGTAATGAAAGGATTTTTGTCACCACGGACTAAATGCGTCACAGATGCTTCGCGTTATGACTCCTCGCGGGGAGCGATGGGGAAACTCCCACGCAGTACGTAGGCAGTTGTCTGGCCGTGAGTTGAAAGCTCCCACTCCCTACATAAGCCAGGGAGTTGGCTGTTGGTCGATCTCCCCGCGACTCGCAGATGAGGTGATTTTTTTTCATTTTTTCACGTCGCTGGCCGCTGGCGAGGGCGGCAGTAGCACATGTAGGGTACTGTTGGTGGATTCGCGACTTGCAGAACGTGAGACTCGCTTTTCAGTCACTCTCTTGCAACTTCCAGAAAGTGGAAGTCGGGAAAGGGAGTTGGGCTTTCGAAAAAGTTGACTGATTTTTCCATTGGTAGATTGACACGCGGCCACAGAAAGGGGTCTGCTAAGGTCACCATGAGTAACTGATGCTGAGTAGCGGCAGCGAATTGTGTTCCTGGAGGTACCGTTTTTATAATTTTTACGACCACTCCAGGATGCAATGTTTGCACATATGAGCCGATGAGGGATGCCGGCATGTCGACGAGTGATTTCGGCGACAAAATGTTAAGAGCCGGCGAGAGATCCCGGCGCGCTGATGAGTGATTTCGGCGACTGAGAAGAAGCCGGTGAAGGATTCCGGCGTGCCGGTGAGGTGTTCCGGAATTATTCTGTGGCGAGAGAAGATGGGGGCTACGTGGTGATGCCACGGTGAGCCTTGCACCAGGCGGCTGCTATTTACTGTGGACAAAGTCTGAGGTATGCGAGGCGTGTGGCTGTGAGGTTCCGCTCATGATTAAGGGGGTCTGATCGTTGCACATAACCTGAGCGGACTGTGTGTAGTGACCACACTATAGGTGCCCCTTTATTATGACCGGTGACAAGCATGCATGAAATGGTGTGAATGTACAAATGCTAGTTACGGAATCTCAGAAAAGTCAAGTTTGCTGCCCATGATAGGGCGAGAGCATCTGTTTCGTAATAGCCCATGTAATGTCGGTGGGCCAATGTTCTCGCCGCTATTTGCAATCGCCCCAGTTCGTCGGTTATGGCAGGGAATTGCCTCCATATTTACCTGCAAATCATTACAGCGGGCCAATTAACCAACAGCCGCCATTAACAATGATACGCATAATTATTCAAAGAAAATATTATTATTGCAGGTAGACATATCACTCGCTAGAAGCTTTCTTTTCTTTCGTGAGGTAAATATAAGTGAGTACAGTCACTATCTCAGAAATGCATTCATAATATTATGCAATACACAACGTCATGCGCGAGTACGCAACTTAAAGAAAAAAACATACAGGAACTTCCTCTAAATTGAGCCAGTCACAGCGCTTGCTGGGCTTTGGGAATCTCGTGATTGCCGTTTGGTGTCAATGAGGAATCTGTCTGGCGAGCAACGCAAAATTTGCTGGAAAAAAATGAGGAGTCAGTACCTCTAGTCACGTCACTCCTAGCCAAAAAAAATCGAGTTGAAGAAAACGACGACGATATAACGTGGAGAAATTTCTGCGCAACGTAATGGTGGCCAGTATGGGGGACGCCGCCACAGAGTGGAACGATTAAAATCCAGAAACCTAGCTAGCAATTTTTATGGCAAAAACATTTGCGCATAGCAGACCCGACGATTAATGGCTCGATTGGAGGTAAGACAGTAGTATCAGCTTTATTCCTCGGAAAAAACCAGGAGAATAGAAATATGGTTAGGTTGATATTTTGGCAACATGCATTTCTCGAATCCATAGCAGAGGTGACAATGGCTTCTTCTATTGTTTCGGGAAAGGCATGTTGCCGAAATGTCAACCTAACTTTATCTCTATTCTCCTGGTTTTCCGAGGAATAAGGCTAATACTACTATCTTATCTATGTGAATAATGCTCCTCGCTAATACATCGAACAATTTACGTAAGCTCGATTGGATGGTCTAAGGGCAGGAAGGGCTGGTCGGAGTCTTATTCAGGAGCCCCGGCCTGCGGGACGAACCCTCAAATGACAGTCAGCCCTTTGCGCCAATCAGCGACATCTTAAGCAGATATGGGTCTATGTGTCAATCAGGCACCACCAGTACTGCGCGGTCCGCTCCGTGTGGGTATTGGTCTGAGGACCCGCTTCCCGATCAGCTACAAAGCCGGAGCCAGTGAATTGCTCTGTTCGGGACCTCTGTATCTTGCAGGGACCCACAGCGCCTTACAGATGGCCCTGTGCTCGCAAGGGGCCCCGAGCCGACCAAGGTCAGTGCCCACTGAGGCCCGAAGAGGGGCCGGGCGACCCGACAGAACCGACCATCAAAGACCCGGCTGGAGGGCATAAGGGCTCGAAGGACTGACTGTAAGTGACATAAAGAATCGCAGCACGTAGGGTCGTGATCTGAAATATCAGTTCGATTTCCCCTCGCACCTTTTGAGGACCACCTTAGACAACGTGGGGTGTCTAAGTTGGCCAGCAGTTGGCTTCCTGTCAGTTTGAACCCTGGGGCCCATTTCTCAAGCAGGAGCAAGATCAGGGGCCATGATCTGCATTGGTCTGGGTCCCTGGAACAGTGGTTGGGGCCCTGATGTCTGCCATAGGCCCACAGCGCATAACAGAGGGTCATGTCTCGGCTAGTGGCCCTTAGTCGGTCAAAGGCTTCGTTTTAGGAGGCCCGAAGAGAGGCAGAAGAGACACTCGGGACTTAAGATTAAGGGCCCGATTGGACTCGGGCCCGACCCCCACCCGCCGCCTAGCAGCACGCCACGCTCCGCCAAGCTGCCGCGGCAACGCTGGCTGCTCGTCACCAGACCGCACCACCGCCAGCCAACAGCGTGCTCCACGAAAGGCCCGGGGGCGACCGGCTGCCCGCCGCCTCGGTCAGAGGGCGCTCATCGCCCCCAAACTACAATCGCGTCAGTTTATTTATCTTTGCGTTATGTGCGATGATGGGGAGCTGCCATTCTCTCGAGTACGACATTTATTTTGAAAGCTTGCGAAAACGAAGGCATTCCACGCATGCGTTCTACGAATGTCCGCAGCTCGGCACCAACCGCACACGTTATAAGCTGCCAGTGGGTCCTCTAGTAAAAGGAGCGTGCACCGTCCAATAGATACTTTCGACACGAACACAGACATAACGGTGCCAAACGGGACAATCGCACAGTCCTCTCTCTCTCTCTCCACGTGACTGTCGACAACGTGACCTCTCCACCCTCACTCCACGCTCCCCACTCCGCGCTACCCTCCCCTCGCTCCCGGTGATCGTCACCTCTCGACTCCCCCACCCGTACCGGCCGCAGCCCACCGTCCGGCAGACCGGCTAGCAGCCGTACGTCTCGGTGGTGGGCTTGATCTTCTCCGCGCGGTGGTCGGCCGACACGACCTCCTCGACGGCGCGCGGTGTCGGCGCCCACGGCGCGCTCTCGTAAGGTCGCGTCACGTCACCACGCGCGCCAGCCGAGCGCGTGACGTCACCGGCGCCTGGGGGCAGCTCCGGGTCGATGATAGCGTGCAACACCGACCACTTGGCGAACAGCTTGGCCACGACCGGCGGCAGGTCCTCCGGCGCGCCCGACTCCAGCCAGGCCAGCAGAGACGAGGAGAAGTTGAAGATCTTGACGCTGAGGCGAATGGCAGGTTCGGAAGGATGGGGTGCAACGGGAGCGGCGGTGGGGCGGGGTAAATACAGGCATGTCAATGCGAGGCATGGATGTTGAACACTGAAGGGAATGATGAATGCAACACATGACGGGACGGCAAGATGCGGGGCCAAAAGGCGGAAAAGGGGAACAAGATAGGCTGAAGTATACAGCAGGACACTTGGAACGTATGGACGTTAGAGGACATGACGAGGCATAGGAGGTAGGGGAACAGCCTGGAAACGCGGCATGCTGAAACGGCTGACGTCAGAGCAGCATGACGGCATGACGGCATCGGTGCGCACCTGACAGATTTGTAGCGTGTATGACTAAAAGTACGCTAGTGGGCATTACGCGGTGTGGCTGCCAGACGGCAGCCGGGACCATTCTACCCGTCCGCTCCTCTTCTTGAGGCCCCCCGTGCGGCCTGACAAGTGACAGCCCCAGTTGCCGGCTCGCCTGGGTAGTATGCTGTCGCGGGCCTGACAAGCGACAGTCCCAGTTGTCGGCTCACCTGGGCAGTATGTTGTCGCGGGCCTGACAAGCGACAGCCCCAGTTGCCGGCTCATCTGGGCAGTATGTTGTCGCGGGCCTGACAAGCGACAGCCCCAGTTGTCGGCTCACCTGGGCAGTATGCTGTCGCGGGCTTAGAAGGCGACAGCCCCAGCTGTCGGCTCACCTGGGCAGTATACTGTCGCGGGCCTGACAAGCGACAGCCTCAGTTGCCGGCTCACCTCGGCAGTATGCTGTCGCGGGCCAGCCGCTGCCGGGTAGTTGTAGAGCACGGAGAGCCGACAGAAGCGCTCTGGCACATCGCCCTCCACCACAGCGCGACTCAGGTGGCTGGAGCTGCTCAGGTACGTGTTGAGGAGGGTCGCCACATCCCCTGCAACGACCCGGCAACGCCAGATGGCAGACGGCTTTCACGGAGCGCGACGACGGCAGCGTCTCGAGATGGGGCGAATGGGGCGGCAGCGTCTCGAGACGAGCCCTGGTGAGGAGCACAGGCTTCTTGGGTCGCTGATCGGCAGGGGAAGCCACAGAGAAAGCGATTCCAGACGCGACTACCCGGTATAGGTGACACCGCAGGCAGGGAACACGGGCTCAATGACCGGCGAGAGACGCCTTGAGCAAAGCACCGGAGTTTGTCGTTGCCGCAGTCGTTGTCGTTGCTGCGGAGATCAACGGTGGTGAAGGTCTCAAACTGACCGTCGGGGGATGCGACCGCCATGTTCACCAGTCGGAGAAAGGTCTGGCTGGGGGGCTTGGCGCTGAACACGGAGACGTCGAGCGCCGGCTCGCCCAGCGCCTGCACGGCGGCGAACTCGGTGCCCGTGTGGAATAGCGTGTCGGCGCAGCGGATAGCCTGGGATAGCGGCCGGCCGTGTCGCTGGTTGTCATCGAGCCATGAAGACGGGGACCGGAGGGCGTGGCACAGGACCAACTCAACCAAATTCAATGCGTAATTTCCCTCTGGAGCGATCGCGGACAAAATCAGAGCCAAGGGTCAGGATAAGATCCCTCCCCTGTCAGGCATTGGAGGCCCCTACCACACCTCTACCCTGCGTAATTACACAGGCCAACACCCGAATCGTGGTCTGCAGAAGTTTTTGCACAGAAGAACGAGGCTCACCACCATCTCAACCTCATACGATCTGGTTAAAACAACGGCCAGTTCTGAAGCCGGTCACTCTGCACGCCCCCTTCCCCACCCCCACCCCCGCTCCACGTGGGCAGGCAGACGTCGGCCGGCGACGCACCAAGCAGTGGTTGTTGACGTAGACGCAGCGCCAACGCGGCAGCTTCCAGAGCAGCAACAGCGCCAGCTGGGGCCGGCTGGACAGCAGCTGGTGGAGAGGCGTCTGCTCCGCCAGCGTTCGACTCTGGATGATCTCGTCCATGTGCAGCTGCAGCAGCAGCCTGCGCCGGCCGGCCGTGGTGAGCGGCGCGGCGGGTGGCCGCACGCGGCCGGTACACACGTGCACGCCGGCCCCCCACAACTTTCAACAGTGACGGCGGGTGCACTTCGTGTGGTTAAGAGCGTCACAGAGACTCATCTTAGCAACGACAAGAACGACGATAATGGAGTATATGTGCTCGTCAAATGGGGAGTCGGTCGTCGTGGTCAACGTCACAGAACTGAGAACGTTTCAAATAAAGCAGACAAGTAATTACACTGCCATGCCGTTCATCGACATACTCGACGGTAGACACTGAATTGCCCAAAACAAAAACAAAACAAAAAACAAAAACAACAAAGTGCGCCTGAGAGCTCTGGTAGGGAAATCTGAACGCGACGTGTGTTGAGGGCTGTAGCTCGACCTGCGCTGTGGTGGGAGGTCGCCCTGGATGGCCAACAGGCAGACGATCGAAGCGCTGGTGCCCTCCTTCCTCAGACTAAGCGCGGTCGTGCACGCTAGCGGGATCTGGGCGTCATCCGTGCACAGCAGCACGAACGAGAAGTCTGCCGGGGCAGGTCACGTCGGAGAGGTAGGTCAGGTCAGGTCACGTGGAGTCAGATCAGGTTAGGAGAGGTTATAGGCGACGATCTGCTACGGCACATCGGACCGGGTGCGAGCTCGGTCGAGTCAGATCAAGTCAGGTGCGATCAGGTCAGGTCAGTTCAGGTCAGAAGAGGTTATGAGGCGACTTTCTCCCGGAACTCATCGGACCCGGTACGAGTTCGACCGAGTCAGGTCAGGTAGGCGCAGCACGTTAACGAGAATAGGATCAGACTGCACAGGAGATGTTCCTCGAGAAGAGCTCGTAAAAACACATTGCTTTCGTAATTTTGACCCTCCCCTTCCCCAAAACAAGCACCGGCCTTGGCTATTTGTCGTATCGAGATTTGTGTGTACGTTCGTAAGCCATCATTCTGCATTTAATAGTCATGAGAGATCCGTATCGAAAGTTTCCTGCCCACGCCCTGGGTGGAAATGCTCATCGAGGGCGAGGTCACCAGCGAGCCCCTGAAGCACAGGTGGCAGTCACCAGCAGGACCCCTCGACAGTGGGTTACATGTCCCTGTCACAACCTAGAAATTGGGTTAAATGTCACACTCACTGATGGGAACCGTAGAGAAACTGGGTTGCGACCACCAACGAAACCCTTAGACAATGGAGCACAAGTCATCACCAACGGGATCCCCAAAGACTATGGAAAGGATCGCGGTGACCAGCGAGACCCTTAGAGACACTGGGTCACAATTCACGTTCATCAGCGGGACCTCTAGACTGGGTCACAGGTCTCGATCACCAGAGAGACCCCTCGAGACACTGGGTCATAGGTCATGGTAACCATCAGGGCTTCCAGACACTATCACGGGTCACGGTCACTAGCGGACCCATCACGGGGCAGTGTCACCGGCGAGCCTCTGGTCAAAGGCCACGGTCACAAGCGAGCCCTGTGCCACAGACCACAGTCATCAGTGCATCTCTGGGTCACACGTGACGGCAGCCAACGATCCTCTGGGTGGCCACAGACCTCGGTCACCAACGAGACCGTAACCCAGCGGTCACCGTTGCTGGCAGCTCCCGCGGGCTCAAAACGACAGACTCGTCACTCGTATTGCTTGTTCAACTTGTTGACCACTGGCTGCCTTCCTCGGATCAGACTACATGCAGTGAACCACATTCACGCTCCGCAAAGCGCAGACGGGCCAAGGGCGTACCTCCATCTAAAAACAGCGACGGGCCGGCCGTCGCTGTTTTTACGTCAGCCCGTCGCCAGCGACGGGCTGACGACGCTCAGCCGCTGCCGGGACTCGATCTCCCCCGGCACGGGGCGCCGTTGCAGGTTCAACACGGTGTCCCACTGCACATCTAATGTCCGACACACACACACACACATCTAGTGTTTTTCAACGCGAACAAACAACAAGTGTGGTGCCGTTCTGTGTGCGTGTTCGTGATGTTCTTCATGAGAGTGGCTAAATTTTTCGGGGTGTGGCACGCCCGCGTAGCCTGCCGACCGCTCCGTGGGTAATAGTATCGCCAACTGTCGACGTCCCGCTGTCGGAGGTTCGGAAGGAAAATATAATTCCCTGAGTTGCCAGATTAACAGCTGTGAAACATATCGAAACATATCGGGGGTTCACAATTACGTATATACACGGCTCCAAAACGGATACGGGTGTTGGTTCCGCTTTTGTGTGTGGTCCCGATACGCGATCATTTACACTGCCAGTCCATGTGTCCGTGTTTACTGCAGAGCTCGTGGCCATCATTAAGGCGCCTTGCTTTATAGAGGTGGGCGAATACAGTCTGCACGCGATTTTGTCAGATTCCCTGAGTGCCCTTTCGGCATTAAGGCGTTTTAATCCGGTAAATCCCCTTACGCAGGATATTTTACTGCGTCTCGACACTCTGTACCGGGCTGGCAAGACCATAGTACTTTACTGGATTCCGAGCCACGTTGGCATTGCGGGAAATGAGCTCGCTGCCGCTGCCGCGAAGCGCGCTACTCTTCGTCCCTGTCGCAGAGCGTTTCCAATACCCGCTACAGGCATATACTCAGCCATCTCTACCTTTTTACGCGGGGAATGGTAGAGCACATGGGATGTGATGGACACCAGTAAACTGAAAAGCGCTAAGCCGATTGTTCAGGAATGACAGTCATCCTATCGATAGTATAGACGAGAGTAAGTTATCCTGTGTCGCTTGCGGATTGGACATACTTATGCTACACATCGATACTTACTACGTCGCGACGAACTATCACGATGTTGCCACTGTAGCGCCACGTTCACAGTGGAACACGTGCTCGTATGCTGTCCCGTACCACGCGCCGAGCGTCTGAGGTACTTTGGCCCGGCGGCGCCGTCCCTGGCGCTCTCCGATTTACTGTGACAGCCCACCATATATCGAACATACCCGCAGGTTCGTATCGCATGTTAAGTTCTGCACTTTATATACACCTGCCTGAATGGTTCATACCGCTTGTATGAAGTTTTTAGGTTGCCGAAAATTTCTTGTCAATATGTTATTACGGGTTCACGTATTCAGACATCATTGGTGACGAGTTCCTATCACAACTAAATCGTTCTCATTTCTGACTAATATATATATATATATATATATATATATATATATATATATACATATTAGTCATTTACCCTCGTAGGTAGTCATTTAGCTGTTATGGGCGCAAAATGACCACAGTAGTCGGCGCGCCCTAACACTCCAATAAACAACAAACAGTCCCACCAAAAATCTACTTCACGCGACACACGTCTTGCAGTCAGCAAGCAGCTGAAATGAACTGAACTGAACTGAACTCTGAACAACTGAACGAGAGAAAGTCTAACCCCGGCTCTGACTGTCGCTCCCCACAAGGTGCCTCAACCAAGGCCGTGCAATGCCGTAACTAATAACCAGCGTGACATCCATAGGGGTAGGAATGTTGTAGATCGATATGTTTGATCAAAATTTAGGGATGAAAATTTGATTGTGAATCGTGTGGTCAACAATGTGTATTAACATGGCCAAGCCACGCTTGTTTGGGAATGTCTGTCAGCCAGAATCGACTAGTGATGTAATTTATGTAACGCGATTGTTAGTGAGCAAACGGGCCTTCGCTGCCGGCGCGGCGGTGGCGTCTCCGCGATGGTGTGAGCGGCCCCTCTACCGATTGGTCCCCACCATCTGGAGCCCATATGTGGATCACGTGGGTTCATGGGGACACGCGTGCGGGGACGCACGGTCCCTGCCGATCAGTCCACGTTCAGGCTCCGACGGCGCGGCTCGACGCGAGTCGCGTCAGCGTTTACGACGACGACGACGACTTCGGAGTGTGCGACGCCGCCCTTCCATCCTTCTCTTACATTTGCGTTGCAACTATTTGACTAATAGAAACTTTTCCTTTTCAACGTCTGTTTTCGAATCAAGTCGATGGTCCTCCGAAATACTAACGAACTCTTTCGCACGAACAGCGATTTTATAACACGCGCGCTCGCAAATCCTGGCAACCAAAACCTCGACGACAGGCGTTGCAGTCTCCTACGCCGCGCGGCGTTCGCCCAGCAGCTAATACTGAGCCGTGTCCAACGGGTGGATGAAAATGACGACACTTCTGAAAGAAGTGCCTTTGAACGCTTCACGTCAAATCTCACATGTAGCAGGCAGCCGGGGCGCGTATTTCACGCGTGCGATTTTCAGGCCGAGGATAGGAACGGTTTGGCCATCAAAGCACCGCGAAGTGGTGCTGTGCCCGTTCGCCGTTCGGTTTTACGGAAGCCGCAACCGAGGCCATCGCCGGCCTTGCTCTCGAGGTTGTGGGCGGACATGTTCAAACCTTTTGATGCAATTTGTTTCACTCATCTATTCTGAAAAAAATGAACGTTCCTGGGCAAACATGGGATACCCCGTTCGTTAAAAAAATCGACCAACTCCATTCAACAATAATGAGAATCCTACTCTACTCAATAATAACGGGCCCCTTCTTTCCTTCCGGGCTAGGGGCCCCTTGAGTACCAAGGACACATTATCAGTTCCGGTCGAAAGCTGAAGGGCCACTCATTGCCATCGCGAAGTGCCTTCTGGCTGTCATTCTGGCGACACAGGGCGGGATCTCCTGGTTGATCCGGAGGCCATTAGAATATATGTTGTATCATATTGTTCCGCTCCCTGACACGGGAGGTCTTCTGACCAGCGCAGCTGGCCTTGGATCGGCATAGAAACCCTCACTGACGCAACAACGTGCCTGATAGCCGAAGGTGGTCCAATAATTGCAGCAGACTACAGTTCTGCTTTTCTATGCTCTTTAGAGATATTGAAGACTCCCTGAACGTACATTATAGGTGAAACGGGGTTCCAAATTTGAGGTTGCAATGCTAATTAATGTTCGCCTTAAAATATTGAAGATTCAGTCACAGTTGGTTGCTGATTAAAAAGCACGTGATATGTTATTGAACATGCGCGATCGCAGGCTATAGCAGTAACAGCCCCAACTCCCGCTGTTGCAGTCTCCGTAGGGCGCGCGGCGTCGGCCTGTGGCTGTGACACTAAGCGATGGCTAATTAGCGAACGAAAAAGATGACGCATCTTGAGAAAGATGGCTGATGAACTATGCAAATCGGCATGCATATTTAATGTGGCGCAAAAGTAGGCTATATGCAACCTTAATCTGAAAAGTGGGGGCCAGTCAACACAGCTGCCCCACCCCCACTTTAAAAAGTGGGGGAGGGTATGGGCCCCCCCCCCCCCCCCCTGTTCCGGCACCCATGACATCATCCTGAAGGCTTCAAGGGACGATTAACGGTTTTCGAGCGCTGTGCTGCGAGCATCTTACTGATATGTACGGCCAAGTTTTGCACGTGACATAAACCATGTTACGGGCTGGTTAAACCGGACCAGTTTGGGAAATGGGGTAGGGTACAAATGATCATGCCGAGATATGGCATGGGTGTTCACCCAGTGTCTCGACAAACTCTCCGTTTTCTATGCAGTCAGCCTGGGTCCGGTCACAAATCACGGGCAATAGTAACGCATCCAGACAATAGCTCGCAGGGTATACGCCGGTAATAATACAATGGTATAATACGACTGTACAACTGTGCGACTATAACACAAGAACGTGGTAAAATACGGTAGTACATCTAGGCAATCATAGTATCTGGATGATATACGGCTATTTCCTTCATAAATTTATATTCTGGTGCGACTTCACAGCTTACCATGCCACTGTATCACGATACCCTGATGCAATTACAGATTATGGGTACATTCTCAGTTGTATCACTATGCATGACATTTCATACGCATACATGTCAAACGCCAGCCTATGCCAACAGCCGGCGTCCGTCGCCCACTGACCGCCTGGTACGCGTGATCCGCGTGGATATAGTGGTCTTGCTCCCGGCCAACATCTCTATCGCGCAGAGAGCCCACGATGGCCCGAGCTGTTTTGCTCGTACCAGATGTCCGTATCACAGGGATTAGCGCGGACAGCAAGGAACCCCGCCGCCCAGGTTCGCCATCAACGCCAGAAGACAGGGCCTGCCTCGTCCCGCGGGAGTCGGCCACGTCGGCCCCGTCCATCCCGAACGATACACCTGGTATCCATCCATCCCGGCCGGTACACCCGACCCCCGTCCGTCCCGAACAGTACACCTGATATCCGTCCATCCCGACCGGTACACCTCGTCTCCGTTGGTCCCGACCGGCATCGCTACTCCGTCCTTCAGCACCGCTGCTCAGCCCCTGACCGACGCGCCGGTGCGCTCCACCTCAGTCGGCCGTCCACGTGGAGCGGTAGAGCTGCAGCAGCGCCGCCGGCACGTGCGCCGTCAGCGTCGCCTCGGGCAGCCGGCGCGCCCCGACCAGCGCCTCGAGCAGCGCCAGCAGCACGCAGGCGTCAGCCGGCAGCGGCGCGGCGGCCGCGTGCGAGCCGGCCGCCTGACCGGCGGGCGCCAGCAGGCGGTTCGTGACGGCGTCCGGCAGCTGGCCGAGCAGCACGGCCAGGCCGGAGACGAGTGGCGCCGCGTCCAGCGGCTCCGACGCCTTGACGCAGCTCAGACCACCTGACGGTCGGACGGAGACGGCCGGCTCAGCAGGCAGCAGCCACATCACGGCACAGTCAGCCGGCTCAGCAGGCGGCAGCCACATCACGGTACAGTCAGCAGGCTCAGCAGGCAGCAGCCACATCACGGCACAGTCAGCAGGCTCAGCAGGCGGCAGCCACATCACGGTACAGTCAGCCGGCACAAGCTGTAACCACATAACGGCACAGTCAGCAGGCTCAGCAGGCGGCAGCCACATCACGGTACAGTCAACTGGCACAAGCTGTAACCACATCCCGACACAGTCGGGCAGCACAGGTCGTAGCCACACCACGGCACAGTCGGACGGCACAAGTCGTAACCACATCACGGCACAGTCGGGCGGCACAAGTCGTAACCACATCCCGACACAGTCGGGCAGCACAAGTCGTAGCCACACCACGGCACAGTCGGACGGCACAAGTCGTAACCACATCACGGCACAGTCGGGCGGCGCAAGCCGCCGGATGACGGACATGACAGCGATGATCCCAGGTCACAGGTCAACGGGCACTTGACACGCCCACGCAGCTCAGACCCGGTGGTGTCGGACAGGGCAGCGGCCGTAGCAGCGCGCCGTCATCAGCGACAAAGCGAGGAAGAGTAGATATAAGTGGTCGCTGGGACATGGCGATTCGTGGCGTTCTTCTACTCACACATGCATACCCCTGTTGGCTATGGAAAAACCTCCCAGCTAAGGCAGACAGAATATAAAAGCTGCGGTTGAGCTCTGAAACTGATAATGAAAATGCTCTGCAGTCTCCTATTTTTAGAAAACTTCAGACGATGGGCAAATGTGCCGAAGACAACGACCCACAGACCAGCGCACCCCCGCCCTGGGTTCAGTTAGCTTGGACGTGAGTGACCACTCCACTTACCCTGTAAATCTGACAGGAGGGTTCGAGGCCGGGTGTCAGGTTCCTTTACACCGTGGTTGATACATACGAGCGTGCGTGTGCCACTGCACCCAGACCGTGATTCAGAACGACACAGTGAGGATGACTGTGCCCCACCCACACCGCCCATTCCTTGGACGCGAGCGGCCCGACGCGCGCCCGCCTCCGCACTCACCCAGCGACTTGACGTAGGTGAGCTTGGGCGCGTGCGCCAGCAGAAAGAGCAGCAGGACGGTGGCGACGCGCGGAGGCGGCTCGGCCATCAGGTACACCCGCGACAGTGGGTCGGAGAGACCAGCCCAGTCCAGGTACGGTGTCAGGTCCGACACCAGAGGCGTCAGGCTGTCCGACGTCACGTCGTGCTCCGTCAGCACCGCCCTGCGATGGGCCACGAGGGTTTGGTCATGAGGGCCAGGTCACCGCCCCGCAGCGGGTCACGAGGGTCAGGTCACCGCCCTGCGGCGGGTTACAAGGGCCAGGTTACCGCCCTGCGGCGGGTCACAAGGGTCGGGTCACTCACCGCAGGTAGACCTTGGGGATTAGAGCACTCAATTTCCTCTGGGATCCGCAGGTTTTTAGTTAATACAGCCCACAGGCTGCTGTTTGCCAGCAACTGCAACCTCGGCATTAAAGGGCCGTAGAAATTGGGTCCAGGTAACATGACGGGCCAGTAAAGACAGCATCAAGAAAACCGTAGATAGGGTGGGCTGAGGAGAAAACATCACACCGAGGCCCTCTGCACTTATAAGGACGCTGCGAGTCAGTCATCGGAACCCGCATGCATGTGGGCTACTCTGTGTACACAGACGGAAAGGTGCTCACAGAACAGCCCACCAGCCACCGGGACATGAACAGGCGGCCGCGCGTGTACCCGGTAAACCAACTCCAGCATCTCCCCCGGGACTGCTGCGAATGGCTGTGGTCATCACGAAGCTCAGCAAGTGGAGCACCAGCGAGCTCAAATAATCGTCAACTAACGTAATCGTTACATAAAGAACAATGATTGTTTCAAATACGGGACCGTGCCGACGCTCCGGCGACGTCCGGCGGCCGGCCGGACTCACGTGTTGAGGGCGGCAAGCGCCGACGCCAGATGGCGCGAGTCGAACGAGGCGGCCGAGGCCAGGTGGGCGGCTACGCTCTCACGCAGCAGCGTCAGCTGACCCAGCCGGGTCACGTGCTCCAGCAGGGTGGCCAGGGGGCGCTGCAGGCGCGCCACGGCCGGCCCGTACACCTTGCTCGGGTTGGCTGTGGCAGAGGAAGGAACAACTCGCCACAAGAAGTCACTGGGACCATGTGGGACTACTGAGGGTGTTGGAAGGGGAGTTTGACAAAGCATGCCGAGATCAAAGGCGGCGCCAAAGAAGTTCCGGGGATAGACGGATCACATATGAATAGGGGAGGGCAGATAAATGACCTCGTCGCCTTTTCGGCAGGCACGGCACCGCCGTGGCCTCAAGATTCGAAGTCATTCGCGCCGATTGCAGCGTGAGTTACAAACCAAAACAGGTAAGCTTTGAACCCACGATAAGGTGGCCACGTGCCCGGATTCTAACGCTGCACCCTGCACTCAGATTCCAACGCGTCACTGAAATAGCTGGCGCTGCCTCTGGGCGCCGCTGACAACATTTCATATAGTTACCGGTAAGACGCCATTTGCAGCGTGGGACGAGGGAAGTGATCGCAGGCATCAGCGCTATCACCATGTCGATGATACCAAAACACACGCAGAGAATCGGACGCCTTCGGGAATCGCCACGAATGGGCCTTATGAATGCATTGGAATATCCCTATCTCGCGAGCCTAGCAGGCAAAGGATTCATTAAATCAGGCTTCGCGCGAGGATAGATAAGCCTGGCACCGCCTGGCAGCTGGCTGGCCGTGATCCTGCAACAAGCCGACAGTTCTGATTGGGAAAATCGATGAATTTGAATGGCTAAGTCTCCGGAGCGATTCATCCGATCACAGATTCAGAAAAACGCGAATGTTTTGTGCATTTGGGCTTTAGGTAGTTCGCTGTATCATTAGCCATATTTAACTAGTCTTAACGTCTGCGTAGTTTTTGTGGTCCAGCCTCTGGATTCAAACGGAAGCACGTTGCGCCTGATGCCGATTTCGGAAGATTTGAGATGACCTAATGCTTTGCAGACGGCACATTCGCCTGTATCGTGCGGCCAGTTTAAGGTCTATACCTGTCCTAGCTGTCGATACCTGACGTCAATTCTCAAAAACCTCCTAGCATGCTGCTCACGGATCTCGCAGGACATCGCGTGGCAGTTGACGCACATCGACCAAAGTTTTTTCCAAGACGTTTGCCCGTTTGTCACTCGGTGGCAATAGCGCTTAATGTTGATGGAAGCTTGGTGGCGGTGCGATCAGTAGTTGGAACAACCGTTGTGAAAACGACCGTCGAAAGCATGCATTCCCCCACACCGGTCGGGCAGCCGAACCTACACAAATTTCGGCGAATTGGCGTTGAGGCTCGCTCGGCGCACGGCCCGCTCGTTCCAGCACACGCACACCAGGCAAGTTCGTGACCCCACGCGCACCCACCCTCGAACCTCTGAATACAGACACGCACGACACTGCACAACACGCGCACACCAGATCGCTGGTTAACACTGTGCCGGTGGCAGGAGCTGACACAGCGCACCGTGACGCCACTCCATCGGCGCCCCAGTGACGTCACTCCACCGGCGCCCCGGTGACAGCGCTGACGTCGCCCGGCCAGCGGCACGGGGCCGGCCACCACGTACCGACGGGGCCGCCGTGTGGCTGGAGGCTCGCCTCCAGCGCCGAGAGCGCCTCCACGCACGTCTTGTCCTTGCCGATGTGCGCGCCGATGAGGGCCATGATCGACTGCCGGGGAGTGACAGTGGCGGTTAGCGGGGAATGGGCGGCGCGGCATGCTGGGGACGCGGGCTTGCGGCCGCTGCTGGAGCCGGCCAACTTGGCGTGCGCACCGCGACCACGGCACATACGCAACGAACACACATGATTTTGAATTTTTCGCGCATCTCCGCGCGATGTCGATGAGTGCATCTGAACTGTTATGCGCATCGTTTACCGTTCTGTTCGCTTCACTTAAGTAGCGGCATATCCCTGTTCTTTATCATTTCACGGGTGAATGCATGTCCTTGCCCAGGAGAAACATGCCTCGTATATATCATATAATAGGATAAATATGCCTTGTTTTTTTAAACGGCTGGTGTTTGTCCGACAGTGAGTACCCTCATTTCCACCCGCTGTCTGGTATGTGTATCCAGGCGCATCCCCACTGTCAACGTCGCATGTCGCGATGTCGCGACCCATGTCATGTCGCGACCTAGTCTTCGTGCCACGATTTCCCTCGGTTTGGACCACGAAAACTACGTGGTATCCACAGAGCAACATACATTCCAACACACCCACAGCCAAGCTCCGACACATGACTGATTACATTTAGCCGATGACGGCGGCTGTTCCGTCACACTGTCCCCTCTCCCATCACGTGGCTTGAGCCGGCCACACGGCCGTCGGCGCTCCTCGCACGCGTCCCAGCGGCGTCGCCGGCCGTGGCCGCACCTGCAGGGTGGTGACGGCGAAGAAGGCGAGCAGACGGTCGACCCCAGCCAGCCCCGCCACGCCGAGACCGGCCGCCAGCAGGCCCGGCAGGCGCCGGTCGGCCACTTGCTGGTGTGAGCGCAGGCAGTACCAGGCCATCAGCGGCCGGATGTAGACGGTCGACCTGCGGCCGGGCGGCGGTCAGCGCGACGGCGGGGCGCACCGACCGGCCGCCCGCCGGCTCGACCGTCTGACCGCTTCCGAGAACGGTCTGCGCCGACGAGCCCACGCACAATCGACTAATGCTCAAAAGCCGACCCACGGCCAGTTGTCGGGCTGCTGCTGGCGGGGTTGCCACAGAGACGACCGACGCAAGCCGTCAAGAGGCTGTTCATTAAAATTCTGACCACATGCCGAGAACCGCCGGCGATCACCACAGAAACAACGGCGCACCGGACAGAAACATTGCTGAAGAGCGCACGGCGCGGGCAGGTGGTGAGCTCTATCCTCACCACACACAAAAGCCTTGCCCACCACGCAGTTGTCCCGCCTGACCCCGGGTCAAAACCGCGACGCTCGCTGCCTGACCTGAGTCAGCACGGTCATCAGCCTGACCTCGGGTCGGTGAGCAGCAGCAGCTGGGCGGCCAGCCGTCCGACGAACGTGCGCGCCTTGTCGGTGGGCGGGAACAGTGGGACGGGCACGGTGCGAGACTGGTACACGCTGTCTCGCTCGTGCACGCCGATTTGCAGGAAGCTGTTGCACTCCTGGCGGCGGGCGCGAGGCCTCAGTGGGAAGTCAGACCTCGATGTGCGAGGGCTGGGTTTGATCATTGGCTGCGACTGTGACCGCTAATGTGGCCGCCGTGGCCGCGGGCGCCCCACGCCAGGGCTGCGGGGCCGAGTAACAGTTACGTTATGGAAACCACGGCCGATCGCACAGCTGCGGGACGCCTAGCGAGAAGCCGCAACATAAAACGGTCCAGAACCCTGCACCTAACCAACGCCGCTGAGGTCAGCCGTTTGAGGCCGATCTCAGCGCGGCTGTTGCGGGAGACACGGCGCCTAATCGGCTGCGGCCGAGGGGGCCGTTCAACACCGGAAGCGCGCACCCGGGCCGCATGCCGTCCACGAACTGACAGGCCTGTCCCGGCACAGCCAGCGCAGCGGACAGTCGGGCGGGCGCCTGTCAAACGCCGCCTGAGAGGTGCTGACTGATCGCTCAGCGGTGTGCACCACTATGTCAGCAGCATTGTTGATTGATTAAACGATGCTCAAGATTTAGTACGTGTTACCAGAAGGCTCAGTCCTCTGGAAACGCGGTCTCCATAAAATGCTGCTTCGACACGGGTCATGTCGCGTCTAGCTCGTGGAATGGTGAGTAGGACGTCCGCCACGAAGAGTTTCGTAATCGTATCGAAATATTGGTTGAAGTACCGAGTGCGCCGACTACGCCCGCCTGTGGCCGAGGGCAGACGGCCGCTAGAGGCCGCCCTTGAGCGGCAGACGGCCGCTAGAGGAAGCCCTCGGACGCGGGTGGCAGACGGCCGCTAGAGGCCGCCCTCGGGTGCGGGCGGCAGACGGCCGCTAGAGGGAGCTCTCGGGCGAGGGCGACAGACGGCTGCTAGAGGCCACCCTCGGGCGCGGGCGACAGACGGCCACTGGAGGCAGCCTTCGGACGAGGGCGTCGACCGATGTCCCTCACCTGCTCGACGTTCAGGTTGACGATGCGCGTGAGCTCCTCCTGCCAAACTCGCAGGCCGTACAGGTGCACGTAGTCCTGGATGTACTCGAACGAGCGCCGGAAGCCGTCCATGCGGCGGGCTAGCTCCTCCAGTCGCGCAGGCAGCTCGCTCGGCTGTCGGCCATGGAGTCGGTCAGAGGCTGATGATGGTCACCGTGACCGGTCAGGGGCTGATGATGGCCAATGTGACCGGTCAGGGGCTGATGATGGTCACCGTGACCGGTCAGGGGCTGATGATGGTCACCGTGACCGGTCAGGGGCTGATGGTGGCCACAGTGGCCGATCAGGGGGCTGACGATGGTCACGGTGACCGGTCAGGGGCTGATGATGGTCACCGTGACCGGTCAGGGGCTGATGATGGCCACAGTGGCCGATCAGGGGGCTGATGATGGTCACCGTGACCGGTCAGGGGCTGATGATGGTCACCGTGACCGGTCAGGGGCTGATGATGGCCGATGTGACCGGTCAGGGGCTGATGATGGCCACCGTACCCGGTCAGAGGCTGATGATGGTCACCGTGACCGGTCAGGGGCTGATGATGGTCATGGTGACCGGTCAGGGGCTGATGATGGTCACCGTGACCGGTCAGGGGCTGATGATGGTCACCGTGACCGGTCAGGGGCTGATGATGATCACCGTGACCGGTCGGGGGCTAATGGTGGTCAACGTGACCGGTCAGGGGCTGATGATGGCCACAGTGCCCGGCCAGGGGCTGATGATGGCCACAGTGGCCGGTCAGGGGGCTGATGATGATCACAGTGCCCGGTCAGGGGCTGATGATGGTCAGTCACAGTGACCAGTCAGGGGGCTGATGGTGGTCAACGTGACCGGTCAGGGGCTGATGATGGTCACCGTGACCGGTCAGGGGGCTGATGATGATCACCGTAACTGGTCAGAGGCTGATGGTGGTCAACGTAACCGGTCAGGGGCTGATGATGGTCAATGTGACCGGTCAGGGGTCTGAGCCGAGGGCTAATATTGGGCGCGCCACAGCCGGACTTCGCCGTCACAGTGCTGTAAGGGTCGCCCATGGCTGCGATGAACAGGTCGACCAGCTAGGGACTAAGAAAATAAAGAAGTATAGGTATAATTTAGGTATATATAATAAAGTAGCAGGAGAGAGGGTAAAGAAGTGGGACAACGAGGAGTGAAAGATCTTAACTCAAATATCAATACTTCCTTGTGCACCCTACACTTTGTACAGCCCTTACTTCTGTGTGCCTCGCACCTCGACCACCGCGCGCGCATGAGCTCGCACCTTATGTTTGGCGCCGAAGGTCAGCGTGTTATGCAAGGTCTCGGCCATCAGCTGCACCAGCTGCTTCCTGATGCCGTCCTCGAGCAGCTGGGCCGGGTCCAGTCGGATGACGCCCACCAGGGTGGTCTTCATGGCCAGGATGCCGTCCGTCAGCACCGAGACGGCGTGCGTCAGACGTGCCATCTGCCGCGAGCGGCGCGGAACCGGTCAGTGGGGGGAGCGGCGCGACAAACCGCGGCGCGGGGTCGGTCAGTGGAGGAGCGGCGCGGGGCCGGTCAGTGGAGAAGCGGCGCGGGGCCGGTCAGTGAAGGAGCGGCGCGGGGCCGGTCAGTGGAGGAGCGGCGCGGGACCGGTCAGCGGAGGAGCGGCGCGGGACCGGTCAGTGGAGGAGCGGCGCAGGGCCGGTCAGCGGAGGAGCGGCGCGGGACCGGTCAGTGGAGGAGCGGCGCGGGACCGGTCAGTGGAGGAGCGGCGTGGGACCGGTCAGCGGAGGAGCGGCGCAGGGCCGGTCAGCGGAGGAGCGGTGCGGGACCGGTCAGTGGAGGAGCGGCGCGGGACCAGTCAGCGGAGGAGTGGCGCGGGGCCGGTCAGTGGAGGAGTGGCGCGGGCCGGCCAGCAGAGGAGCGGCTCGATAAACCACGGCATGCGGGGCCAGTCAACGGAAGAGCGGTGCGACAAACCGAGGCGCGGGCCGGTCAGCGGAGGAGCGGCGCCCGCGGTAATGGTTGGGTCAGCATAACGAGACAGCCAATTACCGAAACAAGTCAATGCAAGAGATGCAACGCGACACTATCCAGGATCGCACAAACACGACATTGGAGCTGTCGTCATATAAGTCAATTGTTGTCATATAACACCGGAGGTCCACACAGCCGGATACAAGGCCCGAATAACCAGTTGAGACACAGCCCAGCGCTTCGGACAAAACCACCTGGAGATCAGCGAGGGACGACAGAACGTCGAAAGCGTGCTGTGAATCAATAATCATGAGCCACTGTCGATTATGCGATATGGAAGAGAGCGTGATTTTCGTCACTCGCAGGTATGGATTTCCCGTGGCCATTATGAATTGAACGCTCCCATGTTGAATAAACGACCTTCAATTTACCAGGAGATACTGGCTTAACAACATTATTGTACCCAATAATGATTACATTCGCGGTACACAGCACTTCGAGCAGTGCTCATCCTCAACAAAACAAACCTTACATGGTCAGCTGGGACAGGATGGAAACAAGCCTCTCCACCTGCAACTCCGTGTGAGCATCAACGGAGGAAGGTAAAGCGGATCTCAAATATAGCGTATTGCAGGACTTAATGCAAACGTTATCGCGCATTCTTGGGCACATGGCTTAACATACGTCACTTATCACAGCTAGCGTACCTCGAAGCGTTGGTCCAACTGAGCGTGTTCCTTCATTTTGTCCTTGTCGAGCCTCGTCGGAGTCTCCTTCAGCTCGTTAGTTTGTATCTCAATAATCTGATCCAACAGACTGCAAACGACATCGGACTAATGAGCATTGATTCATTTCAGCTTGTCACGTCTTCTCTCGAAGGTAAACAACTAAGACGTGTGCCATCAAACCGGCAACTTTAGAAACGTATCTACAAAAAAGCCTGAACAGTCACGAAACTACCAGACACTTCAGACAAGAACAACTTTGAACATGTGAGTGCCAGCTGCAGGACATTCTCCACAGTGAGTTTCGTACCAGCCTGTGCGAAACATTCTCAGCACGTCTCTCGCCCTCGCCCTCGCCCTCGCCCTCGCCCTCGCCCTCGCCCTCGCCCTCGCCCTCGCCCTCGCCCTCGCCCTCGCCCTCGCCCTCGACCCCGCCTCGACCTCTCCATCGCGCCCCTCTCTCTCTCTCTCCTCTCTCTCTCTCTCTCTCTCTCTCTCCTCTCTCTCTCTCTTCCCTCTCCCTCTCTCTCCCTCTCTCCTCCCTCTCCTCTCTCTCCCTCTCCCTCTCCTCTCCCTCTCCCTCTCCCTCTCCCCTCCCTCTCTCTCCCTCTCCCTCTCCCTCCCTCTCCCTCTCCTCTCCCTCCCCTCTCCTCTCCCTCTCCTCTCCCTCTCCCTCTCCCTCTCCCTCTCCCTCTCCTCTCCCTCTTCTCCCTCTCCCTCCCTCTCCCTCTTCCCTCTCCTCTCCCCTTCTCTCCCTCTCCCTCCTCTCCTCTCCCTCTCCCTCTCCTCTCCCTCTCCCTCTCCCCCCTCTCCCTCTCCCTCTCTCTCCCTCCTCTCCTCTCTCCTCTCCCTCTCCCTCCCCTCCCCTCTCCCTCTCCCTTCTCCCTCTCCCCTCCCTCTCCTCTCTCCTCCCTCTCCCTCTCCCTCTCCCTCTCCCTCCCTCGCTCCTCTCTCTCTCTCGCTCTCTTCTCTCTCCTCCGCTCTCCCTTCTCTCTCTCTTCTCTCCCTCTCTCCTCTCTCTCTCTCTCTCTCTCTCTCTCTCCTCTTTCTCTCTCTCTCTCTCTCTCTCTCTCCTCGTCTCTATCACCTAACGGTACCCAGAAGACCACCCGAACATGGTCTGCGGATGATCTGGATGACGCGGCGCAGGTAGGTGACCAGCTCCGCTGAGTAGTGCTGCGACAACGGACGCCAGGTCCTCGAACGGGCCCTGGTTGATCCGCAGCAGCGGCAGGTCCAGCGCCGAGCACAGCTGTCGCAGCGGCACACACAGCTGTCACAGCGGAAAACACAGCTTCCACAGGTGTCACACAAAGCTGTCACAGGTAGCACACGCAGCCGTCACAGGCAGAAAACAAAGCTTCCACAGGTGTCACACACAGCTGCCACAGGTGGCACACACAGCTGCCATAGGCGGAAAACACAGCCGCCACAAAACCCTAAACGCTGTCACAGGTGACAGGTACAGCTGTCACAGAATGCACACACGGTTGTCGCACGTGTCATGCACCACCGTCACAGGCGTTGTGCGCATCTGTCATTAGTGGCACAAGGGGCTGGCGACATTGTCGCGAAGCAGTCAGACAGCATTTCATGTGCCTAAAAGCAGCATCAGAGCTGGCAGGCATCTGTCACATCAGTACTTATCGGGTTTACATGTTATTTTTATGAAGTGCGGAGATTGCTGCAGCATGTCCTCATATTGTGTTCGGTGTCTCTTTGAGACCTTTCTTTATGCTTTACAGATCATGCAAGCTTTCGGCCTTAGCCAGGCCCAACGCGAGGCACTTCCAACACGGCAGAGGCACTTCCTTAAGGCGGTTATCGATTCATAGCGCCAGGGCTAAAGGCAAAGCCCAAAAGGTTCCATTTCAGTTGTTCCGAATGTGCTTGAGTTTGAACTCCATTCTTTTAAATGGGAAGCGTCTAGCCGTTATAGGAAAATCTCGTGACTACTGACAAATGCTTTCAGCCGTACCCGATCCCATAGCATACTCAAGCGTCGAGGACGGCTCGACACGAACCTCCACTTTGAGGACAGCCTTGACCAGCGTTCCGAGCTTACAGCTGTTCTCAAATCACAACTAAGTGGTGTTCTGGTCTCAACAAGATCTCATGACCCCAGGCCACCAACGGTGCCTTACCGAATGCATAACCTTGATGAAGTTGGCACTGCGAATGGCGTCGACAGCGCACGCGTCCCAGGCGCCGACTGACTGAGCCTCCCGCTCCCGGCCCAGTGCCCAGTGCCCCAGCCGGGCGTGAGCTGACCTTCAGGAAGACAGCCCGTAGCTTGGCCACCAGCGCCGGCTGGTGCCGGATGCTGCGCTGCATCGAGTCGGTCAGCTTGTCCACTAGCAGCCAGGCGTAGCTGAAGTCGGTGACGACCGAGAGCGTGGCCAGCATGTCGTCTCGCAACGCCGCCAGCAGCACCATGCGGCGCAGGCTCTGTCGCAGCTCCGACAGGTGCTGGCTGACGGCTGCGTCGCTCTCCAGACGGTGGAATGCTGCGGGCAGGGGGCCGTCCTGAGTCAGGCGGTGCCAGACGCGAGTGGACTCAGCGTGAGTCGCGCCAGGCCAGCTCGTGACGGCACCAGGAAGGTGCGTGGCTGTCTCAGAGGGGACCGGGCTGACATGACGGCATCAGCTGATATGGCGTGGTGCTGTCAGCTCCAGCAGCAGGACGCACACGAACGCACGCACGCACACACATAGACAAAGCTCACCGCATAGTTCAGGCAACACGGTGCCTCTGGGACGGCAAACTATCGCGTCACAGACAAGAGACACGACTCAGCAGCCGCGGCTGTGTGCATGGATTGGAGTCTTAAGATCGTCAAAGGACCACATAACTACCAATCACACGGTCAAGCGACCCAGCCCAGGTCATCGGTGACCCTACCGCCACACCGAATGATACACGGCAGCATCAAGCGCCGGCTGCTCTGACTCACGACAGCACAAGCGGTGAGCGAGGGGGCGCGGACGAACGCCATCGCATGAGTTACCTTGCACGTCGTTGAGGGCCTTCATGACCTGCAGGAGGCGGCGTGAGTCCGACGGAGACTGGGACAGCGAGAGGGCCGACACCTGGTCACACAGGTCCACGAACCACTTCTCCAGCCGTTCTGGAATGAAATCCGTCTGGTCAGACGGGTCAGAAAACCAAGGCTCCGGGTGCCCTGAATCCGACCAATGCAGGTCACACAGTCCAAAGACCACTTGTGCAGTATTGCTGGTACATAACACGCCTGTCCGAACAAGTCCGGAGAGCACGAGTCAAGTCGCATCGGAGTTGGAAAACTGAAATTGGAGAACGAGTCCGGTCGCTTTGGAGCCCAGCACGACTTTTCACATCAGTTCAGACAATGGTGCACCGGCCTCGCTGCGACACAACACCGTCGGCCGCACACGTCGAGACTGCGGTTTCATCCGCCCTTCTCTCTTCATTCTCGCTTCGTCCTGCACCCTCGTGGCACCCCGTTTATCCGGTACAAGCTACATGCTCCAGCCATGAGTGGACTTGAGTGCCGCCTGGCGGGAGTGCCGTCCGGCCGGAGTGCCGTCCGGCGGGAGTGCCGTCCGGCGGGAGTGCCGTCCGGCCGGAGTGCCGTCCGGCGGGGGTGTCGTCTGGCGGGAGTGTCGCCCGGCAGCCCTGTGCGTGCCCCGTACGCCGGTTCTCGTGCGGGCCCTGTCTCGGCGGATAATTCCCAGGCGTCTGTAGTTCTGCACTGTCAATATCCGCTCTCCTTCCTCACGTGGTTCTTGAACGGTCATTGCTAGCCGAGAGAACTCTAATCCAAACTAAGCCCAGTGATACAGCCAATCAAATCCAGATGTCCTGACAGGCAATATGGCTGGATGGCTGGTGAAAAAATCTGGAAACCCGTTCTCCATCGCACAACACGAAGCAAGAAATGGCGTGGGCGAAGTGCAGCTAATGCAAATAAAACTCCCTGCACTTTCTCGGAATCAACTCTGCGCTGCATGCCACGGAACAGGATGCGTTACTTCCGATGCTTGCTGTCTTGCCGCCGGCACGAATCAGGCCACCCACAGATCTCGCACGGAATCGGAACATGTACATCAAAACCACAGAGTCATTTCACATGGCAGATTGCTTGTTAGTAGCGCGCTGGGCACCAATGCTCTCCCGACCCACTGTGAACTAGCGCTGAGGACCTTCCTTTGCTATTCGACAGGCATTTGTAAAGGCGGCACTACCGTTTTTGGGCAGCTTGGTGAGCGTCTGACTTCCCGAGAAGACCGCCGACAGCTGCTTGAGGCCGCTGACGACCAGCTCCTGCTCATGCCGCCAAAGGTTCTCCCGGTCCGCCAGCAGCTGACGGCAAACGGAGGCCAGACACATGATACAAGAAGATGATGAACAAGGCGCATGACATGGACGCGCTGTTACATACACTCGCCTGCGCGGAAGTCAAACGGACAAAGATGAGCCAGGCAAGAGGAAGCAGCAGTCATGGGCTGTGGAGACACCAAGGCTTCATTTAAATACGTTGGTCTGCACGTAATTGTCATATTTGCGCAGAGACATGCAAGACGACGTCAAACCGGGCACCATTGTAAGAGCTCCGGCTGTCTAGTCTCTGGTGCATGCTCAGTTTTGTGACTTTGGTGTGCGTAACTGCAATTAGTAGTACGCCGAGCGGACACTAGGGGCGCTTCGGTCATTTTTACTTCAGGTCATGGCCCCCAGGTGGAGGGGCAGAGAAATGATGCCGGTGATGCTACATGATGTTTGCTTAGACAGGCTTTCGTATATGTTTCATCTCCATGGGAACACAAGTAAACGGAGGACAAATACAACTCACAACGAGACGACAAGCATGCTGGCAATATATGTCAAAGAAGTGGATGCTTTGTCCACCTGCGTACTAAAAGTAGGAGGAACGAACAGCAAGTCAACTTAATTCATAACAGACATGCGCCCCCAGGTAAAGTGTACGAGCTTCGGCTGTACATATACTAAAATTGGAACGATACAGAGAAGATTAGCATGGCCCCTGGCGCAAGGATGACACGCACAATCGTGAAGCGTTCCACTTTTGAAAACTTTGAGGCGATGATCTGAGGTACGTCGTCGTCGGTGGGACTCTGCGTCCCACTCAGGTGCTGAGGATTGTGTGACCTCACCTGCCTCTCCCTCCTTTTAGACCCTAAGCATAAGCGGGTCATCCCTTAGGTCACATCCACAAAAGTGGAATGCCTCACGGTTGCGCGTTTCATCGATGCACCATCAGCCATGCTAATTAATGAGACGGTTGAGATGAAAATAAAGATGAAGAGATATAAAGTAGCTCATCAATAGATGTGTGCCATTTTATGATATTCATGGTTTATCGTTTTGGATGCATCTTTTACTTCATCTCTCATCTGCATCTCTATCTCATCACTTCCTGTCATCAGTATCTGTTATATATATATATATATATATATATATATATATATATATATATATATATATATATATATATATATATATATATATATCGTTCATGAATATCAGAAAATGGCACATATCTATTGATGAGCTACTTTTTAATGTAACAGATGATGTCAAGAGCAACGTTCGAAAGATCGAAAACCTTTTAGATGAAACGTTTATGTCCGTTTGCTTGGGATTACGTACACATGCGTTTTCAGACAGCACCAAAAGGATACGCGCTTTCCCACAAAAACCCGGCATTGTAGCATAAAGCTGACCCGCCAGGATCGACGCGACACCTCGCAGAACACCAGGGACCTGGTCGGTCTCCTCAGACCCGCGAGAGCCGCGCCGGCCCAAGGAGCGAGCTATCTCGCCCACCCCCGTTCTGGTGCCCACACCTGCTTCAGCAGCTGGCGGCAGCGGAGCTCCAGCTGGCAGGAGTGCAGCAACAGCCTGAACACGGTGTCCGGCTCGAACTTGCCCTCGGCCACGGCCAGCTCGCGGTACTGTCGGCCGCGCTTCAGCTCATGCCCTGCGCAGGGCCACGATGCCCCAGGGTCAGGTACCGCACAACGGCAGGGGTGTTCAGGGCGGATGGGCGTCAGCTTAGCCAGCGCGGCCGCCGTTCTCGCCACGGTGTGGTGATGTCAGTGACGTCACGCCTGTCCATTGGCCCGCGGGTCATCTAGCAATAGCCTACATGTTATAACTGATGTGCAGCTGCGCAATCTCACGCGTACGGGCACGACTGCCGTACATTGCCTGTGGTTTCGAAGACAACCTGTCCACCTGTATTCGGTAGATCGACAAATAAAATTGCATGCGTTTTATCTCTACGTACATTTTCAAAGCCTGCAAAGCGCTCTTACAAAGCATGCTTTGATCAAGGACTGCACTTCCGTGTTAAGACGGCCACGCTTGCGCTAAAGGTCTGTCGACGTCAAAGGGCAGAACGGAGCGTGCCGAGCATCGTGGCACATTTAACTTTCGCCACCATATTCTGCCGTTGCCTGGAATTGCGCGATCAGACGGCAGGGGTCAGGGCTCACACAGCATGCACTGCTTAGCGTGAGCTCCGATCCCAGAAATCCATCTGTTCAAAGCGTTCGGATCAAATCTTTAAAATAATAGATAAAGCACTAACCGATCCATCGCGTATTCGTGCAGCGGGCGCCGCATCTGATCGCGGTGCTGCCTTACCCGGCGGCAGCTGCGAAGTGTGCAGCAGCACCCAGCGCAGTGTAACGTTACACTGCCGGATGAGGGCGATCAGCTTGTGCCAGGAGCCGAGCACGAGGTCAGGAGTGAGCGAGCCCTCCTGAAGCCACCGCCCCGTCTCCACAGTCAGCTCCTGGCAACATGGCCAGGTAAGGAGTGAGCGGACGCATAGCCTTGAGTCTCCGCCTCCGCTCCAGTCCATTCCCGTCAACGCAGCTGAATCAAGAAGAGCGAACTACTTCTGAATTCAGCTTGAAATGCACTCTTATCGCCCAAACCCAAACCCAAACTGTTCTTAAATACTCCAGCAACTGCTGCGGATAGAAACAAACCGTACTTTTTCACAAAAATATCCAATGGTAGCCGCATGAAGGACCTGGCATAGCACAGCCCTAATTCAGCTTACGACCACACGACCGACTAAACAAAATGTGTTAAATTTTCAAAATCATCTGCTCGTGCGTGGTTGGGAGCATCAACAGCTGACATTCATCAACCTAAACAGGTTCATTTTCACTGATAACACTGCATGACCCAGCCCCGAACGGACTGGATCGGTGCCGGCACCTCCATTTTGGCGGCGTGCTTGGACGCCATCTGCCGCACGGCGGCGGTGTCCAGCGAGGCTTGCAGCACCGTCCGGGCCGCCTTGTACGGCTCCCACGCCTCCAGCAAGTTCACCACTGACCCCATGTACACGCTGATCACCTGCCACAGACCGAGTGACGATGACGATGGTGATTTGGCCGGAGGGCGGTCTGATCAAGGTTCGTCTGTACAGACAGGGTAGTGTAACAAACAAAGATAATTACAAACTCAACCCTGAAGAAGATCAAATGGGCATGGTCCCACATTCCTACGTAGCACAGGTGTACAGCTCAGTGAGTCATTTCGCAGTAGTGAGCTTAATCAGATTTTGTCTAAACGAGCGAAGTTTCGTAAACCCCGCCAGCCCAGCTCGTTCCCTTCCTCTCGTCGCATCAGTTTAACCACGTCCTCCACCGTACCCAGTTGTCAGGGAAGAACTTGTCGACTATCTCCCTCATGACGGCCGTTTCGGCCGCCAGCACGGCCGGCCGGAAGTAGAGGCAGACGTAGAGCATGGCGGACTGCGGCGCCAGCGCCGTGGCGCGGTGCTCCGGCAGCGGGTAGGTGCCCGCCTGGCAGTAGATGTCGCCGGAGCGCAGCTGGTCGACCACGAGCGCCGCGTACTCGGCCGCGACCGGCACCCGGCTGGAGAGCACGCGCCGGGCCGTCAGCGGGGCGGGGCGACTGGCGGCCGGGGCGGGGCGGACGCAGAGCCTGGCCCCGCTCGTACCCGCCCCGTTCGCTGACTTAGGTGTGCGCAGCTGCGGTCGGTAGTACGCTGGGCGGACGCTAGGGGCGTTTCGGTCATTTTTACTTCAGGTTATGGCCACCAGATGAGGGTTTGGGGAAACGGTGCCAATGAAGTTGCAGTATTTTTGCTTGTACGCGCTGCCGTGTGTATCTTGTACTCAAGGGAACATTGCGAAACCGAGGCCAAGTACAACTTACAGTGCCACAAAAAGTTCAGGCAATGTATATCGAAACAGCTGGCGAATTGCACACTTGCGCACACAAACTAGGAGGAACGAACATTTTCGCGACGTCATTCAAATAGGACATATATCCCCCATCAAACTGTACCAGCTCCGGCTGTACATATACTAAAATTGGAACGATACAGAGAAGATTAGCATGGCCCCTGGCGCAAGGATGACACGCACAATCGTGAAGCGTTCCACTTTTGAAAATGTGACCTGCGAGAAGTCGACGCCACAGGGGCTTTACGATGCCTTCCGTTGCTGAGGCTAATGTGACATCACCTGCCTCTCGCATTTCAAAGCCTAAGCACGAGAACGTCGACCCCTGAATCATATTTACAAAATTTGAGCGCTTTACTATTGTGCGTGTCATCCATGCGCCAGCAGCCATGCTAATCGATGAGATGAGATGGCATGACGTGAGATGAAATGAAATTGAAGATGAATAGTTCGATATTTATGAAATGAAGATGAAGTGATGAGATCGAAATGTGAAGCGCCCCACTTTTGAAGACAAGATTCCGTAACAACACACTCTTGTAGGACAACCTCATTTCACACAACCAGATACAAGGCACAGCCAGAAACTAGTCCGCTAAGTTCCCTTACACGTGCATAACCCAAACCCCATTTTGCGCGGATGCCTCCTACGGCCGTCCAACGTACCTGAAGTAGTGCTCGGGGTAGTTAGGGGGCCGGCGGCCGCCCTCCACGCGCCCAGTGGACCGCAGCAGTTTACAGACGTCGTCCAGGTGGCAGTGGGCCGAGCGGCGCAGCGAGCCGCGGTGGTGCGCCACCAGGAGGCGCTCCCGGCTGTCTCCCTCGATCTGCTCAGCCGTCAGCAGCTGGGCGCCGAGCAGGTACAGCGCCTCACACTGACCGCGGGGCAGGACGGGCCACGCTGAGGCCGGCACAGCGGCGGCGGGGAGACGGCGCATGGGGGAGGGCAGACACTGCCACGGCGGCGACGGCTGCCACAGCGGCTACCACAGCAGCAGCGGCTGCCAAAGCAGCAACGGCTGCCACAGCGGCGGCCGTTACCACGGCAGCAGCGACTACCACAGCAGCCGCGGCTGCCAAAGCAGCAACGGCTGCCACGGCAGCACGGCTGCCACAGCAGCGATGGCTGTCACAGTAGCAGAGGCTGCCACAGTAACGACGGCTGCCATAGGAACGCCATCCATAGCAGGGGTCGCCATGACCTTCGCCTCAGACCATCACGGCAGGGGTCGTCATGACCTTTGCCTCAGACCATCACAGCAGGGGTCGCCATGACCTTCGCTTCAGACTATCACAGCAGGGGTCGCCATGACCTTCGCCTCAGACCATCACAGCAGAGGTCGTCAGAACAGAGCCGAGTACGCCGCAACACAGTCCGTTACAACACAGCGAGTTACAGCAGAACGAGTCGCAGGGAGCTCGCTAGTAGTGCGGCTCGTAGAGTTCGCTGCAGCAGGGCTCGTCACGGAGAATACGACGCATCGCAGGTAGCCGCAGCAGGATCCGTTACAAAAGTCAGTCACATCAGAGTTCGTCACAACAGAATCAGCCTCAGCAATCTGTTGCGACAGTGTCACAGCACAGTCCGTTACATTGGAACCTGTCACAGCGGGGCGTGCTGTACGGAGGCTCATTACAGCAGATTCCGCGACAGAAAAATCCATTACAGCCAGGTCTATTTTAGCAAAGCCCGTTGCAGTAAGACCGCAGCGGAGCCCGTTACGCCAGAGTTCGTCACAGCGGAGTCTGTGGCAACAGAGGTTGCACAGGGGTTGATGACGGCAGTTCGTCCCAGCACTTTGTCACCGTCGGCTTCGCTAGGGGAAGGCCCATTAAATCAAACTCAGTTACGCCGGAGTTTGCTGCACTAATCAGAGAAAGCAGATCTTTTTGCGGCAGTCCGTTACATCAGGCCACGTTACAATAGTCTGTTGAGGTAGTGTCCATTACATCAGGCCTCGTTACATTAGTCCGTTGCCGGAGAGTCCGTCACATCAGGCCACGTTACAATAGCCCGTTTCCGGAGAGCCCGTTACATCAGGCCACGTTACGATAGTCCGTTTCCGGAGAATCCGTCACATCAGGCCTCGTTAGAATAGTCCATTGCGGCAGAGTCCTTTACATCAGACCCGTTACCATGGTTCGCTGCGGCAGACTTTGTGACAGAAAACTCTACCATGGCACAGTCTGTTGCAGCTGAGGCGCAAGCGCAGTGGCTGCTGTGGCAAACACCACTGCTGCATACAATCATTGCAGCAGACTCATCACAGCAGACACAGGTCAGACATAGCCGTCCGAACAGGAAGGTCCGTCATAACAGAGCTTGCTAAAGCAGGATCAATAACAGCCAGCGCAGTTTGTCGCAGCGGAGTTCCTCAGAGCAGTCAAACGTCCGTCACAACAGAGCTTGTTGAAGCAGGATCAATAACAGCTAGCGCAGTTTGTCGCAGCGGAGTTCCTCAGAGCAGTCAAACGTCCGTCACAACAGAGCTTGCTGAAGCAGGATCAATAACAGCTAGCGCAGTTTGCCGCAGCGGAGTTCCTCAGAGCAGTCAAACGTCCGTCACAACAGAGCTTGCTGAAGCAGGATCAATAACAGCTAGCGCAGTTTGCCGCAGCGGAGTTCCTCACAGCAGCCAATTATGCCAAAGTCTGTTACAGCAGAGTCAATCACAGCAGTCAGCTTCAGCAGAGAAGATAGCAAAAGAGTCCGTCAAAGCGTAGTCCGCTGAGCCCATTCAAGACTCCGTTGCCAGAAAGCCCGTTACCACACAACTACCCGGCAGCAGTCCTGCTACGGTGGCGCGCTCTCCGCAGTTTCATTATAGCGGAGTACCTTCCAGCCCGGTTGGTCACGGTGTTAAAGCTGGAAATCCGTTAAAGCTGGTAATTCTTAGCGCCACTCGTTACTTCTAAGTATGTCCCGGGAGTGCCCGTTACAGCCGTCCGTTGCAGCACGGTCTGCTACAGCACTCCGTTATGGCAAGCCAAGTCCCGGAGAGACCGATCCACCGCGTCCGTTACACATATTGTCCGTAAACCATCAGGCGTTATGATGACTGACCATGAGCTGCTTTCCATCCGGGTCTGCAAAGACGTTTTCCATTGAATGCTGGAAGTACACGCCATCCGAAAGGTCCCGTATGAAGTTGTTCAGATCAGTGATGTACTTGTATATGCTCTCATAAGCCACGTAGAACCGCGAGACCACCTCCAAGTAGTTCTCCCTGAACTGGGCATCCAGCTTCCGTAAGTTCTGGAAAGACGCAAGATGTGGAAATTTGGTGAGCAATCCTCGTGAAGCGCAAGCATCCCACATCAAAGTTCATCGCTTTTTTTAGCATGCACCATAGCTTTACGGCGGCTAGCGGGTACCTCCTGTTCCGCACGCCCGTCCCACCGCGCGCCGCTCCAGCACGCAGTGCGGCAGCTGACCCACGTGACCCGCGGGTCACGTGACCGACGCCGGCGCCGCGGCCGAGCGCAAAGGTCACCGGCGGGCGGGCGAGCAGTCAGGCTGAGGTGTCGCGGCGGCCGGTCGTGCGCACGCGTATCTGAGACTGGGCGCAGTAGTATGCTGAAGCCTTAAACGTAAACGCTCTGCGCTCCGAAGGCCCATTGGTAACTGAGCCGAAACAGCAGATATATCAGCGCATCAGTGATATGGACAGTGCTCATTGTATATTCCAAGTAGCCACAGGTGGCCAGCCACGGCATCCCGGTAAAAGGGAGGATAAACACTGCCAACTTATGCATGCTCACATCATCTGCTTCAATCTTGGCTTCCACAGCATCAGCTATCTTAAAGTAACTGAAGTCAAATATGACTGGTGCATATTTCTTCCACTCTTCTTTCTTGTCTTTCCTGTCCGAAACAACAGACCATCTTCATAAACAGTTATAGCATGTCGCGCTTCGCGCTCATAGGGTCACATGATCATCGCGTCACCGCCGCCATAGCCGGCTTAGTGCAATCCACGCCATCGCCCCGTTCACGATTGCCATTATCTGCACTGCACGCGGAGAATGGGACGGAACGACGACTATCCGATAAACCGGCAGATGTGAAAACATACTTCGCATGACGACGCAGTATGCGTAGGACGGAGAACAGCTGGATGCAGACGTAGAAAAAAGACAAGGTGAGGGAACAGTGGTCGGGAGGAGACAACGTGGCGAAGGTGTGTAGCGTGACATTGCGCATACGGACTGGCAGAGAACACAAGGGTGGAATAACAGCCGCACATGACGGATGATCACAAACAAAATGAAACATGTAACAAGAACAAACATGAAACATGTAACAAGAACAAGCATGAAACATGTAACAAGAACAAACATGAAACATAACAACCCGACACTAAAAGGAGGGTTGGTAAACTTACGTTGAAAGATGGGTCTTGCAACAAGAAACTATCCTGACACAGCAGGATTACAAAAATGAAGCACACATGCTCAGATAACTAATAACACTTACCGAAACACATCAGGCAAATAATCTCTCAGCCTCAGAAGCTCAGCTATTATGGCATTGCCTCTGGACACCAGTGCTAGCAAGTTTTGACCACAGGGGTCGGCTGTTGCAAAAGAGACGTCTGGATCCATGGCAAAAAGCTGTTTGAGTCTTGCTCATCAATAGGCTGGCCTGAAAAGAGAACATTACTAAGCACTTTTACTATCAGCAGGCCCATTTTTCTGCCCCATTAAGTCTTTGGTGCTGGCAGTAGAGTGATAATGGGTGGTTATATGGTTTTTATTCATTTTATATAGTACATAGCTCGCCCTGCCATCCAACTCTAAACAGCGTAAAAAAAGAACATTGAAATGATCATCCCCAACATGGCATGGTCCAATCATTGTCAGCTCCCGGCTTATGAGAAAAGCAACAAAACACTCCTTTGGGCAGTGGGCTAGCAAAACCAATACTGAGGCGCTCAAGCTGCCAAACACATACCAAAGATGTAGAGGAGACATGCTTATGGCATACCAGATGACCAAAAGTGAGCTTAGAAGCAATTCTGATGACCTGTTCCAGGGTGTCACCTGATAGTGCTATGCCCAGGGATACTCATTCCATGATGATGCTGCTGGATGCTTACTCTGTAAATATACTAAATTACCAGGAAAAATTTTTGTGTATGTTTATTCCCTTTAAGGTACTTGAGCCTTTCATCAGAGATGCTCTGATTGGCTATTTCTTGGAGTCAGGACTTGTTCATGCAGCTCAGCATGGGTTTCTCACAAAGTGGTCCTCTATTACCTGATATTGGATGTCATGGAAGATTGGAGTGCTGTGGTAGAGGATGAAAAGTCGGTGGACATAGTATGCCTAGACTTCAGCACGGCCTTTGCTTCTGTGCCACATAACCGTCTGCTCTTCTAGCTCGATGTTTGCGGTATGAGAGGTAACCTGCTGCGCTGGATTAGGGCTTTCCCTACCCACCCGATAGGATCGATGCCGTCAGCAACATCCCGCAATGATTGGTGCTGGGGCCAACACTATTCATAATCTTCGTGAACAACCAAACAGATCTCGTACGAAGCGTGGTCAAGATTTTCACGGATGGCACCAAGATTATCTGTCCTGCTCCGAGGCCCTAACTAAATCTCCCCTACAGGTGGACCTCAACGCCCAGGCCAAGTGGTCAGAGGAGTGGTTGCTACCCTTTAATGCAACCAAGTGCAAAAAAGTGCACATCAGGAACTGCAACCCGAGGCCATTTCCTGAATGCCACCGAAAACGAAAAAGGACCTCGCAATCTACGCGGATCATAACCTAAAGTTCCACGTGCAGATGGTGGAGGTGATCTCAAAGGCCTACCATGTGCTGGAGATCGTGAAGCAGTCGGTTGCCAACATCCATGTTCATACACTGTCACTGCTCTTCAATTCCTTAGCATGCCCATATTTGGAGAATAGTAACATCATCTGGGGCCTGTTTGGTAAAATGGACCAGGAGGGGCTGGAGCGGGTAAAGCGACGAGCTGCGCGTCTCTTCCATAATGTGGGGCACCCCATATCCCAAGAGGCTCAAACTCCTCCAATTGTACTATGGTCGCCGCAGGTGAAAAACAAGATTGCAGTTTATCACCTGTTTCATGAAGGTGTGTCACTGACAAAAGATGAGTTTCTGACAAGACACAGCTTGGAGGTAAAAAGGGGACACCAGGGCAAGCTAAGAAAACCAAGAGCAGCACTTCCATAATTCATTTGTGGCATCATAAATCATTCAGCATGCAGGCCATTAGTGCTTGGTATGCTCTTTTACACATGGTGGTATTGTCAACCTTCAGTTGAACAGATGAAGAGTCACAGCTGATATGTATGGGGGACATAATTACGGCATTCCACACTGAACCTATCCCTAATTGTGGACTGTTTGGTTACAGGAACAGAAGTTTGACAAGACCAGGACCGACAGGCCAAGTGGCCTTTTACAATTCCTGATCACCATCAGGAGAGGTAAGGTGAGGTAAGGTAAGGTAAGGTATGCATGGTGAATGAATGGAATGGCCTATAGCCTGCCAACTGTGGTCATTACAACTCCCAGCACAAATGTACCCCAAATCATCTGGATCAGCACTGGATTGTACCATCACAGCATATTTTCTGTAATGCCAGGCACACTTTTTCTAACATTCATAATGAGGCATTCATTCAGCTGTCAAGTCATCATCAAATGGAACACTCACTTGGCAAGCAGTCTCTACTACAACATTTGCTCAATGCAAGTACAGGCTCTGCTTGCAATGGGCACACGGCCCAAACTTACGAGTGGTATCCCTAATACGACAGTACAGCTCAGTACAACGTGCAAAACAGATCCTGCCGAGCGTGGAACCCGGACCCCCAGCCTTCCGCGGTCATGACCGACTTGTGGGTTTGAGCGCATAGCCTTTCGGCTTTTTTCACGAACCTCCACTTTCATCGCAATAGCGCAATAAACGTTGAGAACTTATGCAGCTGTTTGCTGTAAGCAATTTTAGTACTTAAGCAGTTTTGAACTAATCAGCTGCATGAAATAAGTGCAAACATTGTTTTCATTGGAAAAAGCAAATATTTTGATCAGGTAGCTCTGCTCCAAACAGGATGTGATGTTGAAGGCCCATTTTACAGGCCTCATTTGCAGTAACAGGCGTGCATCTTATATCCAGCAGAGTAGTTGCTTACATGTGGTTACAGGTCAGTTCAAGGGCCTTGAACGGAGGGCTGTCGGAAGGGTTGGAGTGAGGCTGCCTTGGAGGTTGTAAGTGGGGGCGTGTAGCCAGTACGGCGCAAAGTGCTGCCGCAGCGGTGAGTTGACTTGCACCAGCTATGTGGATGCAGCATTCCCCTTTCCTGAAGATGTAGTATTTACTGTGCAGTGTTTGCTTCTCTTCTCCACCTCGAGCTGCAAAGCTGTATGAGAAGCACTTATCATTAAGTCATCATCTTATGTATTTTTTGTGAGCTTGGTGCTAAGTTTGCACATCTTCTGGATTAACACTGGATTTTTGGTGAAACATCTAGATGCTGGTCAGAATGAAAGCTGCACTGTCTGGTAGCTGAATGAAGTATGTTGTCAAACATGCTGATTAAAGGTGTTTGGTCATTCCTCCATGCAGCTGTAATGAATTGAATGCAGTGGTAGCCTGATTTTTAGAAATACTGGAGCTAACATGAATGCCTTGAAACATACACTTTTTCTCTGACAATTTGTTATATTTTAAAGATTTGCAATCAGTGGTGATGGGTTCAGAACATTCACCTAGCAGAGCTGTGTGTTTTTATCTTGTATCTTACACAATGACAACAATATGCAAGACATTGTATGTCCTAAGCATACCTATTGTGAAGATTAGTGCATGATGCATGTGCAGTAAGTGGCTGTGGAATGCGGATGCACAATATTTTGTATTGCAGGGGTAAAACTCAGAAGAAATGGCCCTTGAAACAGTGTTGAGAGTGGGTCAGGGCATCATCCATCAGAGCAGCCTGGTTTCTTCTGCATCACATGTCTTGTCAAATGTACATAGAGGTATGTACCTGTTTGTCTTAATATTGTTAATGTTATTCATTTGTTTGCCTGATAATGTTTCCTTGGTATAGCAATCCATGCCAGCCAATTATAAAGTTGATGAAATGGCATTTACCATCCCTGAACAAATTGACTGTGACTCTTGTTTATGCTTTGATGAAAGAGCCTAAGTATTTGCAGCCCTGCTTCATTTGTATTACACTCAATCTTTCTTGTACATACATATGTTACAGGCTTTTGCCAGTGCTTCCTGATGTTGACTGAAATCCAGAATGCCTTAAAACATGTTATATTTTTTACATGGTGTAATTTGTTGTGAATGTCCATGCATTAAGTACACAAGCACATATTGATAAAGTGGGCAGTCCACCATGGTTAGATTATGGAATGGAAGCTATTAATGTGACTCCTGGCAGTTCACTTTTTATGCTTTGATGTAAGTCTTTCCTGTACATAATTCCTGTCATTCACCATATACCTTTCATGACATGACAGAGAACATATTACATGCATTTGAGGATGGTAGCACTATTTACTGAAATGAGTTACTTTCTTCTCCAGTTTGTGCTGTTGCAAGCATAAGATGGTACAAGAAGATCCAGGCTCCACCAAAGCCTCTGCCTTCCAAACTTCAAGACTGGAGGCGAGAGTAAGCTATCACAAGATGGACCACATAGAATGCATGCTCATTCATCTGTTACTTGTCAGAACTGATCTCACATGGCAGCTGCTTATATGCAGTTGGAGTTGCTTGCAATTGTTTCATAATATCAGTATTGACTGAGGCTGTGATTCTTTATCAGCTCAGACTCTGTCCACAGTGACCCATACCTTCGTTGTTCGCATCGAGCTGCACTGTGGGCTTCATGTTCCCACTGTCAGTCTGCCCCTGGCCAGACAAGATGCATTATGCCCATGCCAGTCCTGCCTCCCAGAGCTGCCAGCATTGTATCCTACCTGCCCTGCCGCCTTGGGTCCCAGAGTCACCCATGTCATATTGTCATGTTGGGTCGAATCACCCAGTGTGGTATTCCGCCTACCCGCGCCGCTTCGAGTCCCAGAGTCGCCCGGTGTCAAACAGGGTGGATCGGTGTGGTATCCCGTCTAGCCGCGCCGCTTCGGGCCCCAGAGATGACCAGTGTTGTATCTGTCCTGCCCACGCTGCTCCGTCCATTGTCGTATAGAGCCGCCCAGTGTCGCACATAGTCGCCAAGTGTCGCACAGAGTCGCCCAGTGTCGTACAGAGTCGCCCAGTGTCGCACAGAGTCGCCCAGTGTCTCACAGAGTCGCCCAGTGTCGTACAGAGTCGCCCAGTGTGGCACAGAGTCGCCCAGTGTCGTACAGAGTCGCCCAGTGTCGCACAGAATCGCCCAGTGTCGTACAGAGTCGCCCGGTGTCGTATCTCGCCTGGCCTCGCCGCGTTGCGTGCGGCTGACGCGGCCGGCGGCCGACAGACACCAGCAGCCGGTGAACCCGACGGCGCGTGGTGTGCTGACGGACGGCCCGGACTACAGCTACCCGGACGGTCGGCCGGTGCAGGCAGGCACGCACCAGGTGCGCCGCGCCACCCAGCACCGGCAGCTCATGGTGAGATGGCACCACCGCTCACGTGTGATGCTCTTGGTGAGACGTTACCACCGCACGCGTGTGATGCTGCGGGTGAGGCGGCACCACCGCACGCGTGTGACGCTCCTGGTGAGACGACACCACCGCACATGTTCAGACGACGCTCACCAGCACCAGTCCACTTGACAGACAGCGAAACAGCCCCAGCACGTACTGATGCCTGCGCACTCGCTCCCTGTCGCTGGGTAATGCGCTGGACTCCCTCGCGGTGATCGACCAATGTCTTTTGAGGGCTAATGTGCCTTCTTTCTGATTGCTGACAACACTATCTTCCGGCTGCTGACTGACTTGCTCCTGATGTGCTAATCCCCTGCTTGTGGAGCATGCTTTCTGTTTGGATTGTCCCGCGATCTGGCCGGGCTGTGTCCTTCCTAACTTACTGCTTGTCAACCCCCCCCCCCCCCCAACCTTTCCTATTAACAGGTTAGAATTGCTGTCAGTGTGCTACCTGGCCTTACGCTCTGTGTGGTCTCGTTTCACCGGCGCCGCGTTCACCAAAGCCGACAGCGCGGCGCTTGGCAGCCCGCGTGCTGCCCTGGGTTATCAAAAGTCCACCTCAGACACAGCCACCAACTGTACAATCTGGGAATGCTTGTGTGCATGGCTCTGCTCGGACATGCCGCTTCCTGCCCATTTCCGGCGTCACTCTTCGTCTCTCGTCCGTTTTAGCCTGTTGGATACATTCCTGATCTTTGGCCGTAATGTTTTGTTACGCTGCTTTGTTTTCTGTATTCCTGCCATTTACTTGATGTGCCAGCGACCAATGTAGCTCGAGCGTCATAAAAAAACATGACGTGAGTCAGGCCATTTAATTCAAATAATGAAAAGGCTGTCCACTGATATTTTCTCTTATGTCCATCTCTGCCAGTCAGTTTTAGCCTGCTTGCCAAGTTGATGACTATTTCAAGATTCCAGCTCAGATGGCTCCAGTTCAGATGTTTCGACGTGATCGACTCGCGTTTGTAACGAGACGTGGCCGGACGCTTCAGGAGCGGATCGTGCAGCTGACTGCAGAGGTGGACCTTGCGGAGCGCCTTCACGCCGAGCGGACCCGCCAGGCACAAGAGCACGAGCAGCACCTGATGAGGAGGCGACTCAAGGCCAAGGCCACGGAAACGCTCGACGCCAAGTGACGCTGCCGGTTCGCGTAGTGTTCGTCTGGTGTTTGGCTCTCTGGCTTGCCCGCGGTGTGATGCGAGTGCGTGATGCGGATGCGGATGCGGAGGAGAATAAATGTGACTCGGAAGGGATCGCTCTGGTCTGATATGATCAGCTTAACTGGCGCTGGTAATGGGAGCTCAGAACCGCAACGTTAAGGACTATGTTGATACCAAGTGTTACTTTTAGTTTACATTTTTAATCGCAATGGATATCATGACTGTGCTTGTGTTTACACTTTGCTGGCCACCCGTAATTCTCGCTGCACCGTTTTCCGTGTCAGGCTTGGACTGTTTTTTTTTATCGTTACACTGCCGGGTGTTGAAGGTGACTGCCTGAGCCTTCTGAAACCTAACGGGCGCGTGCAAGTACGGATGCCTGACTGGCCGTAGACCGCGTGGTCACCACAGAACAGGATAACTCATGACTGGTCTGTTCGGTCTGCCACCTTTGCAACATGCCAGCAGGGTGCGTTTAGCTGCCTTGTAGTAATGCACGCAGGCCGGCAAAATCGACCCCGAGGCCGCACCATGATTGGGACGTTAACTTTGGGAGAAAACTGAGGTAAAGATGAAAAAATTGTTGAATTGTTGGGGTACGTTCCAGATTACTTACGGTTCAGCCCTCCCATCTCACTGCGAAACTGAGCCCCGTGTCAGAAGAGTTGTTTCGGTTTTTGCTGAGGGTATGAGTGCTGAGCCTGAACTTCCGCGGGGTACAAGACCCCGAACTGTTGCAAAACGTAGCGGTGTGCCTACAAAGCTATAAGGCAAGAAACGCCCCAAAACGCTTCATGTTGTCGGCTTGGAGCCTTCGACTTCCACCTATGGAGGGTGGCCGGCAGTAAGGCTGTCGCGGAAGCTGCAGGCAGCGTGGAGACAGCAGTGGCTCGCGACGGAGTGCAGTGGCGGGATTACCTGCCTGGGACAGTTCGCAGCCTGTGGGAGGGCCCTCGACTGGCGCCGCCACCTCGCGGAGAGACCACAGACTCCGGCGCAACGTGAACCACGCAAATTTACACTATAGGTAGCTGAATACGTGAATTCCACTTCATGGCCCGTTATTATCTGTTTTATAGTTTGATTAGCCCGACGCCCGCCTCTGGCCCAAGCACGGAGCGCCCGATCCGGTGCGTCCCTGGGGCTCCGTGCGTACAGCGTGCCAGCCCGCACTCACCGGACCCGGACCCTTTCAACGCGCCCGGCAAAGCCACATCTCACCATTCTCCGAGTTTATTGTACAAAATGGACGGAACGGATGGAGAGCATGGTTGGGCGCCCTGCTCGTGTCACTGTGAGAGATCGAGTCGCGGACAGGGCGAGCCGACACGAGTGGTGCGCTCAGAGTGTGGTGCTCACCAGACCGGAGCGGTGCGCTCAGAGTGTGGTGCTCACCAGACCAGGCAGGGCGACACGCCAGAGCACGCGGACGCAGCTGTTCTTCGGGTGGGCCCCGAATGGTCCGGCTCAGACACTGTCAGGAGATCGCGCGCGACAGTGTGGCGGCGGCTGCGGGCGGTCAACACGGATGACGATGGGTCGACGGAAGACAATGAGTAGAAGGCGATATCTGGCACTAGTGCGTTGGCACAGCATTGGGCGCTTGGCACGACATGATGGGTATAGATTACATGTGCGATAAAAACATGGGCACGCTTGGATTTACATGAACACGGTCGGTCGGTAAGCAAATGGGCTGCATTCCTAATATCTACAGACGCGCGCAAAAGTCGGATAAAAAGTTCCTAACGAGGGGAAGTATCACATCAGGTTATTCATTGGTACACTCGGAAAATACCACAAAAAGCTGTTCAACAATTGCTTCCGACCATGGCCAATGTCCAAAATACAACAAGTGGTCCATCGACATTGCATAGCAGGCAGGCGAATTCCACCAAGCACCAGCACAATGGAGTCATGACCACCCAAACAGGCGCGAACGCGAGTCATCAAGGCGCAATAAATATATAATAACGCAGCATTACGACAGCGGGACAGCACGAGCCCCAACAGTCGACATTGAGCTTCGGCGGCCGCCTCAGCCGACGGTCGGCCCGGCCCAGCTGTCCATGAGACTCAGACGCCTGCTGGTGGTGGGCCGCCCACCACTGACGACGACCGGTGACCAGCGGGGCCGGCAGGTGGCGAACTGGGCCGGGCGCACGCCAGCGACAACGGTCACCATCCGATGAAGTTAGTCCACTGGGCGGCTTCCGGCTTCTGACGCGACCGCGCCGCGGCCGAGTGCGCCCCTGCTTGCAGGCCGGGTGTCAGCGCCCCGTCAACCCGTACTATCGAGCGTCGCTGGGGCGCCTCTGCGATACGGCCCAGACCGGACCACGCGGTGGCAGCAGCCCGCAGCACAGGGCAACACCAGCGCCACCGCGGCGCACCGCCAGTCGGCACCACACGGTAACGCCGTCGACACCACATGGCAATACCATCGCCAGTGCGGCAGCGGTGGGCGCCAACATCAGCCCGGCAGCAGAGGACACCGTCACCAGTTCGGCAGCAGCGGGTGCCGTCACCAGTCCGGCGGCGGCGGGCGCCGTCACCAGTCCAGGAGCAGCGGGCGCCGTCACCAGTCCGGTAACGGCGGGCGCCGCCACCAGTCCGGCAGCGGCGGGCGCCGTCACCAGTCCGGCAGCAGCGGGCGCCGTCACCAGTCCAGGAGCAGCGGGCGCCGTCACCAGTCCGGCAGCGGCGGGCGCCGTCACCAGTCCGGCAGCGGCGGGCGCCGTCACCAGTCCGGCAGCAGCGGGTGCCGTCACCAGTCCGCCGCTGGCCGGGTGCGTCCGCTCAGAGCTGCGTCTCGTGCTGTGTGTAGCCGTGCCGGCGCGGCAGATACGGCCGCGGCCGGATGGCCTGCTGGTGCAGCAGCATACTGTTCCGCAGCATCGTCTCGTTGTCGGCCTCGTTCTCCGAGTCGACGTCACCTGCGGAGCGGAGGGCGAGGTCAGGTCGCACTCCTCGGACAGCACAGACCGCAGACCGGACTACTGACAATGTCCCCGCGGCACGCTCGTCCAGCTCACAATGCCAACATGCGGAGGCTCAAGAGCAACACCAACTCACGGCATTCGCAGGTCAATATGGGCTACCGTTCGCCCAATATGAAGAATAGCTGCGATTATAACGCCTACGCTAGTGGCATGGACATTGCATTCCGCGCATACTTCCATGCGCCCGCTGTGGGCGCACGAAACTTTGCCCATAGATAAGACAGCAGTATTAGCCTCATTCCTCGGAAAAACCGGGAGAATGGAAATATAGTTTAGTTGACATTTCGGCAGTATGCCTTTATCGTAACAAAAGCAGAAGTAAATTAAGCAGAAGTATTCCAGGAAACGTGGAAGCAACTGGTAGTAGAGCATCATTTCAATTCGATGTGAAAATGAAATACATTCACTTCTGCTTTTGTTTCGATGAAGGAATGTTGCCGAAATATCAACCAAACTATATTTCCATTCTCCTGCTTTTTCCGAGAAATAAGGCTAATACTACTGTCTGATCTATGTGAATATGTGTCTGTGAATATGTCTGTGTCTGTCTAATATGTCTGTGAATAATGTTCCTTGCTAACGAGCTGAGCAACTTACGAAACTTTGCCCAGCAAAGGGGCTCAGTGCAGACTACACAATGCGTACAAAGCGTGCCGTCGAGTGATTGCGAACTATATCATGTTCTAATACGATGTTTCCATGTGATTCAGACAAACCAGCCACGTCACACCATTCGATACCAAAGGAAGATTTCGAAGAGTGATCATTCAAAATGTACGGCCATCACATTCATTCCCCTTTGCGGCAGTACGTCAGCGTCCCAGCATGGATCCCCGCCCTCGGCCGCCGCGCCGCCACCACTCACCGTCGCTGGAGTTGGACGACACGTACTGGCCAGGCTTGACCGGCTTGCCGCGCCGCGTCTGCCGGTAGTACCTGAACTCCCGCGGCAGCGTGTACGAGCGCGGCAGGCTGATCTGGCTGTCGACATCGGACGGCACGCGGCAGCTCTTGTACACCGCCGCGCGGTCGGGCAGGCGGCCGCGCCGGCCGCGCCGCCGCCCGCCGCCGCCGCCGCCGCCGCCGGCCGGGTCGGCCGTCACCTCGTCGTCGTCCTCGTCGTCGTCGTCGTCGTCGGGCGCGCGGCGGCCGGCCGGCCAGCCGTCGGGCTCGTCGTAGACGCGCGAGTGGAGGAAGTGCGGCGCGAGCAGCACCTCGGGCGTGCGGCTGCGCGCCGCCGGCCCGCCGACCGGCTCGATCCAGGGCGGCCGCTTCTGCGGCGGGATCGGCTGACGCAGCGCCCGGTTCTCGTACAGCTCGGCCGGCCGCGGACGCGCCAGCTTGCCCTGCTTGATCTCCTCCTCGATGACGCGCAGCTCCGCCAGCTGCTGCTGCTTCTTCTCCTGCAGCTTCTGCTGGATGTTGACGCGCGAGCTGACCGTGCTGCCCTCGTGGTCGGAGCCGGCGCCGGGCCGCGGCAGCGGCCGCCGCCAGAACGCCACCGAGGGCAGCACCGTTACCGGCGGCGGCGGCACGAACGTCGTCGGCTTCTTCTTCTTGCGCTTCATCATGTGCGGGTTGAAGCGGCAGTTGAACACGCCGATCACGTGGTTGTGCTGGCCGTTGAGGCGCGCGTAGTCGGGCGGCGGCTGCGCGGCCGGCGGCGGCACGCTGCGCCGGCCGCCCAGCTCCGTCGTCAGGTTGGCGTACAGGTTCTCCTTTGGCTTGTGCTCGGAGCAGGTGCCGCCCTGGCACTGCGCGCACGCCTTGTCCACCACCGAACGCGCGTAGTTGAGCTTGTTGATGTGGAAATACTGGTAGTAGAGCATCATGAAGAGGATGCCGACGATGAAGGCGGCGAACACGGTGACGAGGATGATGTAGTGGTACCACACGATCTGTTCCGGCAGGGCCGCCATCCACACGGACACCAGTAGAGTGTTCTCCAGCAGCATCACACTATAAAATATCACCATCTTTTGCCGCGACTTGGTCTCCTGGAAGTTGATGTAGCAGAATGTGTAGACGTACGCGATCGCAGCTGCAAACACGATCTTCTTCGCCTTGGTGATGCTCTCGCCGTGGAACACGTTCTTCGGACTGATCAGCCAGAGGAACATGGTGAGCCAGTGCAGGCCGATCACCAGGAAGACCCAGTAGTGGAAGA